GGCAATTCGGTATGTTCATAAAGCATAGACAAGACTAATGAAGAAATATTGCTAACGAATAGAACCTTTCAATCAAAAATAGTTTGTCTTGCAGATGGTCGTGTTTACACTGAAAAAATCCATACAACGTCGATAATCTTTTCCGTATAAATTCACCAAGAACTATTTTTTCCTAAAGTAAAATCTGTACCCTGAATTTCTATTTGGCGAGGCACACCACTCTAACTACAACAAATGATTCGCAGTAGGTTTAACCTAATTGGATCTTGATAATCTCAACTTCCGTGGTATTTCAAGGAAGTCCGAAACTAAAAGATTAATATATTTTTACTGCCTGTTATAGACAGAAAATGTATCAAATGATTTTCCGACAACACATGCTGATTGGTTTAAGACTTTATCAAATAATTGTGGAGTTCTTGCCAACGGTAAGAGTCTTCTGGTTAGAATTATGCTCTGGAAAAATCCTCTGGCGGATAAGCTGCTTCCAAATTCGATTATCTGCCAATGATTTGTTTCTGGGAGTCTGCACACAAGTGAATGTATATTCAATGTATTCACTACAATCGCGACTTAACAGCTTAAGGTTACTACGACTTTATGGATCAGTAGAAGTCCGTCCGTGGTAGCTTACCTGTATCACGTTTTAGAAATGCTGATAATCCCCTGGTTTAAGGTAGAATGCATACAAGACAATAACCTAGAACCGTATCATATTTTTTCAACAACGTGTGCCACCGATCTATTTGCCCATATAGTAAATCTCTAAAGTGCAATTGATGCACTTAAGCTGACATTAAAATGCATAGATTTGGCAATCTATGACGGCTTCCACTTAGAGCTCGAAGATAACTTGATCTCCCCGTGGTAAGTAGGTGGGGCTTTAGATCAACACAATTTACCCCAAATCACACAATTTTATTTTTAGATTTGAGCCTTTTTTGGCCTTAAATCAAAGAATTGTTTGCCCTGTATTGTATTGTATTGTATTGTATTGTACTGATTAGTGATTGACAATGATGAATATGAGAGATATGGCACGTAGGGGATTCGAACCAGTATCCTCTCAGTTTCTCTCTTGGGTATGTCCCAGGATAAAGAAAAGTATTTTCTTCATTCTGGGGAAGAAAAGAAAGAAATGAAGCATGTACACAGGTAGTGATCTATATCCCCAACACTAAGTATTTGGAGTAGACACAAATGTAACAGGACTTATCCCGTAACTTACTGGAGCGCACCAACCTGCAGGGAGGCGACGTTTACAAGGCATAACATGGGGCGAATATCTCAACTGAAACTAATAGATTCTACCTGCAGATAATAACGAATGAACATCTATTTAATCCATACATTGGATGGTCGCGTTCCATGTGATGAGGTAACTACGGCTCATGGGATCGATGGACGTCATGTTTTTTTTCAAAGGAGGGATCAAGATTAATAGAGTGTTCAGACTTTCAGCTTTGGTGTTGGCTTTAATCACATGGTTTGTTAAACATAATTGTAAATTCAAAGGCAACATTAAGGTATTTGGAGAATTAGATCTAAAACATTGAAGGGATCAAACTACACAAATAAGCAACATCTGAAGAACACCATCTGACACTCACAACTGTAATATCATTTCTATCAATCAAACCAAACATAAAGTGTAAGATTGTATTCAAAACAGCTGGCATTCGATCGTAAATACAGTTAAATAGTTAGAAAAAAGTAGTCAACGAACACCCAAAGTTCCATAAATATTTCGGTTGAAGTCCAAGCGTCGAGAGTCATATATTAAACGTGAAAGCAGCATATCGTTTTCCCCGTGAATTTATAGAAAAAATAGATAGTTACCATACCTGTAGATTTTATCGCGCCATGACTTTGATGCATTGTGGGATTAAGTTGGATAAATCAAATCAATTTGTTTCTGATGATTTTGATGTATTCTTTGGCCGTAAACCTACGGATTGTTCGAATTCACAACCCCAATATAGAGTTCACATCGATCCAAATTATTTTCTGATATGAATACAAACGAGAAAGTTGACAAAATTGTCTGAGCTGTGTGTGTAGGGAACCAACTGTTCCCGTCGCATATTTCCGAGGGGGTTTACTTAATTGATTAATTCAAATTGATTGATCTGAATCTAAAGCTACTCTATGTTCAATGTTGTTTGGAACACGATTGGAAAATTCATACGAAGCACACTGGGAATAATAATCGCTTGTGAATATAAGAAAACTCTAGAAGCGACAGTGTGATCAATTGGACCTAAATCTGACTTTGCATTTCAAAAACACTTCGATAATTGCTAAGTTGAAGTGACCAATTCATTAATTGATCTTCTTAGGCCTCCTGCTTGGCATTTTGGTTTCCAGGCACTACCACTGTTTATTACCCTGCGCGCAGAATCTAGTAATAAACTACGAAGCTCTCTTTTAAGAAGTCGAATGAATGCAAAGGGTAAGCGTTTATTGGGTCGTAAGTCTGTTGAGTGTGTATGGCGCGCTTCCGAGTGCACTTATCGAAAATATGTTACTTTCGTATAAAGTTGGTTTCATAAGACAGGATAAGATAACAACAATGATAGATTGCAGTGTGGATTATTCTGCTTCTCAAAACATTGTCCTTTTTACAAGCAAGATGCACTGATATTATGACACTTCGTTTTTGATCTAAGCTTAACTGATAGGCGTTACAACGTACTGCAATAAGGTCAATGGCATCGTGGTAAGCCACGTCCTCTCCATCTCTATCCTTCTGGAGAGATGCAACAGATAGAGATGCTATGCGTATTAGAATGGGTCAATGGCTATCATGCATTTATTGTCCATCTAGGCTCAGGTGTCTAAGTCACAGATTTTGGGATCTGCTGCCTCACCTATTATAACATATCATGGCATCCCATGCCAGGAAGAAATGAAATAATATAAAAAGATTAATCATGATGAGTGAGAATTGATTTCCCAAGCAGTTTCTTGGGATCGATTTTAGTAGCAACAGTATTTTCCTATTTCAAGATTGATCTGGTCATTTGTTACACTTAGAGTGGTCAAAATGAGCAATCAATCTTCATTGACAGCTAGTAATTTTTGGACCCAATCGCCAAGTGTCGTTGCCAGCAGCTGACTGTTCCGCCGTGGCCCGAGAAGCTGCAATAGTTATATCACCATTCCATCTATTGTATCTCACTCGGTAATAGGCATATTGATCACAATTATATGATGCATGATTTATTGACTGATTCTCACATGTTATACATCGCATCAGGTCTCAAGGTCTTGGTAATAGATTGGTGTTTCTAACCTATTAGTAAACGGATGCATGCATATTTATGCAGACTGGTAATGTTTTTGGTATATCGGAAAAGGGTAAATAATGAGACCAGCTTTTAAAATATCACATACGAGCCACCTGGTAGTGTACCTAAATTTATAAAATGAAAGAATGGTCATGATAAAATCTATTTCTTCACTTCTGATCTTTAACATCTTAGCTTTATTTTCATTAATGAACGACTCATCCCGTTTCCGCGTCTGATTTGCATGCACTAATAGCTGTAGCTAACATTGTTATCGAGAGTAATACAACTGTTACTTTAGGTTCATTTTTCTTTTAAATTCTTGAACACCCTTGGAATCTGCTAGCCACACAGTACTCTTAGTACTCTAAATAAATGTAAGGCAATTTAGAGGCAAAATTTATTTTCCAACCAATTCTGTCATGTTCTCATTTAGAGGTCTGGTTCAGAAACTTATCGCTAATTGAAAGCGCACCTTCGGCTCAATATTGCTAGTACCATTTTTTAATTCTTGTTATGTTGCAGTGATGCCTGATTGCATACGCCTTTGAAGGAAGATCTATAAGCATTTAGACAGTCCAAAACATGAAATCTACATTAAATCAAGGGAGGTCGAATTACCACAGAGCTGTTAGAATATCGTGTAAAAACATTCACATTCTCAAGAGAAACATTTGAAATGCATCACGCTAGTGAAAACACACGGATACTTATCTCGTTATCGTAATAGCTGCGAAGTAGATTGGCTGTAAATATATATTTCCTCGAAAGGGAAATAGATCAACATCTACCAATATAGGCTTCAACAATATTTCAGCAAGATTACCTATTAGAAGACGAACCACACTTCCAATTAGTCGTTTGCCAATTTAATATTTATCAGGATATCTATAAATATATGAAGAACAAGCTAATCAAATTATCAGATAATTAGACTTGTATAGTCCTCTATGTCTACGCGATTGAACTTTTCGGATATTGGACGGTTGTGGCTCACTTGTATCAACAGTGTATTGCAAAAGTTTCTTATTCTATTATTCTTATGTACTATTTTATTTATTTATAATTTCAGAACAATAATAGACTGACACTTCATGATGTCCGAGGCAATCCTAGATATTGGCTTAGATATACAACGATGCATCAATTACGACACGGTGACTAGGTGATTTGGAGCAAACGTTTCCATGTGATGTTGGATGCTCAGTTCGACCAAAAATTAAATGAACATTTGGATAAAAGAAATTACTCGATCATTCACAGAAATCATTCCGATGAAATTGGATAAATATTATCAACGTGTTCTGGATATGCTTCGAAGCAAATGACTATTCAGTTCATTTGAATAATTTCGTTCCTGGTTCAGTTTTATGATCAGACCCTAAATAGATGATTTAATTTTCATCGTAATTTATGGAGGAAGAGGGTTATTTAACCTACATCTAGGATGAGGTCCATTGATGGTGACAGTTCACTATACTGTACTTGATATTCAAATCAATGACTCTGCTTGGCGTTGCCGATAATAATTTAGCTATCAACGTGATGTCAGTTGACTACAGTTCGTCAGAATAAACTCGTCATTGATCCTGCTTGGCTTTGCCGATTATAATTTAGCTATCAACGTGATGTCAGTTGACTACCGTTCTTTAGAATATACTCGTCATTGATCCTGCTTGGCTTTGCCGATTATAATTTAGCTATCAACGCGATGTCAGTTGACTACAATTGTACTTAAGAATATACTCGTCAATAGTCCTGCTTGGCTTTGCCGATTATAATTTAGCTATCAACGCGATGTCAGTTGACTACTGTACTTAAGAATATACTCGTCATTAGTCCTACTTGGCTTTTCCGATTATTTCGCTATCAACGTGATGACAGTTGTGCTTCCAAATACACAAGTTGCTGGCCCTGCTTCATGACCATTGTCACATGGGACTGCGCCATCTGATTAGATGAAAGCAATTCAACAAGATACAACTGCTATACAATGGCGAAATCATGCAATGTCCTCAGACGACTCGCCATCACTTTGACATCACTGGTCTTCTTCTTCGGTTCTGTACATATATCAAAACCAGGTGCGTTAAAAACTTAAAAAGCAAATTCTATTTTTGGCTTATAAACACCATTCTTACTTACCAGACGTCTTCTTGAGCGAATGGATATGAAGGCGAAATGGCATTAATATTGTAATGAACAAATCCAATGACTGACTATAAACTCGGATACAGATAGTAACTTAATTTAGATCAATACTTTGTTTCACTTTAAAATCGACATTTCAAGCCGAACCTAACAAGCACTATTAGATTTATCATTGGGTCACCCATCCTCAGTGTCAGAGCCTAATACCTAGGTCACATTTGCTCCGATTCATCGGTCGGCGCCCGGTCGATTCAGTATTTTGTTCAAATTTGAAGGTCAGATGTGTACTCCTGAGAATTTGTACATGATTAAAAAAAGGTTTGGTCAATTTGAAGCAAGTTGAAATCAGTTTTGAACAAAATACTGCAACCGGCCGGGCGCCGACCGATGAATCGGAGCAAAGACCCAGGCATTATGTTTTAGAATGTATTCATACATGTGTGGTCAATGTGTGTCCAATTCCAGCAAATCAGAACACGCTATTTCTTAAAACTGCATTGCATTATATAACCAACAACCTAACCAAGGTTACATTTAGATTCATGTAAAACGAAAGAAACCGATAAGCTGATCATTTTCATAGTTGAGTAAATAGTATCATAGGGAATAACAAGCAAAGTGCGTATGCAGGTTAAATGGTAAGTGTTGAATGGTTGTCAAGGCGACAAGTTGACCCTTGCAAAGAGTTTCTTTGAAAATATATCATTTTAAGTTAAAACTTACGTCATGGATCTCGTGCAAAGTTTGAAACAACACCTTAGAGGAATGATCAGTCCATAATTCAATTGCAAAGAACTCAGAGCTTAAATCCTTAAATAGACGGAGCTCTCCTTAAGGAAACAAGTTCAAATTATTGTAAAGGGTGCAGTACACCCGGATAAATTGCTCATTTATTTGGTGCTTTTTAGAGGATTTGCTATAATATGGCTTTGAATTGAAATCTTGTCGAAGTCTCGTTTTCAAGGGATTTTAAGGGTTCGTGATTAAAGGATTTAAGCCCAGGACTCAATAATTTGTGGTATGATTGAATTTTTTCTCATATTGCAAAAGATTTTGTACAGTATCACCAAAAAGAATGACTTTTTTCAAGGGTTTTAAAGGTTAAATAGCCCAAACTAGGTCAATACTTATAATTTAACATATATTCCTTATTCCTTATGATACAATTTATAGTTTTTTCTCAACTGTCAACTTGAAATTATCTTGTTTTAATTATAGAAATACTCGGTTCTTATTGACTAGAATTTGATATGTCTTGCCTAGCTAACGCGTTTGGTTTCTCTGACCGCAAAAATCAAATCCGACAAATTGTTTTTTCTTCAATTATATCATGCTTTTTGTAATCATTTTGCATTTTCACACTGGTTTGTTCTCCAACAATATGATTTTTTGAGTGATCATGCTAAAGTGCATTTAGAAGTCCCGCGAGAACTTTCCATAAAGAGGCGCCATTGTCCGATTTCTCACTACAAGCACAACATAATATTTTATAACACTATCTTTGGCTGATTATCGACATAAAAGGCCATCGTTTCTAGTATTCTTTGAGGAAACATTGTAAGTGAAATGAAGCGAATGACTTATTTGATCAGCTTATTGATCTTGTCTTGCGATAATAGAGAAGGACTCGTCTGACAGTTTATTGCAAGATGTGCTCAATTGAAAATTTCCCACTTCCAAAAAGATTGTTCATCGAGATATTATGTGTCATATCGATTTATTCCCTGCAGCATTTGATAACAATTTCTTTGGACATACGTTAACATCGATACGACATCCGGCTTAGATATCATCCAAAAGGTGTAATACGCTAGTTCGTACATATTTTGAATATTGATGTTTCCTTTAATTGTAAAAGTGTCGCAAGTGTCGTCAAGGCCCTCAATTCATCTATTTCTGGTATTTCAAAATGCAATATTGCAAAAACAAAATTGGTGTTATGAACGAAATATTTAAAGGGATAATCATAAAACAGCAAATTCTGTTTGAAGCAATCCAGACCCTCGATTCATCATATTATATGAGTAAACGGAACAACATCAATAAATTCGAAAACTCTCGTGATCATTATGTGAACTTATAATTCCAGACCACTTGGTTAACCGGTGTAACAAGCAATACTACAATTGGCCCCTGTGTGTAGACAACCCCGATGGCTATGGTTGTAAATGTGGACCTGGCTTTTCCTGGAATACCATGGCAGATCTTTGTATTTGTAAGTTTCGGTGCATCAAACATGTAGCACAATTTCATTTGATATATCCAATCTTTGTAGCGTCCAGATCTTCAAATGTAAGGAAAACTCAAATCCCACGCCTGCCACCATTTGCAAGCTCAAAACACCGAATTTGACTTCTACCAATTTAAATGTGTCTCATTACTTGCATTCTCAATTTTGTCAATATAGTGAGTTCCACAGGTTTTACAATTTCCACCAGTTGAAAATAATCCCACCACTGCCTGTCACCATTTCCGAATAGATTTAATTCTTTAGCAAGCACAGTAGATCCAAGCCTTGACTTCGAGAGGACTGAACCAATTCGTATACATTGCTTCTTGGTAACCATTTCCAAATAGATTAAATTCTTTTTAGCAAGCGCAGTAGATTCAAGCCTTGACTTCGAGAGGACTGAACCAATACGGTACACATTGCTTCTTGGTCGACTGATGCCAGAGCTCGAGAAATTCACCATCTGCCTATGGCTGAGAGTTAGTGAGCCTAATCATAGAGGAACCGTATTCTCTTATGCTGCGAAGCTCAACCGCAAAGTTGAGTCAGGAAATGCAATTCGACTTACTGCTGGTCCCACGCTGACGTTAGAGGTAGCAGGGCAAAAGATTGACACTGAGAAAAAGCTGAACAGGTCCGAGTGGTATCATATTGCTTTGAAATGGCGAGCAAATGGTGCGTGCGTACGAATATTTCAACAACATTATTGTTCTCTTATGGGAATTTGCCGGTCCTTACTGGTTTCTATCGGAAATTGAAAAAAAATTCGAGACAAATTCTAAAGGTGGCTATAAATTATATCATGTTGCCCCCTCTCGCACATTAGCATTTCCAAGTGGTCATTTCAGATGGCGTCTTCACAATATTTCTGGATGGTAAAAGATTAAAAAGAGGAAAGACGTCATATCGTCAACCAATTGCTGGAAAGGGAGAGTTTACAATTGGGCAGAGTGCGAGGTACCATGCCGTGTATGATCCTGAGTTGGCTTTTAAAGGGCTTATTGCGCATGTTCATATATGGGGGCATGAAATGACAGCTCCCGAAGTTAGAGGTAAGGTTGAAGTGAACACACCAGGCGTACATCAACGTAAACAAAACATCATTACTTTCAGAAATTCATGAATATTACTGGTATTGAGATAGTTTGAACTGCATTTTCCAGATATCTACCGTGACTGCACATTTAGTTATTGTGGAGATCTCGTCGAATGGGTTGACTTCCGTATAGGGACGAGGGGAGAGATGAAGCTTCGATGGCCATCAGGAATATTTAGTAAGGACATTTTATGTTTTTTCTGAATGGATACTTTAGGTCTGGTTCATCTCGAGAAAGTTGCACATGATACGAGTGGTGACCAATAAGTTATGGACGCTTTTACTTATTGACCACCACGTGTAGCTAGTTTGATCATTCCATGTAATGCTGATTATGTTTCTAGATGCTACTTCAAGGTGTATCCAAGAGCAGAAACTCAGGGTTGCCGAAACCTGTGATAAATATTGCAGTCATACAATAGGTAACGTTAACAGTGGTTTATTTTGTATTAGTCAGGGACGCCCAGGGGCGAAGCATAACCTAGTACTGTTTGATTCCTACCTGCGTAAACTGTAAATATGCTGAATACAAAGATAAAACGGGGTTTTCTATAGCAGTTTAGTAATGAAACATAATACATCAATCCATTTTAAAATTGCCAGAAATAGACAGGCAGGTTAATGGTATCAAACGAAGAATATTTAATGGATAAATGCTTTCCATAGGTGCACAATGCAAGGAGCAGATAGTTGAAAACATCTTATGGCCACGCGCCCCTGCCAACACGAGCGTAGCTATAGCATGTCCGGGACAAAGTGACAAAGACAACGACACAGTATCTAATGGCATCAGTAAGTGCACGCTATTCTGTAAAACACGTGATGCATAATTGTCAATCAGCAACCAATGGCATCAGTAAGTGCACGCTATTCTGTAAAACACGTGATGCATAATTGTCAATCAGCAACCAATGGCATCAGTAAGTGCACGCTATTCTGTAAAACACGTGATGCATAATTGTCAATCAGCAACCAATGGCATCAGTAAGTGTACGCTATTCTGCAAAACATGTGATGCATAATTGTCAATCAGCAACCAATGACATCAGTAAGTGCACGCTATTCTGCAAAACGCGTGATGTATAATTGATTATCAGCAACCAATGGCATGTTGATATGTGTACCCTATTCTGAAATACACGTTTGGCGTTATATATAATTTAATTAACCGATGGCATCAGTAAGTGCACGCTATTCACATGATATATACATGTATATAATTGTTAATCAGCAACCAATGGCATCAGTGAGGCCTTTGGGTTGACCCAAACTGTATCCGATTCGAATTTATTTTGAAGATTAGAATCATTCGGGTTGATAAACATTTCAGAGTACGCCCACAGATCGTGCGTTTTACTGGAGGAAGAGAACGAAGGTTTATGGGAGCCTCCGGATATCGATAACTGCGTACAGAACAATTCATTAGCACTACGGACTAAGGTAAAGGATAGAGAATCTTTGACACAAATCAAACAATCTTGGCATTTATCATATGTTTACCTGACCTCAAAATGTACAATAATTATATGAGTTTAAAACGGATAATATATAGAAGTATGGTAATTACATTTACAATAGCAATTAATCTGGCATATTCATTGTTTCTTATCTCCGGCTGTGACATTCTATGTAAAAATATTCTTGAAAAGTTCTGATGCTAAATAAATAAAAAGACCAAGTCTTGCAACTGGAAACTCAAACAAATCCAAGAGCTATATATTTGTACATGGTGTCATCTTTTCCAGTTGGAGCACTTAGTGAAGTTAGATACTTTCCAAGAAGAAGACATCCTCATTATGGCCGAGTCCCTTAGAAACGACACAACAACATCACAATACAGAAACCCAATAGATATTGCAACCCAGATAGATTCTTTGCATCACCTCATAAACGCACAGGTAAATGCCGAAGAATTTCCTATAAAAGCTTAACAAAATATCTCTTTAATTTAACAAATCTGATAGTTTGGTCTTAGACATCCTTGGTCCAAGGGTATTTCACTTCTTTCCATTGAATTGAGTAATAAATGAAGTCGTTTGAATGAAGGATGGTCTTAGATACAGAGGAATACGTCTTTTAGTTTCACGCCTTGTTAATTACTATTTTGTACAACCCTGGTATGGAAGTAAGATAAACTATGTGACGGGCCATGTACACAAAGTCGACAGAAAAATGGCAAGGAGAAGATATAGAAATAGACAGACCACTATGTTCGTCTTTCTGTTGACCTAGTAATGTTAATTATGAAAATAACCATCGCCTTATTGTATTATTTTATATTTGCAGAGTGTAACTCTGCAAGATATATCATGGACAGACGGAATGCTACGATTTGCTCAAACGCAACAGATTTATCCATCTTTTCAACAGACAAGAGGTTTTGTGGATGTGAGTACTACTTTGATAGAATAATGGTAGAAATTATGTCATATGTTTAAAGAAAGTAGAGGGATAGAAACAAAACGAACGTTTTGAAAAGGGTATCATTACCTTGTATTACTTTTTGCTCTTATCATTTTAGGTCATACTTATTTTCTAAAAGGTTCAACAGTTCTGACTTTTTCCTTGGATGAAGAAAAAATATTTTTCTTCATCCTATAGCTTTATATCAGGAAAATCATGAATTGGGGATTCCTATACTGTAAGAGAAACATTTGTATGATGTTTTTCTCTGGAAATATTGTTTTTAATATTTTACACTCTATCCCTTCTCCTTCGTAATTTGAGGATACTATTTGAATACTGAAATCTAAAACACGTCTTCGTGTATACAGAACGATGCTCATATTTAGGTGTTTAACATATTTCAAAATCAATCCCAACTGCTGTGGTTTCTCCATGTCTGGCACACAAGAAGTATGTATGACATGTATCCTATCTTCAGAACCTTGCATATGAATGAGTTGAAAGTATATCTGAAATCTGAAAAACATTTTTTGATGTTATGAGTATTGGCTATCAATTTTTTCAATTTTTCTTCAACATGTATTGTAATGACTTCAGTATGAATGAAATGTCCCTTGGTGTTCTGGTCCTGGATTGTGATATTGGTTCTCGATTGGAGGGGGAGGGGGATGTTAGACATTGTTTCTTTTCACGTTAGATTATGGTTTTGGGATATATAGGGTCTACTTTTCTTATGACAGATTTACACTTACAGTTTGCTTTTCTTGTTGGTTTTTTAACGTTTTTAGTCACCCTTCCCTTTGGCATTTGTGCTTATATATTGAAGAGACATTACAACACTCTTAAAAATTATTACTTGGATTTCCTTATATTGAGAAATTGTACTACTCATTTTAAATCAATAATTACTTAAATAATCTTGAACTACTGAATAATTTTTAAGTATTTTTTAAGTAATTCATTTATGGTGAATTTACAAATGCAAGGAGAGAAATTGAAATACTTACTGTAGTAATTGTAATACTCATTTACATAATTAAGCAATTAAAAAACTCAATATGACAATATAAGTTAAACCTAAGTAAAATGAAGTAAAACTAAGTATTTAACTTTAAGTAATTTTTATACTTGGGAAATACTCAAGTAATTCATTTTTAAGAGTGAATATACCAGACATAGAATGACTTCAAAGTATACCAGTAACAGAGATGTATTCAAAGAGAGACATTTTCAGATTGTATTGGATGTTGGAGATGCAATGCTTAGTGAAGCTAACAACAGAGCATGGGAAGAAAGTAATCCTCTTGGTGCAGAGGGCGATGAATTCATGAAGATTATGGACAGTTTGATGGAAACTATGGCAAAGAGCTTAATCAACCATGTCAAACGAGGTGATACAACTGCCAGTGATGCATTTGTTAGTAAAATGAAAAATCATATTGGTGAGTCAAAACACTGATATTTGGATAGTCCTACATACCACTTACCAAATACTTGATCCATTATTATGTTCTACACCTTTGCGTTGCGTTGTCTTTTTAGTTCATCTTATCTGGTATTACCAATTTTAAGAAAACAAAAATTTCATTCTATGTACATGCAATACCTGTTGCACCTCCAATGCCGTTTGCAGGGTGTTTTACCCGTAGCCTGTCCACTTGATTGAACACCCTAGTATTGATATAATACATACTTTTCAGCCTTAAAGGTAAAAGTGTATAACACCGAGAGTTTAACTGGAGTAGCTTTCCCAGATCAATATGATATAAATACACTTGGTATAGATGACAAACTAGGGATAGTGGCGCTCCCTGGTGAGGCCCTGAAAGATATCAACTACACTTTGCCCGAATATATCACAGTTGCCATGATGAGGTTTTCATCATCTGCTAGAATGTTACCAAATCATAACTTCCAAAGGTAATGATGTCATCCATTCATTAATAGTTCTATAAATGTGTATCTAAAATGACCAAAATATACAAATAGATTAAAAACAGATAAAGAAAAAGTAACATTAAATTGAAATGTACAACCAGTCATAACAAATCCCAATATCCTGAACAATGATTCAAAGTACAAAGATATACATTTCGCAAGGTAATTGCCAACGGGAAAGTGCCAAAATGGTTGCAGAACACGATAAGGAAAACAAACCACAACTATCCCCAGTCATAATCCAACGTGAAAATAGACAGACTAATACCCCCTCACACACCAGAAACATTGAGCCATTTCTCCAACAAATAGAGAACAATTACATGGACATGTATATAGTAAAGTATCCCGTATAACATGTGTTAAATGTTCATTATTCAACTGCATGCCTTTGTTTCATGTGTTTAGGAAGTATAAGGATCGAAATGACAATGTGAATTCTGCTTGGTTCTCTCTACAAGTCTTTATTGATGACCATCCAATTGATTCGTTCTCCAAACCGCTCAAACTTCATTTACCTTACACAGATGTGAGTATTTATCGATAGGATTGTATATGTTTTCAATAGCTAACTTAAGTTGGTACTTGCCTTTGTCTAAGTGTTAGGAGAGAGTTAGGTCTTGGACATAACTCTTGTAGAAAGTTGGATGGTTGAATGTGTGCTACACATTTATTAGAACCGTGCGCTATATAACAATCACCGATTGTTTTTGAGTTTTTTTAAGAAAGACACAAGACACATTTTGATCTTCTTAGATAATAACTCTCACATTTATGTTTTAGAATTTCAACATTTCTAACCCAGAATGCAGACGTTTGGTTCATGGAAACGCTACAAAAATATGGAAATGGGATAAGAGAGGGTGCTCTGTAGTACACAACACCACCACAGCAGCTGAGTGCGCATGTCTTCATCCGGGGACCTTTGTTATAACAACAGACATGTATGATATCAATGTAAGCACACATCCCGAGCACATAGATATAAATCAAGGTACAAATACCGAAAAGGGGAAAGACCGAAAAGTATTTCAAAACACAGTCTGCCAAAAATATGGGAGCAAAAGCAGTCAGAATGGAGCAAATACCTAATACCCCAAAATTTCGAGCTAGCCAGGGGCATATAATGTCTCTTATCTAACGCACATGGATATGATGTTTAACTCCCCTTTCCCACAAGAAGTGAACAATCCAAATACACAAGGGCATGAGACACATGGGAGATCGTTGAAGTTTTAGATTATAAACAGAATGCTTGAAAAGTTTTTTCTGTGTCTAAACTGTCGTACTTTTATATCATCGTTTTATGCAATAATTCCTGGGAAGTATGATTTTAGGTGTATGTGTGTAAACAGACAATTGATGATCATATTTTTGTTTCAGTGGAACAAAGGCCCCCCGCCCCTGATTTTAATGGAGGTGCCGTCTTACATTGGTTGCTCTGTATCGACAATTCTATGCATCGTAACCTTCATTATGCTCATATATTATAAGTGAGTATTTCAAAATTAACATCCATTGTGATACATAAATGGTAAATGATTTAACTGCATGCTTAATTATTATCGACTATTTTAAGCATGATGGTCTTGTATGAGACTTTAGGATGGGATCCCGAATTCGTTCGATCCGACAATTCATTCAATCATGTGCTTAAATTCTTTCCGCAAATGTCAAAAGATTTTTGCTATATCCCTAAAAATGAAATTCAACCAAACATTTTAGCAAGGTCAACATTTTGCAAAAGCACGTATTATGATATTTTTACAGTTTTTCACTCAACAATTACTTGAATCTATGAAATTGATGTGGGTATTGTGTTCTGCTTGTCTAGAATATATGTCATGCCTAGCTATGTACGTCCGAATAATGTTTAGCAGACATCAGAATTTTGGAATGTATGACTTGTTGATCATCTACAAAGTGTATGAATGGCCGACTATGATTTTCTTTCAGAACCGCCTCCAATACTGCATCCATCCATAAGAATTTCTCATTATCCAGTGTGTTCTGCAACCTTGTCTACATGTTTGGCATCAACCAACTTGGAAATGCTGTGAGTATTTGATGTAAATTATGTCATTACATGGAAGCAGTTCCACCATAAATCACAGTTGTAAAATACTAGTTCTTGATTGATTTATTGCTAAGTCACAGATGTCAACGCGAGACGTTCTTTTGATTTCACTTTTGCTAATCACGTGAGACGTTTCTTTGATCTTGGCTAACACGAGCTGTAACTTGATTTCAGACTTCCATTCTTGCTAATCACAATTGTCAAACGTGAGACGTTTCTTTGATTTTGGCTAATGCAAGCCGTCACTTTGATTTCAGACTTTCATTCTTGCTAAATCACAATTGTCAAACGTGAGACGTTTCTTTGATTTTGGCTAACACAAGCCGTCACTTTGATTTCAGACTTCCATTCTTGCTAAATCACAATCGTCAACCGTGAGACGTTCCTTTGATTTAGTTAAATCAGAGATGGCTAACACAAGCCGTCACTTTGATTTAAGACTTCCATTCTTGCTAAATCACAATTGTCAAACTCTTGACGTTTCTTTGACTTCACAGCTGTTGAATGCTACATTTTCCTTTGATTTCTTGCAATTCAGACTACCATTCTTGCCAAATTACAATTTTGAAACGCTTGGCACTACTCTTGACTTCAGACTGCCACTTTTGCTAAATCACAATTTCAAACGCTAGTTGCTCTAATTTCAGACTGTTTGTCACGTGTTTGCTATTATGTTCCACTATTTCTTCCTGTCAACGTTCTCATGGCTGATGAATGAAGCCTTCAACCTTTACATTGTAATTACGTATGCAGCTCATTCACATGGAGAGCACCAACAAGAGGGTACACAATGGCGATATTATATCATTGGTTGGAGTAAGTAGAATGTGACCACTAGCAAGTTTTACAATGTCATCCATGTTTGCATGACATCAAGACAAGACTACAACAGTTTTTTCAAAGTAAAATATAACTTAGTTTAAATGGGAAGACAACAAATCAACACGTAGAAACACAAAATCCAAATCTCTTCAAGAAAATATATCTTGTAAATTCAAGGTTATATCTTTTTTAGTTCTACCTGGAGCCATGGTAGGCGCTTTTGTTGGTATGCACACAGATGACTACTATGCCCCAGACATGTGCTGGATTGCATGGCAATATGTATGGCTTTTTCTCGGGCCTGTGCTGGGCATAATTGTGGTAGGTTTTATTTTGAGATATGATTGCTTTCAACTACATTGCGCCTTTTCTGTATCCCGCTGTCAAGTTCCTGAAATATGATGTGCATGTGCAAACTTCTGCTTTTATCTACTTCCATTTTTGACTTCACAATACTGTACATGAGCATGGATAATGAATTGAATTAAATTGAATGTTGTTTCTCTTTCTGTTTATAGATATCAATACTTGTACTCATCTTCACTGCCAAAGAACACAACGAGAGTTCGTACTCAAAGAATGAGAAAACCAATAAAATGATACTGTAAGTAAAATATAAAGATCAGATGATAAAGATGACAGTAGTGTCCTTTTTCTTTGACTGCATATACTGCCATCTTTTATGAATATATCTATCACCATACGCCTATGAGTTTACTCCCGGAGAGTTTATCCTTTATATTGAGGGTATAAGATATTTGAATTGTACAAAGCGAAATAAAATGTATCTGGCCGGAAATCAGAGATTGCGAAAAAGTATGTCACGACTCCAATGTTGCTAGTTATACACCTTTCAAAGGTTTGCGCGAGACCCCGCGCGGAAGGATGGGAATTTTGACAAAATTACTGAAACATTCCCGGCCTCGCGACCAGTGCTAGGGAGTATCTTGATTCATCGATTGTCTCTCTATATTTCTCTAGCAACCATTCCAATGTGCCATGTACTCAAATGATTCGCCAGTTCCCTCTATATTTCCGGGAAATCTATTATTGAGTCAAGTGATTCACCGATTGTCTCTCTATATTTCTAGCAACCATTCCAATGTGCCATATACTCAAATGATTCACCAGTTCCCTCTATATTTCTGGGAAATCTGTTATTGAGTCAAGTGATTCACCGATTGTCTCTCTATATTTCTAGCAACCATTCCAATGTGCCATATACTCAAATGATTCACCAGTTCCCTCTATATTTCTGGGAAATCTGTTATTGAGTCAAGTGATTCACCGATTGTCTCTCTATATTTCTAGCAACCATTCCAAGGCATTATGGACTCAAGTGATATTACTTCCAGTCACGTGGATGTTTGCCTTCCTATCCCTCAGGATGAGAGGTGTTGTGCTCAAGTTTCTTTATGGCATGTTTGCAGTTTTACAGGTACGACAAAATATATCAGGTGGGACAAAATACAAATTAAAGGTATAATCAGAAATAACGAGCAAACCTTACAATCATTCCTTGTCATGTCTATTTCTTAGTAATTCCCATAGTACATACTTTATTTGAGGAAGACTAAAGAGTTTCACATTATTAGTGTTCATTTCAATATAATTGCATTTACTAAATTAATAATACAACATAAATACAAAATATTGAGAGGTCAATTTTACATGTTGCTTGCTATTTTGTCACTCAAAAAGCTCTGATTCTGCTACAAATCAAACAAGTTCTCACTGGGTTCGAAAAAATTGTGACCAAATCGGCTTAACGTGACTACAACTTCTAAGGTGGTTACAACAATACGGGCTAAATGGCGATAAAAATAATTATCAAATAAAGAGGGCAGGCCGATCAATATGTTTATTTCGATTTCTCTCAGAGAGAGGATAGGATTCAACCCCTGCTGCCATCTTTATATCGGCCCATAACCTATATGGTCATGACACACGTTAGAGGAACTGTAACATTGTGAATCAAGATGTATGGACGGTCTACCATCATATTGTAGGGCATATCACACTGAATGGTGATTGCAGCTCGTTTAACGTTTTGGGAAGGGATGGGAGGTCTTGAGAACTAGTTTGATGTGAATGGAGCTTAACATCATGTCATTAAACATAGTGTTGACCACCATTTTAGATGTGCAGATATTACAAAGAATATTATTAACTTGTCTCACAACATGAGCAAATGAAATTCACAAATTGTTCAAGCTCAAGAGTCAGTTGACTAAGAAGTGGACCCCTTCATTACATTGGTAATATAGTCACTGTAATAGAGTACATTAGGTAGTCCGAAAGCAAAGAATTGTCCGGTGACTTATCTAGGACCAATTTACATGGAACATGTGTTACTGACATTTAAGGTTCCAGTGATGGTTGTTCATTTAGAAAGTGTAGTTGCTTATAATATGTTTTGAGCTTTTTGCACAAATAATCCTCCTAGTTCAACCTTAAGACTGGGATAGAGCTAAGAAAATTGAGTTGCCTCCAATATCACGTGTGGGGATTCGAGATATTAGGATCCTGATTTTGCAATTTAAAGATGACCAACTTGAATACTTTCTGTTTGGTTTCATCATCTCATTTGAAAACTAAGACCTTATAACGACAATAACTTGAATAATGAGCGTTGGAAAACCCTTTGGCCAATGATTCAATCAATCGAATACTACACGAATTCCGGATGATTCTCTTTTAACTCTGGCTGGCTGACTGACTGGTATTTAATATTCGGAATTTATTCACTGTCTATCTAATAGCTAGGGTTGTGTGGAAGCTATAATATGGATCACTTGTCAAATATTTGACTACACTTTTCTTTATTTTCATATTGAGCAAATTATATCCAATCATCAATTCCATCGTAATTTTTCCAAGTGATATATACCCGTGTCAAAAGGCCTCTAGTTAGACAAACAGAATAAATATTGCAATTTGTCGAATCACCAAGTCTTGTCTATAAAACTATCTCTTTCCCTTAACAGATATTTCATACTTTTCATGAAAAACGCATGATTTCATATGAAAAAGTCAAGAAAAGACCCACGTGCCATGCTCCTTTTACAGCATGTTTTCCATTTGTCCAAGCGTTTAAGAGAGCATACATGAGAAATCACGGAAATCATTTATAGTATGTTAAGGGTAAGCCCTACTTAACTTAAGTATTTTAGATTGAAAACCTGTGCTTAGCAAGGTTAATTTCTTTTTCTGATTCTGAATACCAGATTTAATTCAAGAGAGCGTCATTAGCAGATTTATTCCAATGGTTATTAATATAGGAATTAGAGAAGTGTAATTTATCAGGATGTGGCTCTTAGTCATGCAAATGTGTTTTTTGATTGATCGCTTGGATAAGCCATGGGCCTGTATTGTTTAAGTGGACTATTTTCAACTGATTTATCTTCTTTTTTGACAGGGGTCTTTCTTCCTGGTCTTCTATTTCTTCTTGAATGAGGAGGTAAGATATTTTAACTTGTTTATCCAGATACCATTACAACCAAAGCGACTTGAACTAACTAACCATAAAAACAGTCTTGATCTCATTTTGTTTTGTAACTTGTATCACCTGTGTATGTAATAATAGTTGTCCAGTTATATAACTACAATCGAGCCAGCTGATCGAGCATATGTTGGTCTGTATTACTCGCAAAAATGTTTGTATTGTATCGAGCGCATAAAAGAAAACTGAAGATTTACTGTATTGCATCACTCGCAGAATTATGAAGAATTATATTGCATCACTCGCAGAATAATGAAGAATTATAAATTGCATCACTCGCAGAATTATATTGCATCACTTGCAGAATTATGAAAAATTATTATATTGTATCACTCGCAGAATAATGAAGAATTATTATATTGCATCACTCACAGAACTTTGAAGAATTATTATATTGCATGATACGCAGAATTATGAAGAATTTTATGTTGCATCACTCGCAGAATAGTGAAGAATTATTATATTGCATCACTCACAGAATAATGAAGAATTTTTATATTGCATCATACGCAGAATCATGAAGATTTTTTATATTGCATCACTCGCAGTATAATGAAGAATTTTATATCGCATCAATCGCAGGATAATGAGGAATTGTTATACCGTGTCACTCGCAGAATAATGAATGATCAACAATGCTTGATTCCTTTTATAACTAAACACTTGTCGTTACGGGACTGAAATAGTTGGGTTATACGTTTTGTTCTAAATAAAATCGCTGTTTGCTGCAGTAGTTGTTTGATTTACCTTTTGAAGTCATCATTTAGACATAGTTTGAAAAATCGCATCACCTCTGTAAGCCCATACGATTATAGCCAATTTAATGGCGTATTGGTGTCACGATTGAAACGGCAAGTATAAGTAATTAAAGGTATAATTGACATGTCAGGTAAGGTATGCGGAACACGCTTGGTTGCTCATTACCAATAAGAAATTATATGAGCACGAATGAACGCTGTTCCAAGCAATTCAGTAAAAGCCATTTAAATTACCGTATTTTGTCAAACGATTGTTTCAAATAGAAACCCTCAATGGGCAATGTCTGAATAATACAATTTCAAACCCCTGTTAACGATATAAACTATCAGATTCGGCTTAAGACAGTTTCACAATGTAGCCATCAGAATGTCCTCAATGTGCTATTTTGATATGTTTGTATATTGTTTAATGGTGATTTTTTCCTTGAAAGCTTTGTTGAGGTTGAATCCCTCTGCTAATTATATCTTAGGCGGGATGACTTTTTTGATATCAACGAAAATTAAGATTTTCTAAGTATTTCCAGGTCATAAGGGGGTATAATGTCACAAAGGAAATAAAAAGTTGATATCATAAAGACGTTGATTTTCAGCACTAATACACAAAGGTTACTGCTATGATTAAAACTAATCAAAATATAGAGCAACCAGATCTACTTGATTAGCAGCGATCGTGTTCCGCTAACACCGGCCATTGATTTCAATGGATAAGTGCCAATATCTCATATTTTCTTTCGTCTTTTTTGCTCGACATTAAGGCACCAATTTCACACATTGTTACACAGTTTAAGACTTTTCAATCTTTGTCTGCCCTCGTAACCCTTCTTAGTATTCATATATTCAATAAACTATGATTTAGAAAAACACATTTTGCGCATTTTAACCCTTGGATTAATCGCGGATATTAGGCTTGACTGCGGATTTCGTATATCACCAATGCATCATAATCTGCATGAATTATCATTGAAGATTTTATCTAGTCTTCTTGATAATATTATTGATCATATATTTCGTAATACTTTTTGTGAAAAACTGAGGAAGCTACAAAGACGTCTCATTAATGAGAGATAGGCTAAAGGTTGCGTTTCTCTAAAAGAACCATGCGGATTTAATCAAAACTCCAGTCATTAATTTTTCAGCAGTTGTAAATGTAACCACTAGACTTTTCATTGTATTTAAAACATCATCAATTCCTCCTGAGAAATTAATATTGAAATACAACTTAAACGAGATAATTAATACTAAATTCCAACAATACCATAAGTCATGATGACTTTTAACTTCTACCATAAGCCATGAATACAATGCCCTATTAATTAACAATTAGCGGAGACAGGGTCTGATTGATACGATGTATTTACCATTGATCGAATATAAAGTAAAAACAAAATGGGTAACGGTGATTATCTAATGAACGTTTACATAAAATAACAGCTTTTACCCAATGAAAAAACTGAAATTTCTTCAAAAACTCCATTAACAGTTACATGAAACCAAGTTGCTCATTAAATATACCTTAAATTCAAAGGCATTTATATTCTATTGTTATTATAATGACTATGATCTGGGGTATTGTCATATAGCATCCCGGTGAAGTAGCACAGATGGTTTAGGTGGAGCGGGTCATTATTGTACAAATAGTGACTGCCATTGAGGGAAATAGTGCAAAATATTTTCCTCAAGGGAATATCCTGTCCACTGACATGTTCCCGAGGCTACAGGCCGAGGGAACAAGTCAGTGGACAGGATATTCCCGAGAGGAAAATTTTTTACACTATTTCCCGAAAATGTGGCAGTCACTATTTGTTTTATTATATACCTGATAAGTACTCTGTAAACAAAAACAAAATGAGAAGTCTTTTCATTTCAATATCAAATGTTCACAGGTTCTTATTGGCATTTAAAGGAATTTTACCTTTCAACTCCTATAATCTCAGATTTGGGGGAAGATAAAATGTACTATTGACTGGTCACATGACCTAAGTGGTGATTAGTACAATTCATCTTCCCTGAAAGCAGGGATTTAGGACTTTCCAGGGAATTAGTTCATCTATTCCATGTCATGTGACCATGAATAAGCCAATGAGCATCTAGAATACATTTGAGGTATATAATAATCACAGATAACAGGCAACTACACCCACTGGAACTATGGCCTTGTTAGCCTCATGTGAGACACGCCATTTTAGAAATTAAAACGAACAAAATATAATTTCTGTACAATTTATTTTTTAGCATCACTGGCTTGAAACGTTTTAATTGGATTGGTCAGTTATGACTTCTGGCATCACTCGCGGAAGACGTTTTAAAAAATTATTGGCTTGCAATTATACTATGTTTAAAATTTTCATTGACTTCAGACAGCTAAAATATATCTCTATTTGCTATTGCATAACTTGACAATTGTATAATGCTTAAAATGTTAATTGTCATTGACTCCAGACAACTAAAATACATCTCTCGCGTAAGATGGATTAGAAATTTAAATTTGCTATTACATAACTTTTTAATTATATTTTGCATAGAATGTGAACTTTTATCGGTCAATTTTAATTCCAGACAACATTCATTCCCTCGATTACATGATGTTGAGAAGTATCAGCTATTCAATTAAATTGATCATATCATATATTGTAAATAAACAAATCGATCAAATATGACCCAAAAGCAATCAGCAAGAGTTGTTGGTCTCATTCTGACACTCATAGCATCTTTCTGTTTCACCTAAAACAGGGCTGAGAAAGAAATGAGATGTCATGGTTTATCATGATTTGTTGGTCTAGTTACAAGTTGATTGGAAAAAGTATTATTAATTTTTGGACAAAGATGAAATATTATTGATAAACAATCCCCAACAATTGTTGAAAAAATCATCTCTTTACAAGTATTTCTTCTCCTGAAGTATGACCTGACATTAAAAGAGAAAATGAGACCAAAGGCAAGTCTATGTTATGTGTACACTATGGAATTTATGCATTGGCATGCTCTTGCCTACAATTATCAGGTATAATTTACAGTTAATTGATGTTAATTTGATAAACAGTAAACGAATTGTCTGTGAGTGTTTATTTAATTAAGTGTTTTCATATCGGGAGTATGTCGTATGAATTACAAGCGAGTGTCAACGCGTGTACGACACGCGTTCCTAAGTGCACAATATATCTAATACATAATTAATGAAATCATTCTTTCGAAATTAAATAGCGTTCGTCTTTTTGTCGCATAATATAGTACATCTTTGTATTGATTGCATGATCTGCACGATATTTCGTGACATGATCCATAGTAAACCCTAATGTATGATGAAGGCTTGGTTGGAATTCTTTTATTTCTTCCAACTGGCGACTCAGTTGATTCACATTGTCATATGTTTTGAAGGACATAGAATGGTAATTATTTACTCCGGGAATGACCATAGCATAATGACTTCACCACTTAAACAAGAAAATTAATAGCAATAGATTCAAATGGTTGTTGACCTTGTACGGTATTGTTTCCAAGCGCTCAGATACCAATTCATCTATTTATATTTAATTAATGTTGGTGTAATTTCTAAGCCCATTTGATTTTAATAAGCATTTAATATATTCATTTCTTTACCACGAGGCGTGTTATTATATTCGGGAGACCATCTGTAGCAGCATATAGAAACGGGAAGAAGCAGATTCTCGTGAAAATTGGGACAGATTTTGAGGTTGCTTTTTCTTTATGCCCTGACATCGCACATGTGTTGCTTACTCTTGGAAAGAAATTACTTCTTTATTTTTAAATAAAATTATATCATAAACATTATTACGCCTGGTTGTATGAGCTCAATTTGAAAAATCTTTCTGGAAAAAATCAAAATATTTTAATTTATTATTTGGATCGTGTAATATATGTGTAATCAGACGGATTTGTTTAACTACATTTGCAAGGGAATGTAATCATATCACTGGCAACCGTTGAAAGACCACATTTTTATTCTATTAATTTTTAAAAAGATAATAATTACAGACTATAAAATTTAATCCTATCGTTAATACCGTTATATTAAGTGACGGCACGCCACATAAAGTGTGTAATCAGAGCTAAAACAAAAGTGTTTGAAAAAAGTTTTCGATTATTTTGAAAAAATCACACCCGTTGAGCTCCCATTACCGATCCTTGCAAGTAGAATTATAAGCACAATTAATAACAAGAAATCGCACAAATAAACTAAAGCTACTGAGATACATACATATATATTTATTGAACTGATCGACGCTCGGGGACAGAAAACACTGGTTTAAATTATGAGCGCGGCATCTTTGGGACCCGAAATCTCGTTAACGCGAGATAATTTATCATTCACCGAGGGTTAGAGCAGAACATTTATGTTGGCAATAAAATATGAAATATGGTGAAGAATTATCGTTGGAAAGATTTTAAAATTCTTTAATTGCGATTAGAAGTGATAAATATGGTCTATAAATATTGTTCCCATGACCCATTGAGGCCTTTTGCGAACAACATACGTCACATTCAAAGAAGTGAGAAATCACGGAAAACCAGTATATTCCCCAAACCCTCATATACTGCCATTATCCTCTTCAAAATAAATGATTTTCTCAATTTTCGGTCTCTCATCACCGAGATAGACGTAAACCACTAATTTGCTCCATCAATGTTAATTTTTCATAGGCAAATAATAGCCATTACTGTTGTAGGCACGAACGGCAAAACCATGTAGCAAAAATATATTTCAAACCCATTATTTTGCCCCAGTAATGGATTTAATTTAAGTGTAGTTTACAAGGTTTAACACTAATAGCGTTTTTACTTAATAAAAGCAAATCAAATGAAATTTGATATTAATTATGGTTTTAAGACTGAAGCTTTTTGATAAGTGTGAGTCTATTTCATTATTATACTTTATAGTTTAAACTGATTTGTCAAGAACAAGTGCTCGCTAATAAAAAAGCGACATTTAACGTCAAATTGCTGTCTCATTTAACGATTCATTCGACAAAAAATCAAAAGAAAAAATCAAACATATTTCTTTTAGATTAATGAACCATCTAACTAATTACTTCAAAACAAAAAAGATATTCAAATGCACCTCATTTATCTTTCTTGCCTAAGCACCCAATTAATCCCTCGCCGTTTAAAGCAAATTAGAAATATATGAATTTCTAGTTTGGACAGATGGTGATGAATGCGTTTTAGTTTTAGTGAAAACACTTCCTATGATTAGTTACTTAAGAAGACAGGGATTTATTTTTCGGACTTATTTATGGAGTTCTGTTGATTGAGACCCAATTGCAATAATCATCTTCCCTGGCTATATCAAGCCGCGTTTGTCTACAATCCGAACGCGAGCACATATTTAACAATCAATCAGTGCTGTGTAAATCAAAACCGTGATTAACTGGATGATGAGAGCTTCCATCAACTCTAATGTATATTTAGAGTTTAGTTTACTGGGTTCTGTATTTTGTAGTTTATAATGTAGCCCACTTTGCATATGGTGTGATATCTGACCTTGCCAATTACACACGGTGTGATTATGACATTGCCGGTTACATACGGTGTGACTATGAATTGCCTGTTATATACGGTGTAAATTATGACATTGCCCGTTACATATGGTGTGATTATAGCATTGCCCATTACATACGGTGTAATTATGACATTGCCCGTTACATAAGGTGTGATTATGACATTGCCCATCACATACGGTGTGATTATGACATTACCCGTTACACAGGGTGTGATTATGGCATTGCTCATTACACACTGTGTGATTATGGCATTGCCCGTTACATACGGCGTGATTATAACATTGCCCAGTACATTCGGTGTAATTATGACATTGTCCATTACATACAATGTGATTATGACATTGGACGTTACATACGGTGTGATTATGACATGCCCATTAGATACGGTGTGATTATGGCATTGCCCATTATATACGGTGTGATTATGACATTGCCCGTAACATACGGTGTGATTATGACATTGCCCGTAACATATGGTGTGATTATGACATTGTCCATTACATACGGTGTGCTTATGATATTACCCATTACACAGGGTGTGGTTATGACATTGCCCATTACATACGTTGTGATTATGACAATGCCCATTACATAGGGTGTGATAATGACATCGTCATCACATACGCTCGGATTATGACAGCGCCCTTTCATACAGTATGATTATGACATCTCCATCATAAGCGGTGTAATAATGACAAAGCCATTACATTCGGCGTGATTTAATGACATCCAATCTATATATAAGGTTTAATAAGTGATGCATGATACTTTCTAATCGTGTATATTTATATTGGTAAAGATGCATTAACTTTTACATTATCCAAGTCATATTTAGTCATTGCATATTTTCAGGTACGAGAGGTTTATAAGAAGTCGTTGAAAAAGAAGGCGTTGAAGGACCATGGGTATGATTACCATCGCTCTGACGAATCTTCAGAGTCTGATGCAGGTGCTATGCAACTGGTAAGTACAGCCATGTTTAGGCTTTCAATACTTTACCATTTGGACCAGTTATTCAGTGTTTAACGAGTACCAAACTTTTCACCGAGCATAACCTTATGTTACATGATGCCTTATGATGTCTTTTACGTTCTACCTTACCGTCCGCAGCTGGTTGGTAAGATTTGAAGTTATTCTGGAGTGAAGAACACATTACTAAATATTGTATTTGGATTATCATAATAAATAATTTTCCAAAATATATTGTTTTTATTTATTATTTCGTAGTTATTTTCATTAAGTAAATATTGATTGGAAAGCACAGGCTCGGAGAAAACATTATTAAACGTAAATTGGTATTATGTTTACAGGAGGAACACCATCAGCGGTATTCAGACGAAGAACACGTTACTGCACAAAGAAAAAAGAAACGAAGACCATCAAAAGTACGAAGCCCACTTAAAGGAAGGTCCAAAATCGAAGTTAGCTCTGATGACGGTTCAGACTGTGAAATGATGATCACTTCAGTATAGTTGCTATAGTGACCACTGGAATTCTCTCCGCTAGTCAAAAACTGAACAGTGCCACATGGCAATTTATTGCTTCGTCAACTATGGACATATTTCGTTAAAAAGTCATGACAACAACATGATGTATTATGAGACGCTGTTATGCTGCGTTGAACGAAGCAAATAATAAAAAATGTGTACCATATGGGCTTCAGCTACCGGCTTTGAGTTACTAATGAGCATCGGAGCGTAACGAATGATGGAACTCATGTCAATTTGTTGTTTAAGATGCAACTAGAAGGTGCCTAAAGAGGTTAGCATGTGCCCTTGGGGACGCCTTGACAGATCTACTAATGACTCTGGATTTTTCAACATTACCAAAATCATAAAGCCGATCCTTAGTCATAATAAACGTATGGGACTATTTTTATGATTATACATGCTTCATGGCCGAGTTTGTTCATAGTTGGCCCTGTCATGGATAGGAAGTGAAATCACAGATGGAAAGTGTTGTCACATGGGACCATGGTTCACTAACTATTGAGATAGACGGTCTGAGAGTAATAAAATTTCAGACGTTTTCCTAACATTTTGGAGAATAAAGACCCGTGTGAGTTGTATCCTTACACAAGATACTGTCCCATGAGATGCGTAGTGATTTAGTGGGCTGTGATACAACACAATCAAGCAATAATTTGCAAATCATAGTATTTAGAAAATAGTTTTATAGTTTGTCACTGTTTAAATGTCCCGAAGTGTGAAGGGAATACTATATAATATATATGTAAGGGTAATTTTTTATATTGCCATTATATTACGAAGTTGAGAATGGTATTGTTTTCAAATATCAATTTTAGTAGACCATTTGGTGAGGAACGCCAAAGGCTCAAAAATATATTACCGTGAATAATATCAGCATCGATGATTAGTTTCCAACAAAACACATATCATATGCATCATAAAGCCTCTTCCATTTATTCCTGTTATGGATAATATCAAGCATATTCTGCAGCCAAAATTTGACCTCGAGTCAATCAATTTGGATATTTGGATTCTGGTGTTTGTAGGACTGTATACGTTGTCAAGTAGCGAGCTCGTTTAGTTCTTGATTAGGGACAGGTTGCCACTATATTTTAGAATGAATGGATGTGGGGGTGACAGGTTAGAAAATTAGCAGAATCATATGAATATCAAATCTGGAATTAAATATATCCGTATGGTCATACGGTATTTTACAGTCTGTTGTGATGTATCTGTTATAACGGGAATAAGAAGAACATAAGAAGCAACAACTGAAAACATAACCACACCACACACACATACCATTCAACTCATTCCCAACAATAACGTGAATAACAGGTCTATTTCTTGCTATAAAGCAGCACTAAAATGTTTAATATATAAAACATCCCAAACAGAGAAATGAATAATACATAAAGTCCACGAAGGAGCGAGCCAAAAGTGTTCAAAGTAAACTAAAAGAAACTACTGTACAACATTACGAACACGTCATTATAATGACATGAAAATTAATATACGTATAAACAATATTGTTCCAAATTATGACAATTAGGACAAAATGTGATATAGTAGTAAAGATTGTTGTTGAAATTGATTTTATGTTAGTATTGTTTTAGCTCATTATAGATTGCACTCCGAGGTTTTGTTTAAATTAATAACAAGACGGGTTACAAGAACATCGGGGCATTCTATAATACAGATTGCTAAGTTCTAAAGACGATCTAAAGTAGTAATTTGCTGTTCTAATTTCATTAGTATCCATCTAAAAACAATTTAGCAGACTTGCTCTGTCGCTATGGAGGTTGTGATAAGAAAATCCATCGAACTTTAATTATCTCTAAGCTTTATACGAATAATATCATTTTTGTCATGTTGTTATCAAAATGTTACCATATTGTTACAAATGCAACTAAATGATGCAAACATTGTGACAAATCATGATATGTTTACACAATAAACCATACTTCTAACAAATAACATTCTTTTTGTCATTGGAAGCACATAAAAACGTTTGTCATATTTCATTACGAAGCCCGCTAGATTTTGCCTTCTCCTAGGCTAATCTGGTAAACTTATGCCGAGATCACGATCCACATAAGTCAAATAGAATAGGTTAATAAAAACGATATGTTTTATTTATAATATTCAATTCTGTTCAATAATAAGATTTCGGATTCTGCTAATTTGATTGGGGAAACAGATTCCCTGGAGCTGTCAAGTCTATGAGGTCAAATCGTGGAATAAATAACTTTGGATTAGCAAAGTACTTGCTTTAGAAAATGCTCAGGGAAAGCGAAAGAAAAAATTCAATTTAGAAATTTTGATTCTTTCTGACGCTAAGCCACAATTTTCCATGTTCATAAAATGCAAAAAGCACGGGAACTCAGCACGTTTGGAAACATTCTATACCGTTGCCATCACGGATTCCATTGTTGTTAGTTTATGCTTTCTATAATATTAGGTGTGGCCCAATCTCATTTGTTTGGATTTAATAACGTTTAAAAATTCTTAGTAGAATTGGTTAGCCAAAAATGTGAATTTGAAGATTCAATTTGTTACACCAGTGCAACCATATCATCCACAAAACAATGGTAACATTGAAATAAGCAATCCGTTTTATCCACATAGAGGAAATTGGTTAGCCAAAATTGTGAATTCGAAGATTCAATTTGTTACACCAATGCAACCATATCATCCACAAAGCAATGGTAACATTGAAATAACCAATCCGTTTTATCCACATAAGGGAAAGTAACACAAGAACACTATACACATTTGTTTTAACCTGTTTCGGATAGCAAAATGTCTGGTCTTTTTAAACAATTAAGATATCTCAGACTCATAGCCAAGGAGGGTTTGAATGACCCCCTCCCCTGACCAAAAATTCTTTCAGTGCCGTTTTTCACTGTTTGAGCACTTTTCAAGTGCTTTTGGGCCGAATTTGTCAAATTTGAACTCCCCTGGATTTTTTTAAAAATCATCCTCCCTTTTGGCAAAAGCTTGCTACGAACCTTCATCTTTATCTGCAATGCTATAAGACAATTCTGGTGTTCGTTGCATCTCCTCCTACATCAAACGATGAACGATGCTGGAAATGAATGATTCTTCGAATGAAGTTTGCTTCTAAAATAAAAGCGATAAGAAATAAAAACCAATGATGAAGTTTATTGATGGGACAGCTACCAGGGGGCAAACGCAATGCCTTTGAAAAGCTGGTATTTCATCAAAATAGTATCTTTCTTATGAGAGATATAAAAGAGAGAAACATTATACAACCACTCCAAAACAGAATGTGTTCAAAATTCAAACAGGACTGTTTATTTTGAGATTCAGATATTCAAACTCTCCGTATTGCCAAATTTTGGGATTGAATAATTGAAGGGAAATAATAACCAACAATTAAACAGTATCATAGATACTTCTTAGATATTCTTTTACCGTAACAGATGGTAAAACTTGCGTTAGTTTCTTTAGTAGATCCAATAGTCAACGAAGTACAGTTTAAATAAATCTTGATGCTTGTTCACCATTGTCCGTGTGGTGAATCTATCGGGATAAAAAACAGGCCCATATGTTAATATTTTAATGATAGAAACAGTATTGAAATGATTTGATTTATTCATTGGTGTAATGCAATTAAAGTTACAACAAAATGAATATCAAGGACTGCTAGGGTTCATAATGAGACGATTGTGAGCTACTGTTTTACGATTCGTTATTCAAATTTGACCTACTTAAAGCTACTTAAAGTGATGCAAATTCAAATTTTGTCACTTGTATTTTGTGTATCAAATTAACACATCTGCCCATCATTAGTACAAGTACCTGTCTTCTGGCTAGATTACATAAGATCAGCTTGAATACCTTAATTAATTCAAACATTCGACACTGTTGTGCTAATTGAAAGCCACTTCATCCCATGTAAGATGTCTATCGAGTTATAATCCATAATGACGTCATGAGCCAGCAGCGAATCAGCGTGAAGATTCGAACTTATTGAAGCTCACAGTGGAAGTGTATTATTGGTCTGCGGTTCCTTTAACACCATTTAGAAAACAGATGGGCCGTTGCTGAGCACACGTGTCGATCGCAAGTCGGACAAGATATCAATGAAGAGGGCACGCTTATAGACACCATACACGTATACAGGTGAGCATTATTTTAATTACAATTTCTGTGTTTTATATACTTGAGCACGCATAATCATTAGATAACGGTGACATTTGATGTAACTTGAATTGAAGTAGTTGATGAAATAAAAAAATTGGTGATAGATAATTAAATACGACATGTAAACTGGTTAGTACTGAAGTGACTAAGATAAACATTGATTGCGATAACTTCAAAACTATTCTTTAAAAACGAGTAGATTTTTTAATAATACCATGTTTGCATAGATTCCGTGATGTGATTTAGTTATTATATTACAACATTAGTAATTGACTTGAAACGCATTGGCAATTGCAATGATATAAATTGCAAAAGGATGTTACCAAGCACTCGATGCATTAAATAATGTAAATCATAGTTATAGTTACTTTCAATTTTTCTGAAAAAATGTTAGCCTGAATTTTACTTTGGGTCAAACTGCAAAATTAAACATAAGGCTTTGTGTAAATGTAAAAACATATTTTTAAAATTCTATTTGAAATCTATACTATTTGAGGCAACGTATAAAGTATGACACACATTCATTGGCCACGATACAAATTCTATATGTACCATCACTATCATATATTGTAATGAGATTGTGTGGTGAATGGTAAGGCCTTATATTTGGTTTTGTCAATAAAATTAGACTGTTATAGACTGGTATAATGATGTCATCAACTGCCATTATTTTGGTCTGTGATGCAACCTATAAAACACTCGAAATATTTGAAATAAGAATGATGCGAAAATGCTGATAATTAGTAATTTGATAAAATGATTAAATAATCCATCCAGTACTTTGCGCAGTAAATCATACTTCTCCATAACCCTCATAATCCCATTTCTGTATGCACATACATGCCTGTTAACATATGTGAAGTTAAATATGAATGCCATTTCACTGATTAACGATATGCTACAGCGTGTTAGGGAGATTAGTGATGTGTGCAATTACTTGGATATGCAAATTTTCAGGGGATTAATTTTTGTGTTTGTTTTTTATCTGTCGTTGAAATAACTCTTCTTTTGCATACTGCTAGAGCCTTGGAGTGTGGAATTCAATTTTTGTATAGTTGGTTTTCTTCACTGTTTGAATTTCATGAGAAAATAAAACTAAATCATATTAGAATTTAATAACACTGGGTCCACTTTGGTCACTCGGACTATCGCACGAATGGAAAGTGAACAATGCACATTTACAATAGAACTTATTACCCGAGAAATATCACATTTCCTCGTACAAAGATCATTATAGTTTATATTCTATGGAAAGCAGTTAAAAGGATGGCTTGGCCCATATGTTCCACGTTGAGAAAATTAAGGTCAAATTTAGGTTGGCCTTTTCAGTCTCTGAAGTTCTTTGAGTTCTTATAAGCCGACTTTTTCAAAATAACACTATCTCTAATGGTCTTAGAGTAAATACAGTCAAGAATGGCCAAATAATTCCAATCTTGAGTGCCTACCATTGAAACCATGGCAACCACATCGGTCAATCTCTAGTGTAAAATTATTTTATTCTTACATTGACAAAAAGATCAATTTTGTTAAATGGTTTAAAAAATTACCGACCCTCAGACCATGGTCAAGCCTTTGGGCGTGGGACATAAACCTAATCTGCCGTATAAGTCTACGACCTATGCTAATAACGGGAGCACTATTTATGCTCCTGAAATTATTTCTTTTATTTCTTTGACTTTTTGAAAAGTTATGATATATGAATGTTAAACCCCTTTGTAAACTAATACTATTCAAAGAGCATGTTAATGTTTGAAACTGTATATATTTAAGATTAATCAAGCAACCTGACTCGTGCCACTTTAATCTCCTCAACTAACAGATGCTTCGCTCATATATAAATGTCAATCAATAATATTTAAAGACAATAAAAATATTAAAATACAAATCAAATGCAAAATATATGAATAGATCTTTATGGTTGTTGTTTGATGACCATTTAATCCATCTGTTTTGAGCACTTTGGTCTTCGTACCGTTGAAAATAAAATAAATTGTGTTGGTATATCACCCACGGACTAATGGCATGGCGCAGTGGTGAAACAATTAGAATCATTTGTTTAGTTTAACTTAAACTTAGTCGCAAGTTTAGCAAAAATACATAATTTTATATTACATTTAGAAACATCTTTTGCAAAACGTACAAATAAAAAAATAAAAAAGGACAACGTAGAATAATATTTTCTGAAAACTACAATCCAAAACTTAGTGACTGATATCTTTATATCTTTCATGCATACTTTGTTTATTTTTCTGGCAGAATAAGTAAACAAAACATTGGTTTTCTCAAAAAATATCATAATCTAAATCTTGAGTACTTTTTGATGAGTTTTAGAACCATAGAATAAACTAAAAAATATCTACAAACGTATTGCTCTATACGTTGAATATGAAGTGAGCATATGTGGACTCAAAGAGCAACAACATTAACAGTAACGTGTTAATGCTACACAAATTATGAAGTATTTCGAAAATACCAACTTCAAATCACTTTAAAGTTTAAACTTGAACAATAACAAAAAACTCTTGAGATATCAAGACACTTCATATAATACAAACTTATTCATTTTGAATTAAAATTTTAATATTTTTCATCTGGGAGCCTCTATCTGAAATGTCAATAAACCAAGTAGTACGCACCATTGTTGTTCCCGAATAAAATAGTGTGCACAATTCATTATTTCCCACAATGACATATGTGTCTCATAGAAATCAACCAGGTAACGTGTAGGACCTTTTGACCAGAATTTAATAAAATCCTTTGTCGTTCTTCTTCCCGAATGTGGTCAGCAACAGGCATGTAAACTATAAACTATAAAGCTATAGGTGTCTAGTTCGGTGTTTGAGTTGAATTCTCAAACACTAAAAGCAGAACCACTTACTCCGAACACTCAAATTGAATAATCATCATAATACCAAATGCAAACTGAAATAGTGTTTTTGTTGAATTCAAGTAATGTTTTGGAATTATGTAATTAAAATTGAAAAGCGTGTTGAAACATATTGTAATGATTACATTATTAAGCAATCTACCTAATCGCGTTAAACGTTGAAGTGATATATTTTCTTAATATTAAAGCTCCCTTCTACGTTCTTTGATAGGTGTATTTGGGGCAATTCGGCGATGGCAATAAGTGTGTAAAGCGTAGGGACTATATCTACGTTTTAGAATGTGGACCTCTGGGTGAGGGAAGGGGGTTGAAACAGAAAATTGATGCAACATCAGTCTATACATCATATATTTATCATTAGCTGACACAAGTCCCTAAGGATGCAGACTTACCTACATCAATTCGTTCCTTAAAAATATTTTAGTTTTCTGCACATTTTAAAATTAATTAGATGTAGTCTGTAAACATTCTACAACATCATCATGTTCGCTTCTAAGGTGGGTTGACTACATTGTTTTTCTACTCCGGTTATATTAGTCTAAACCAGACAAGACAATATTTTATTTGGTTCCTCATCTGATATTTCAGTGACAATCAAATGAAATTAAGATAGCATATTGGGATTCATAAAATTAATTAGATGTAGTCTGTAAACATTCTACAACATCATCATGTTCGCTTCTAAGGGGGGTAGACTACATTGTATGTCTACTCCGGTTATATTAGTCTAAACCAGACAACACAATATTTTATTTGGTTCCTCATCTGATATTTCAGTGACAATCAAATGAAATTAAGATAGCATATTGGGATTCATATGGATTGATCGTGAATCACTATCCCCATTACACTCCATAGCGAGCACTCAAGTGATTTCATAATCTCACCAAACCATTTTATATTAAGCCTGTTTAGTTCTGAGATAAAACTAGAAACATAAATCTGAATCTTGTGTAATGGATTGGGCCCCTAATCACATTTAAGGCAGTGCATATGCCTCTCAGCAGATGAGGAATGTCTTCAAACATACGACGTTTACTCGCTAAAGTAATTGATGCATCTATAAGAGGCCAACGGCTAAAGAAATAAATTGACGAAAACATTCTCCAATCTGTAATCGAATTGGGAGAAAATACAGACATATGCTCTGAAGGAACCAAACCTATAATGATTGATCTCCTTTGGTTACATATGAATGACGTCATTAAAGGATGCACAGCCAAAATCGCGACGTAGTGGGATCGAAAAGATTGTGCGATCATGCATGACGTTTGAACGTAGTACTTATACCATTTTCCTTAAGGGATAACATCTCATCGTTTTTTAATAAAGTATCTAATAAGAGATAGCAGGTCATATTAGCCAGTGACGACACAAATTGTTAACCCAAAACCATGCCATATGTAGTTTTCGTTTTAAATGTACTCATGTACTTACACTCGATACTAGTATTATAATAATTATATTAATAATTCATTAACAATTCAATGAAAATCAGTTCAGTTAGGGAAAGTTATATTGTTTAGATACAATCATTTTATTTGATGTAATTCAACATGGGTGCCACGATTACATTTACGAACAAAGTTGCTCATATTTTCTTGCATAGATATCTTGAACTAATCGACTATAAACATGGCTAAATAGTTCTTAAATCCTTAACAATGATTGAATGCAGTAAATTATTTTAGATCGGCAGTAAAATAGCATAAAATGAACTGATGGAGTTAAGAGCTCCGAGCTATGCACCCCATTACCCGGATTTATATTAGCTATTCATGACAGTGCATCCTAAATGTCCCAACAACTCCCATGATCATTTTGCTCTTTAGACACTAGAATCATAACCATGATAGGTCAAACAGTGTCACGTGTGCCAAACGATTCTTGGGATGGAATCTCTCGTTTTCGAGGATTCTACGATAGAAGTCATCAATAAATACTTCTATTTTAATTAATGTGTCTTCTAATATAACTAAAGAGATTTACAAATGAATGGAGGTTTTCTAGAAATGTCAAATTACGGCAGAGCGAAGCAATCTGTCGTGGCTTAACAAAACCACTTTCATCTGATTCCCTTTCCATCCCGACACAAATGTAATGAGTTTTCAATTTATCGCTTGATTTATCAATAAGGTTTCTAAATGAACACTAGACCGATAGGTCTTTGGAGACCAAAAAGGCGAAATATAATTGGGGAAAACATATTCTTATTTAGCCTCAAATAGAACAGAACATTTACTCAGATTGCATATTAGTAAAGCTTTAGATGAATTATCACTAGTGGTTTTAATACATCTTTATGAATATTTATTGTGTTCTTGTAGATTGAATCAGCATATTGTAAGATGGGTGTGATTTCATTGAAAGAGATTGAAGAAGGATTGACGTTCGGTCCCTTCCCAGTATCCCTGACCTATCACGATCCGAGCTACTTGATCGGTCACATGACCTTTGACAAACGCCCGGATATTCCAGCCATGGAGGTAAATAATTGTTATGATCATCAAATAAATCAGATGTTAACCCGAATATAGCTGGCCTTTATTTGAGGTTCCTATGATTTCGTGAGTCTCGGGACATCATTAAATATTCGCCATTTTCGTAGTCATATACGAGTACATTTCTCCCCTTCTACAAATATTACGTACAGTATCAGTGGTGTTTTTTTACTTTATGAATATGATAAACGTATGTTACTTTTAGGTTGATATTTGTGATGAGAAGGTCTCAAAAAATCTCGAATGGATGCCATATGTATCATCTGCTCGAGACGATAATGAGAAGAACATGGATGCCATCAATAAAGATGGACACATCTACTACAAAACAATTCGGCATGTTGAAAAAAATGATGAACTCCTTGTTTGGTACAGCACTGATTTTGCCAATAGTCTAAGAATACCCGATATTACACCATTTAAAATGGAAGGTAAATATAATTGCTTTTTGATGGTTTTAAGATGGATTGAGCTACTATTTTTAGTTTATTAGTATTTTGTGGCTGTTTTGTTTGTCGTTCATCTATACTAGTGCCCATTGTGTGCACTCAGTTTTCCTTTGCGACATAGGTTAATTCAGATATGAATTCGTCAATATCAAGACACATTTCATCATGTAATTATAATTTTCTCATCTTCTCCGATTCTAGCCATTCATACTTTCACGCAGTAGCTTTTTTGTTATGAACTTGTCCCTTTTATCATATGGGCTTTCATCTACTGAATGTCCATGCTTTTATAAACTATAGCCCCCATTTGTTCTTCATCAAAAACCAAAACCAAGAAACAAGTTTATGTATGGCTCATACATGTACATGTCACATGTCACTGTTTAAACGTCATCATTTTTTATATTTCAGACGAGAATATGTATGGATGCCCACATTGTAATCAGACATTCCAATACCCAAACACATTGCGATCCCACATGAGGTTTAAATGCGATAAACGCCACCGACTTTATGACGACAACCCACCAACGACACTAAGTCGAGGTCTTGACTACAAACATTTAGCGAGAAATTTTGAGAATGCGCATGAAACATTCTTTTCTACATATTACGATATCATGTCTAAGAACTTGAAAGACTATCCTTTACATAAGATGTTAGCACCTGCAATAAGTCCATCGTCATCTTCAGCCTCATCTACATCGCCAGACGACTACACGTTAAATCCCGAACTAGTTTCCGGAAATAAACGGAAACTACCGAGCAGTGTCGATGAGCAAATTTCACCTAAACGTCGCTCTCTTGAACAAGAGACTCGTGAAACAAAGCCAAAACAAAAATCTACGCTATCCCCTTCTACAAGCCCAAAATATAAGTCAACTAATTTCAAGCTTAATTCTCTCAATCGAAATGACGAGGAGAATATCAGCGCCTTCCGAAAGGTCGAAAAAAGGAGTGACTCGCCTCGGAGTGATAACAAACATAGGAACTCTATTACTGGAACAATGGCTAATGGAATACCACCAAGTCAACCAAACCATTTATTTTCCCCTACTCCTCTTAGCATGCCTAATATTTCCCGACACGGACTACCTGATATTCGCATGACATCTGCATTACATCCAAGTTTCCCAGAGTCACTTGGGAGTGGACTGCCGCGGTTTTCTATGCTGCCACCTTTATCAACAAATCCTAGTTACCAAGAGACCCAGTTACAAAAATCATTTAGCGACATCTATAAATCAAACATGAAAATGAACGAGTTTTCAAAAATGTCATTGGAGAAGCTAACGCGAGTGAACAACAACAATGTGATGCCAAAACTCCCAGGATTACCTGATGTTCGATTCGACATTACGAGTCTTGGCCCAAGTAGCCCTCCAAGGCATATGGGGAGCAACAACCCAATGGTTGAAAAACTGTTAAACGGCATCCCTGTTGGACCTACTCCTTTGGTGCCTGCATCGCTTCAGGGGACAGTTGGACTACTTCAGAACTGGTGTGCCAAATGCAACGCTACATTCAGAATGACTAGTGACCTTGTGTACCATATGCGATCCCACCATAAGGGTGAGGGGGACATTGTCAAAAAGAAAAGGGATGATAAACTAAGATGTACCACTTGTGGAGAAACATTTAGAGAACGTCACCATTTAACAAGGCACTTGACATCACACCAATGACATACACCATGTAAAAATAACTTATTATAATGCTTGTAAATAATATATATGTAAAATATACGAAAGATAATATAACATATTGACAGGCATTATGTACATGTATATTTTGTGAAAACAACAAACCTCTTATGGTTTTCTAATGCTCTAGAAAAATCAGTTTTATTATGAGAGATGCACTTCATTTCATCTTGAGGGGAAAATTGAGCTAGGCGTCCTATTCAGGCACTGATCAAAGACGTGCATAGTTCAGAAATAGAATTAAAAGTATTAATAAAAAGCAGTAAACGTCAAGAAGTTGGGGAATTCCCATTTACCTTGACCAGTAATGTTCGAAATATAAAATCATGGCAAGCTGCGTTAACGAACACGTATCATGCAAATGACTTTAAAAGTGCAACTCAGCATCATGATTTCGATATTAAACTAAGCATTTTCAATTATGCAAATCGTGATGATGTGTTTTATCGAATAAATAGGAACGCAATAACGCCTTATCAGTGGCGAAACAAACCTTATCAGTAATAAATTTATATATTTTAGTCAAACTCAAGTGTGTCCAGGGATTGCACAAGCAAATGAAAGCAATGCTATATGAGTACATATTGCTATGAATGCACGTATTCAAACATATAACCAAGTTCTTATTCAAATATCCCAACACCTCGTCTACCCCTAATCTGATGTACACAAAAACCCAGATTCAATTGTCAGTCACTGCTACCAAGTTAATTAGTATGAACAAAATTTTCAAAAAGGCCTTAATTAAGCTTGTCCTATTTAACTAAGAAAGAACCTCCATTCTTACTGAAAATGAATTCAAGCAATACTCTCCCACATGAATCTAATTGTTGAGACTCGAACAACTTGAGTTCTTTGAGAAAATGAGGATTCCAGTGAGGGTGCAATTGACCTAACATGGCTGCATATTACGATAAACATTCTAAGATGGACTACATGCTGTTGCGCCATACACATTAGCTGTGGAAAAGAGGTTTCATCAGCTGCCTCCAACTTCCATCAGAGTAGACATCTCAAATAATAGATTTTTAGATTCTGATTTAAGATTTCATCAATTACATAATTTAAAGTTGATTGCCCTGTTCCCTCCCCTTGTATAATCAACAAATAAATCTTTTCTAAAATTGTCATCTCGGCACATGAAATAATATTACATTTCGAGGGAGAATGAATGCACACGTTCGGCACAGCCATTTAGTTGGATTGGATGGATGTCAAAAATGGAAAATGACCTGCCTACAGTTGAAACAGTTCTGTAAAACTGTTTTGTCATTGTGTGAAAAGAAAAGGTCTTGGTCAATCCACTTGTGATTTTTTACAAACAATGCATTGAGCTCAGTGTTAAAAACCTTAAAGAAATACATTTTAGACTAGTCAAGACTATATCTATGATCACATTTCTCTCGTACTTGATTGAGTAATTTTGATAAAATACTACATTTTTGTTCGTTCATATGGTAAGAAATTCAAATTGACAACTGCAACATTTTGCTCACAATTCAACTTATTCAAAAATGACCAAAACTAATGTTTACTACATCAGGAAATTTGAATCAAAATATTTTCAAACGTCATATCCCGTATGTAATTTGTGCATGGATATTTAACTTAAAACAGGATGGTGTAACGTGGGAACAAAAAGCTTTTATCAACATGTCAATAAAGCTCTCAGTATTTATAGCATATTGGCCACAAGGGCAATCATTTTGGGTAAAAATGGTAAGTGAAGATTATGGTTCTACTACATCTAACCGAATGCGTTTCTAAGTATTACATATTATATATTTTTGACAGAGAATAACATAATTGAATTACACATCATTTTGTGTGCCATTAAAATGCTGAAAATATGCCTATATCTCAAAGTTCTAATTTTCCATTTTGCAGTTGCCTCTCGTTTTATTGTTCATCGCTGCAGCCTCCGCAGGTAAACATAAAAACTTCATATTTCTGCTCAGTTTATCACTACCCTTTGAGATACGATAGCTTGTTTTAGATAAAACGGTGGAGAACTTTTGGATCAACCCTCGTACAAAGGACCACGGAAAGTATTGCAACTGGTTTCAAATACGCTGCGCGCAGAGTCTAAACGGAGCTCTCTTTTGAGAAGCAAAGTTGAACACATGGAAAGGGTAGATTTCAAATAGTCATACGTTGGATTTTTGCTATTTTTGCGGAATTGAACAGGTGCATATGTTAGGTCAATATATTAATTAGAGGTGATGAAATAATTTGGTATTTGAGACAGGGAAGGTGCTAACACCCCACCAACACGTCTTTTCTGAAATGTTGTCCTGATTTTCAGCCATTTTCACGTCTGTTTTTCAATGGTTGATGCATCAATATGTTGCGTTTTGAGACATGTACAGTTTACCTCTTAAAAGGAAAAAATGGATTCATTTGGGATAAAGTGGAAAACAATATTTCATACGTTATTTTCCCATAGAGAAAACGAATGCGATCCTATTGTTTTCGGTTTAATTTTGGTTAAATAATTGATATCTTTGAAACCTTAAAACCTCTACATAAATCATATTTTCCTTTAAAGAGGTTAACCGTGTCTCAAAATGCAACATATTGATGCATCAAACATTTAAAAAACAGGTGTGGAAAGGGCTGAAAATCAGGACAACATTTAAAAAAACACGTTGATGGGATGTTTGCACATTCCCTGTCTCAAAATCCAAATTATCTTATCATCTAGTGCTTGGCCTGGAGTTAATGCATTAGCCTAACATATGCACCTGTTCATGATCAAATCCTCAGAAAATAGCCAAAATCCAATAAATGACTGAAATCTGTTGTGATACCTTCCATGGCCTTCTTTGAATAAAAATAATTTTAGTCTAGTCAGAACTAGATGAAGAAATCTTCATTTTTCTTCATCCTGGGTCAGAAACTCTGGCTCGCAACAGTCACCATGCATGCGCAACATGCTGCTAATCATAGTTACTAAATATAGTAAGTCGTTTGGCCTACAATTTATGAAGTCAGGCGATTGGCAAGCATTTAGTTGAATAATGTATGATTGATAAAATTCGTAGAGAAAAAATGTACATTATTTATACTCATGTAATCTTACAAACTCTCCATTACCTTAGGGCCAAGTTGTCGCTACTCGGAGTGGGACGAATGGGACCAGTGTGAAAGGTCTGCCTTGTGCCCCCGTCCAGTGGAGAAGTCCTTCAAGACCAACCCCAGTGCCTCAGTCCCCAACGATGTGGGACGCCAGAATGGTATAGATATGATGGCGCTAAAAGAAGAACTCTGGTCTCGTCCCAATCCACAGAGAACCAGACCCAACCAGATCGGAGCCCCAGTCACATGCTCTGGGGGTAAGAAACTAGAAAAACACTCCACGGAGTAGCAAATCCCACCGAACGGCAGTTGAGTTACCAAAGATTACGAAAATGAAAATGAAAAATGGCAGCCATTCTGAAGATCAGCCGCCATCTTAAAAAAATTTTCTCGAACAGAGCTACTGTGTTTCTAGGCATCAGCATATAAAATTTGAACCAAATCTGTTCACTGGTATTTGACTTATCAAAGATTACGTTTTTTCTTATGAAAAATGGCTACCATTTTGAAATTCAGCCGCCATCTTAAAAATGAGCCAAATCTGCTCACTGGTATTTGAGTTATCAAAGATTACGTTTTTTACGAAAAATGGTGTCCATTTTGAAATTCAGCCGCCATCTTGAAAATTCTTTCTCGAACAGATCTCCTTTGTCCCTAGGCATCATCATATAAAATTTGAGCCAAATCCGTTCACTGGTATTTGAGTTATCAAAGATTACCTTTTTTTACGAAAAATGGCCGCCATTTTGAATATCAAGCCGCCATCTTGAAAATTCTTTCTTGAACAGATCTATTGTGTCCCTAGGCATTATCATATAAAATTTGAGCCAAATCCGTTCACTGGTATTTGAGTTATCAAAGATTACCTTTTTTTACGAATAATGGCCGCCATTTTGAATATCAAGCCGCCATCTTGGAAATTCTTTCTTGAACAGATCTATTGTGTCCCTAGGCATTATCATATAAAATTTGAGCCAAATCCGTTCACTGGTATTTGAGTTATCAAAGATTAAGTTTTTTTACGAAAAATGGCCGCCATTTTGAAATCTAGCCGCCATCTTGAAAATTTTTACTCGAACATATCTACTGTGTCCCTAGGCATCAGCATATAAAATTTGAACCAAATCCGCAAACTAGTATTTGAGTTATTAAAGATTACATTTTTTACGAAAAATGGCGGCCATTTTGAATTCAGAGGCCATATTGAAAATTCCTTCTCGAGCAGAGGTCCTACACCCATAAGGCATAAGTCTATAAAATTTGAATCAAATCCGTGAAACAGTATTTGAGTTATCGCCCGGACAAACAGACGGACGGACGGACGGACAGACGGACGAACGGACGGACGGCTTTCCTATATCCCTCACGAACTTCGTTCGGTGGGATAATTATTGTTTTCAAAATACACCTTGAAATCCCAATTATCTCAAGAAGTCAAATTGATTGAGACTCAATAACTAGATTAATGCTTTGGAGTATAAGTACTATAAATTCAAAGTGCTAATTAAGAAATGGGATTCTTTAACAGAACAGTGGGCATGTTCGGCTTGATTTTTAGTACTTATTGTTGGCTGATTAGTGTATTGAATGTTTTAGGCTATGCTGGAACTTACGAATGCCTTAATGTTGATCAACAGTCCTTTATCAATCTCGACACCTTAGATGGTGCTGATGGGTGAGTACATAAGCTTTCAAGGGAAAAGCTTGCTCTTGAAAGCCTATACAATATAGTCGTATTGATATATTTGGCATAACCTATATATATTATATGTGTGTTTCGTTGTTGGTCATCTCTTTTCCGTAGTTACTTCACTCCTTTAACACAATCTCCGTTGAATCGGGAAAATTTCACTACGAACATATTTGGTTCATAATACTGCTATAATTTCACTTTTGACGCGTTTCTTCACATAGCATGGCCTCAAGAGCTAACGACAACTGGGGGTGGACTGATCCCACAAACAATCGCGAGTATGTCATCATGGGTCTTGATGATGGAACCTCCTTCGTCGATATGACTGACCCAGTTAACCCTATTGTGCTTGCCTACCTCCCAACAAGCACCGTTGCCAGTAACTGGAGAGACATGAAAGTGGTCAACGACCACGCGTTCATTGTGTCTGAGGCTGCTGGACACGGCATGCAGGTAGAGAATCAGCATATGCCTATACAGCCAATCCCCATCCCCCATGCACTGATTCACCTTTGAACACATTCTTGTCTACCCTTTGCATTCGTTCGACTTCACTTCTCAAAAGAGAGCTTCGTCCGCTAAACTGTGATATAGTCTATACTAGGCAGAGGGTAGTTTATAACTAGACTCTGCGCGCAGGGTAGTTCTTGTCCATTCCAGTTATGGAACTATACTATGAAAACCCCTTTGTACCAACCGTCTCGTGAAACTGATCTTTGGTGTCGCTATTCCATTTTAGATTGAAGAATATATAAATTTTGGGGAGATTTGCTTAATTTCTCACGGGATTTCTTTATCATCTAGGTCCACGCGTGATCATATTTTAACATCTCTGCATGATTTACACTCTCCAGGTATTCGACTTGAGAAGACTCAGAGGAATGAGCGGACCAACGCAAACTGTTCAGGCTGATGCTGTCTATGACCGTCTCGGAAATGTCCATAATATCATCTCCAACCCCCAGAGCAATACCGTTTTCCTCGTAGGTGCAACCAATGGTGACCAAGAAGGATGTTTGGGTCAGTACATCAAATTAAATCATTCTGTGTTTAACAATTATTCAGACCAAGTGCTTTCTTTTGGGTGTTTCCCTGTGATGACAATTTTATTCGAGTCATATCAGAAAATCAAAGTTGGTCTTCAATCTTCATCATGTCCGGATATATATGTCTCCCTATCTTGTGCTGGGAGAATCAAACACGATCGTTTATTACATAGATACTGTACTTCTGAATCCGACTTAGCATAATCCATATTGTCTTAATCGTTATCTTTAGCTGGACTCCATATGATTGACGTTAGCGACCCAACTAACCCAACATTTACCGGTTGCTTCGCGGATGACTTCTACGTACACGACGCCCAATGTCACCAATACAACGGCCCCGACACTGACTACCAGGGTAGAGAGGTATGTTACTGCTACAATGAGGACCAGATGGCTATCGTTGATGTCACAGATAAGGCCAACCCTACCTACATTTCCACCATCAGCTACCCAGGAGCTGCTTACACTCACCAGGGCTGGATCACCGAGGACTACACTACTATCCTCCTTGACGACGAACAGGATGAGTCCAGAAGCTTCGAAGGGTATGGAATTACTGTTACACAACCAATCTTTAAACTCGTTAAAATCATATTTAAAACTCATCCAATAAAATAATATTGCTGTAAATGTAACCAGGGTTCGAAAATGGTAAATAAAAACACGTTTCACTCATATTTTTTAATAATATGTATCGATTTGTTGTAGCAATACTCGAACTTACATCTTTGATGTAAGGGATCTCGATAATCCCGAATTGAGGAACACATTCTACTCTGCCAGAGAGGCAATTGACCACAACCAGTACATCCTCGGGGACTACACTTTCCAATCCAATTACGAGGTCGGTCTCAGAATCCTACGTATTGACCAAGCTAATTACAATCTTGAGGAGGTCGCTTTCTTCGATGTTGATGACACCACACCAGGAGGACTCGTTTCATTCCAGGGATCATGGAACAACTACCCATACTTTGCATCTGGTAAATACATTCCAGTTAATGTCGTATATCTTCTAGACAATCAACACTTTTCAAAACATTTTTAACATTAAAGCAAATGTTTTTACCTTTGTTTTGGTGCTTTTGTATCATGATTAACTGAATAATTATTGTGAAATCATTCAGACAACACGACCTTGACGATCCCGACGTTAACATGTTATTTACATTTGCAGGAAATATCCCCGTGACCTCAATTGAGTTGGGACTTTTCATCGTGAGACCTAACTTCACTGCAATGGAAGCCCAGCATCAATCCGCCAACAATGGTTATCAGTACAGGACCAGAGAACTCATTTCCGGAAGTGAAGACACATGCCCCGCCGTTAAGGAAAGACGTGAATGTGTCGCACCAGCTTGTTGACTTTGATGTATAGCATTTTATGATGTAGCACATTATTACATTATATCTAAATATACAAGTCTAAAAACAGAATGAACTTGTTTTACTTGTCTTTTAGTTAAGCTAATAGACTTTGGAAAGATCATCTTCTAAATGCAAACCCCAGTTTATTCAAACGAGGATGAAGAAAAGATTCTAGGGATCAGATCAAGGAGGATTGGCACTCACGATCGAAACTCGATATTTTCCAACAATGAAAACGTCTAAATGTCGTTATTTTCTGAAATTAAAACCGACTAAAATTCAAAATAAACCGTTCAAAAGATTCGAACCAATATCTCGATCATTTCTTACATGAGTTTTGGAATTTTTTGTCAGGAAAGAAGACCAAAATTCACGATTCAAATGTTGAAGTGAACAAAATGGCGGAATTTTGAATTCGAATTTTGTATCACGACATGCCCATATGTGGAACAGAATATCGAAGTTGCACTCTGGGAGCCAATTCTCCTTGGCCTCAGATCGAGTAAATGATTGAATAAAGCTATTTGAAAGGTGTGAAACTAAATATTTGAAAGGGTTGTATAAGAAGGCGTAATAGTGTTAAAGGAATTGACAATAATTTTAAAATTACCTCCTGTTCAAGTTGCAATCATTTTTATAGATTATATTGATAGATTTAATATCACTGAATATGGTATTGCTTGTTGAGAACCACACAACATTACCATTTATCATTTATTTGAGATTTAAGCAGGGGTCCATTTTTTAAAGAAATAATCATTTTAAAAGATTTCTTGTGAATAGATAATAAATAAGTACAAAAACTATGAATTATTATATATCAAGAGCATAATGTAAAATTTCAACTGAAAATTTAGATCAAATTGGAATCCAAGTTCACAGTGGGGGGTATAACTCATCAAACACTGTATACTTTTTTTAAAGCTTATTGTTGCAGCTTTATGTTTTTAATTTGCTTTTGTTAGTTAGGATTATATCATTGATAATTCATGAATTTTTGTGCACCAAACAAGGTTACAGAACTTCATTTATGAACGATTTCAGCAGGGGTCCATTTTACGAAAATTAAATATTTTTCCGGATAGTTCTTAGATGGAAAGCTAGTACATTGTTACGATTAAATTACATCATTAAGGTGTATAAATCATGAAAACAGATTTCATCCTGATGTCTACAACCTAATTCGTATAACGCCATGTCACAAATGGGGGGGGGGAGACATTGACCTCCACTTGGGGATCTTTATTACTTATATGATTTCAATATTACAATAATGTCGGTATCATTATAAGCAGGCACTAAATAAGTGTAGACTTGACAGCAAGAAGATTTATACAATTGAAACTGTAAAACGAGATAACATTTAGGCTCTAAAATCACAATGATTGGTATAACTAATCAAATGTTTACTTTTTAAGGTTATTATCATATCCTAGCAATTTAAATTGGTTTAGATAGTTATAATTGAATTATTTGCAGTTTCTGAATTTTTCGAATATCTTAAAATGGTTCAGATTTTCATTTATTGAAGATTTAATTCAAGTCTAATTCAAAAAGATGAATATTTTTGTGGATAGTACTCAGATCAATTACAATTATTACCACCTTGCAGGGAATGTTATAGGGGTATTAGTGCTAGTTTAGAAGGCATTTATGTTACTTTATCGATCTGAGCAATATGTGACGTCATAGTGGCGGGCCATAGTGGCGGGCCAATTATGCATTAACGCCCGGCAATTTTCCCCGGGAAATGACATATCTTTCAATGCATTATAATTTTTGCTATTTCAGCCCTGGGCATTAACTGTGGTAATACAAAACTATACTAATAACCTCATTTCTGCGGGCAATATTAAACAAATACTAGATGATCAGGAGCTTGATATGGCAGAATACCTATTCGAGAAAAAAATATTGGGCGAGGCGGTATTTATTAATTTCATTATAGAGCGTTTGGGTTCTAGCATTGCCTCATGGGATAGTCTATTTTCTACTAAATAAAATGATTTATTACTAAAGTTATGTGCTTGCAGAGATAGCCTGTATCCCAAAATTCATATTTCCTTTCACCCCACATCATATCATTTGCTTTATTGATGTTAAAATCTAACTTTATAAGTAGCGGGAATAAATTCTTAATTCATCTTAGATTATAATTTAAATGCAAAAGCCGATCCATGAGAAGATAATTCGTTGTAAACTTCAAAAGTGTCAATATCTAATATTTTTCATTATTATGGACCTCTGTTAAACCCCTCAATGATAAGTAAACGATAATGTTGACAGGTCCTCAACGGATGAAAACGTATGTAGGAATATATGTTTTATCATTTAAACATATCATTTAACAATTGGCGGATCAACGAAAAACAAGATGATGTTAAAATAAAGTGAACTAAATGGAACCATTATTTTTTATCATTTTGAATGCAAAATATAGTCCGACAGACGATCTTAGTTTCAATTTAACAGATAAAATCAATATGTCATACTAATAAACTTTCCAAAAGCCGATAAATGGGTTAATAATCTGTTCTAAACTTCAAAAATATCAAAATCTAATATTTTTGTTGACCCCTGTTAAATTGCAAAATCCCACATTAGACAGCTATTTTGAATTTTTTGAGGCCCGAATCAGAAAAACGCTACAATATTTGCAATCTACTCTAAATTGCCTTTCATTTGAGTATAATAAAGCTATACTTCAAAAACATCTCAAAATTAATGCAAATGCAAATCTAGGATGTGAAATAGATAGATATTGTTAATATACTACCAAAATTTCAAATAATAATGTTTCTTATTTTGGTTTAAAATGAAAAACATAAGATTTTTGCGAAAAATTCCCGCCATTTTTGAAGTGGCGGCCATCTTGAAAAAATTTTTTGCGTATAACTATTCGCCAAAATCTTTCCACTAAATATGAAAAAAATCTGTCTACTAGTATTCAAGTTATCTTCCGGACAGACGGACGGATGGACTGACTGACTGACGGACTGACGGACGGAGGGCTTCACTATATCCCTACTGAACTTCGTTCGTTGGGATAATAAACTTTCCAAAAGCCGATTAATGAGTAGATAATCTGTTGTAAACTTCAAAAATATCAAAATCTAATATTTTGTTGACCCCTGTTCAACCCCTCAATAATAAGTAAACGGTAATGTTGACAGGTCCTCAACAGGTGAAAATGTATGTAGTAATATATGTTTTATCATTTAAGCATATCAAAACAATTGGCGGATCAACAAAAAACAAGATGATTTTAAAAGAAAGTGAACTAAATGGAACCATTATTTTTAATCATTTTGAATGTAAAATATAATCACACAAACGATCTTATTTTCAATTAAACAAATAAAATCAATAGGTCATGCTAATAAGCTTCCCAAAAACCGATTCATAAGTAGATAATCCGTTGTAAACTTCAAGAATATCAAAATCTAATATTTTTTATTTTTGTGGACCCCTGTCAAACCTCTCAATAATAAGTAAATGGTAATGTTGATAAGTGCTCAACATGTGAAAACGTACGTAGGAATATATGTTTTATCATTTAAAGATATCAAAACAATTGGCGGATCAACAAAAAACAAGATGATATTAAAAGAAAGTGAACTTAATGGAACAATTATGTTTAATCATTTTGAATGCAAAATATAATCAGACAGACGATCTTATTTTCAATTAAACAGATAAAATCAATATGTCATGCTAGTAACCTTCCCAAAATCCGATTCATAAGTAGATAATCCGTTGTAAACTTCAAAAATATCAAAATCTAATATTTTTTAATTTTTGTGGACCCCTGTTAAACCCCTCAATAATAAGTAAATGGTAATGTTGACAAGTGCTCAACAAGTGAAAACGTATGCAGGAATATATGTTTCATCATTTAAACTCATCAAAACGATTGCAGGATGAACAGGAGGAAACAGCTTAATTAAGGCTTATCTGAAAAATTCCTTTATCCCTATAATCAGGTAATGCTCGTGCAACAAATCACATTCTAGAATGCTTCAATAAACAGAGGATCAAACGGAATGCATGTCAGATCATGCATAGTCAAGACCAGAGTCGAGACCTTCCTTTATCATGGGTCTGGAGAATACATTTTCTGTTAAGTACACTATTTTGTATTTTACTGGTATAAGGCTACAATCTTTGAAAAACAATGTTTCTGATCATATACTAGTAGATATTGAAAATATTTCCGGCGCATATTGGTTGACATACTTGGTGAAAATACGTTAAAGGTTACGAATACAATTGCGGCGGTCGTTTGTCAATGGATCAATGGTATATGGAAGTCAACAGTATATGGAAGTCGATGGTATATGGAAGTCGATGGTATATGGAAGTCGATGGTATATATAGAAGTCAATGGTATATATAGAAGTCAATGGTATATGGAAATCAATGGTATATGAAAGCTAATGAGTACTTGTACTATAAATCTAACGGAGCAATAAAGATAATTATAGAATTCATATATTTTCATTTTGAGACTGATGTTGACTATGCATTGCAGGTGCACATAAAAGTACAGTGAGTATTTTTTATCATATCTATATCTAGGCTAGTTCTTATCTCTCAGTAAATGTCACTGTAAGCGGAGAGTCTGGCATTGTAAACACTCTGTTTAGCATCCCTATTCCTTTTCCGGTATATCCCAGTTTGAAATGCCCAACCATTTTCATTAGCGCTAGGTATATCTCCTGCTCTGCAAACCTCCTCCCGACGCACATCCGGGGACCGTAGCCGAATGGCATCATGGTGAACGCTGGTGGCGGGTTCAGTTCAGCGCTCCCATCTTTCATCCAACGCTCGGGGACATACTCAAAAGGTTTATCGAAATATTCCTCCATGAGGCAAGTCGTCTGAGCGTTCATAGCGATCAGCGTCTGTAAAAAGAAGTTATGGTACATTTTGGTAACAAATTTGCCTCATGAGAGAGAAACGGCTGGGGTATCATATCAACCCATGTAGTGTAGGATTTTTGACATTTTGATATTCTTCTTTGGTGGCCTGCACAATCGTGTACCTTTATATGATGAAACAGCATTATCAATAGTATCCACCCGAGCAAGTCTAAGGGTGAGATCTTAAGGGTGAGCATTATGGAAGGCAACAAGCGTAGACACCCTCTCCCAAATTATGATGGGACTCGAAATGAAGAGTAAAATTTAGTCTGTACTTTTTCTGACATCAATATTTTTCCCTCAACAAAAAAACGAAATATATTCCTAAACTAACGTTACATTAAAGGGATTTTCGTTTAGAATTAGAAAATGTATAATATTCAATCAAGAGCTTATCTATGTTAAAATGGATCAACGATAATGAAGTACTTTACCCCTTTGGGAACTTTGTAGCCACCCAGTTCCAAACTTTCCTCTAGTATTCTACGTGTTCCCCCCTCAATGGGAAAGTTTAATCTGCAAAATTAAATATTTGAATGAATTATATGAACATATTTTGTCTATTTCAAACGATTTTCGGAATTCATCGATATAACGATCTTCAAATAAACTTTAAGAACACAATTAAATTTGGTTCCCTACCTAAATGATTCCTTTATGCATGCTTTTAAATAATGCATCTTGTCCAGTTGGTCAGCCGTAACATCTCCGCCATCACCAACGACATCTTTTATTTCTTGATAAAGTTTTTCTTGTTTTTCTGGATGTTTTGACAGATTGTAGATAGCGAATGATAACGCTGATGCTGTCTAAACAAAAGAAAGTTTTCAACTTTTCAGTTAATAAAGCATGGAATATCCAGGGGAATTTCACCATCGGTCCTTTATATGCTAGACAAATACCAGTAAACTAAATGCAATAACAGCATTTTTGTCTTGTGTATATGTTTGAAACGATAACCCAATGACCTCTTTCCGTGATTTAACATCGACTATCAAGTTTGTCTTCAAATTCTGATCAGTATACTAAAAGATCCATAGCAAACGATACCTCTATGAGTAATATACTGTACCAATATTTGAAGTCACAGTCGTGTCTTGCACTTACCGAGTCAATTGCGGCAGTAAAAAGGTCAACAGTGATATCTAACGCTTCCTCCTTGGAAACCTTGCCTGATTCCAACAGAGTCGTCAGAAAAGTGACTTCACTCTCATGAGCCTCATTTCCATCATTAGTGTTTTTCAACCTCTCCAATGTCTTGTCGATGTAGATCTGGGCAATTCTAGAAATGAACGAGCGATAGAAGATTGAAATAACCCAACTGATCTGTCACTTTTACCTGGATAAAATGTATATCTAAGACTGAAAAGTGATCTTACTTCTCACACGTCTCCTTGCCCCATTTAAATTGTTTATAGAGTTTTGTCCTGAAGAGCATGTACCAGGGGAATGCATATGTTGTTCGTACAACACCGTCAAACATAGCTGCCGATCCCATCACCATTTTATATGCTTCGGAATCAGCCTTGAGGTCATGTGAGAGAGTCCCCAATCGGGTGTTGAAACATACAGTTCCTATCGCTAAAAATATAAATGCAAAAAAATACCAGAGCGCAAATCTCGAAATTAGGAACGCTTTTTGATAAAACATTTTAATAGGGAAACTCGATAAACCAGATAATTTGATTGATACTTCTTTCTTACATTCCATCGTATACTTCAATATCTGATTGTAAAAGTCAGGGATTTGCATCTTTTCATTTCGAGATTCTTTCAGGAATTGCACAAAGTCGTCTGCAACTTTATTTTGCGCGGGAAGGTACAGAGTCGCAGCCTTTGGTCTCATCATTATCTTAGTAATAGAAGTTCTCAATTTGTGCCATTCTTTGCCACCCCTAAAAGAATAAATATTGGTTCCATTCAAACAGCCGGTTCAATCTTTCAGAAGAGATTGAAATAAGTTTTTTCACATAAAAATCTAAACTGTACAAAAGCGTCTAACTGGATGTTTAAATATACGATGCGCCCTTATATTACTGGACTTACAATGATCCAAGCCCCAGTCGTATACCATCGTGCTTGTGCCCTGCCGTCACAATGGGCAGCGCTGGTCTGTTAGGGTATCTCCCCTCCGCCCTGAATACCTTAGCCATATCATCCGGACTAAACAGGTTAACGATCCACATGGGCCCAAGACGTTCCCTATAGATATTCCCGTATCGTTTATAGTAGTCTATCTTAGCTAAATGTAATCGCTCGAAACTGTATTTACCTGAAATAAGTAATAAGTAAGTAATTATTAAATTTTGTGATTTTAAGATTTTGATATAAATTGAACTTTAAAGTTGGCAGTTGGCGTAGTTGGTACGCTATTTCACGGAACTGCATTCCGTTATTTTAACCAATAACGAACTCAAGGTCACTAGTTAAAGGGACTTGGAAAAATAGCTACGTTGACCAAAGTGTTTACATTTTCGTATCAACCTACATATCAACTAGAAAGACCACGAAAGACGTGACCTTACACTTTACAGTTAATTTTTTCTTACATAATTTTCGAAATGTTAGTAGTCCAATTTTGTGCTGTCATAGAGACCAACCTACTTAGCACCTCATCTTCAATTGTCCGGTCCTAATTAGAGAAAGAGAAAAATTTGGGGGGAACTAAGGATAATGCCTGAATATGATTTCTTTTTTCACCGAGATGCTCTTAAAATGGAAGACAAATACTCTTTTATTTGGGACAGTTTACAATGCATTACAGTTTATTGTGCGATTGCCGGGTGTTCATTTGGCATTTCTAATAAAATTTGAATGTGTTTTGATTTATTTACGCTCCTTGAGCTGGCTTTACTTTGCACAGCTAAAATTCTTTCATTGTATTATAAAGCATCCTCCGTACGCAGGGTTTCAAAATCCAGAATCTAGTAAGAAGGAGGTACGATTCTGGAAGCCTGCTAAGGAGGATGAGTATAAAGCGACATTTAATTAACGGCGTGTGAGCATCATGACATCTTATTTCTCCTCAGTCGGTGAAACAGAAAGATGTTATGTGGATCAGAATGACGGGTGGGTTATTAACCTATAATTAATATGTAAGGATTCTATACAAATAATGACGTGTGGTTGATTATTTTAACCTATGATTAATATGTTTACCAACCATTTGTGAATTTCTATATTGATGGTTCAAATTACATGATTATATAGTTAAAAATACGGCAATTCCATGGAGTAGCAAATCCCAACGAACACCATATTCATTAATCTGTATATGTCACAATGTAATATTTATAGATTAGATATATTTGAGATTTAATATAATGTAACCATACTTTGAAGAGATCTCTAAGTAATAGAAAATTCCTGCTTTACCCTACTATCACACCAAACTAGTTCTCACTACGTTCTCGAGAACGGGCTTCAACTGTGTACGAACGGACTGGACGTACTTAGAACCGTTTGGGGTCTATTTACAAACTTCATCGAACGTACTCGAACGGGTGGGTCCTCTAGAACTTAGAACATGCTCAAAATGATCTCGTGGTCGTCACGTTTTACAATAAGAACGAGTGACCGCGTACTAACGACGAGCTGGACGTACTACGAACGGAACCGTCGTACTTCAATCCTACTAGGGACGTTTTTACAACGAGTTGAACTGTCTGAGGACGTTTTGAGAACGAGGTAGAACTAATTGCAAACGGGTTTAAACTGACTAAGAACGTATTAAAGACTGCTTATGATCGAGTTAGCCAAAATATAGCTATCACACCAAACAAGTTGCCACTGCGTTCTTCAAAACTGGTTTTAAACTTTGTGCGAACGGAATGAACGTAGCTGCAACTTTCTAAGGTCTACTTACGAACTTCATGAACGTTCTCAGACGGGAAGGTGATTTTAGAATTTTGAATCGATTCAAAATTCGATGCCGACCATACCGTTCTGTAATCAGGTCATGATGACCTTCTAGACTAAGGGACGCGTTAAACGACGTTGCACACCGATCGTGGTACGACCTGAACGAACTGCGAATGAGATGGACGTATTGAAGACTGTTTATGATCGAAGTAGCTAATTATTTTAGAGATATTTCCCGATTACAGCCAGATTGAGCCCGTTTTACGACGTTTTCGTAGGACTGGCAAGAACGGGTAAGAACTAGTTTGGTGTGATAGGGGGGTTAGGGAGATATTTTGAATTTACTGATGCACGAATCAGAAAAAAACATTACCATTATTGTGATCTACTCTAAAATTCCTTCGATTTGAGTATAAGAGATCGGAAAATTATTGCAAATCCCACATTAGGTGGTCATTTCTAATTTCATGAGATTTCAAAATTAACCTACTAAGAAAATCCGTCGACTAGTATTCACGTTATCATCCAGACGGACGGACGCACTGACAGACGAACTGACGGACGGACGGATGAAGGGTTCATAATATCCCAAACGAACTTCATTTGTTGGGATGAGAAACAAGGTAATTAACCAATAAGTGCTGTCCTTAGATTACACTGACACCGTCACCTGAAGATGTTATGTAATTACATACTATATCATACACGGGTGGTCAAAAAATGGAAACCCTGCATTTTCCTTATATCTTTGTCACTTTAGGGAATTACTCCCTGATATTTTACACATCTGTAAAGCATTCAATTTCCTACCACCCTACCATATTTCATGACCATCAGACTGATAGTCACAATTTTACAGCACTTTGAATAACATGGTTCAGATTTGGCCATTATCGCGCTGTAGGCAAAACAGCACAGTTGTCAATGACCCGAATGCATTCCTCAGCAGGTATGGCCTGAATGACACAAATGATCTCACTTTTGAGGTTTGCAATTGTCCTGAGGTCATTCTCATATACTCTATCTCTGCCATATCCCCACAGGTAGGGGGGACATTTTAGACGTTGAGTACAGGTTTCCCCACAACGCAATAGTGGCCACTGGGCATGTTCTTTAAAGTACTGTAACATTGTGAATATCAAACTGATGGTCATGAAATAAAGTAGGCTGGTAGCAGGGAGTTATTTCTTAAAATGACAAAGATATGAGGAAAATGGTATTAGGGTTTCCATTTTTTTGACCACCCGTACTTTAATAATAAAATAATCGGATTTGTCATAAATTCCCGAACGATTGTAATTAAGGAATACACGATCCAATATGACCTGCAGATGATTTGCAGTCCGATGAAAACTTTCAGGTAAAAAAATTATGAATTTATGAGAGGTTTATCTCCTGACTTGAATTGTGCCCCCCCCGCTCCCCATGCAAACTAAGATTGAACCTACAACCCACTCAAAGCGAACCTAAAGTGAACCTACACTCTACTCAAAGCGAACCAAGATTGGACCTACATCCCACGCATAGCAAACCTTGAGGGATTCCTCATTCAACTCGAAGCGAAACTTGAGTGGTACGATCCACTCAAAGTGTACCTAGACTGATTCCACTCTCCACTGAAAGAAAACCTAGACTGAACCTAAACTCCACTCAAAGACAACCCCGCGTGAATCTACCTCCATTCGAAGTAAACCTAGTGTAAACCTAGATTTGACCAACACCCGGTGAATCTAGAATTAACATTTGCACTTTACTCACGGCGAAACTTAGAAAGGACATTTCAAATAGTTTATAGAAATTTCTCAAGTAAAAATAGTTTTCTTTGAGTTGTTTTCCAATAATGTTAATGACCACTTCTCGACAAGTTTTTCAAAATGCGATAAAGTTAGTATCCCATGTTTTCTTCCCCAATGGAAGAATGATTGTTTTCAGCCTATTTCGAGGTGCCTTTCAGATTATATGGAGAAATTCATTAAGCAAAATAAATGACTCGAAAAACAAAATCCTCTCGTAAGAAAATAACCTTAACGTACTGAAAAAGTTTTGATTTAGCTGTAGCGTAGCGCAGGATGATGAGGCAAACGAGGCAAACAGACAAAGGCGATTGCCTCGTCGCTTTTTAAAGGCAATATCTTTCCCCTTATCAGGTTTTTGTCATTAACGCTTATATAAAACCTATTTATATAGAACTAAATTTTTCTATCCTGTCTATCCTGTCATTCAAAAAAACATTTTTAGGAGTTTTGAATCCAACTTACCAAACTTAGAGTAGTTGAGTCCACATCCAAAGATGGGCCAAACCTTTGGGCCCGGCATCAAATGGAATGGGTTCACCATTGTCAACCACACAGGCACTCACTTCTATATAACGAGAGCCTTGAGTGGAAATCCTTTACTTTTCGTTTCTTCATTAAGATTTCATTGTCAGATTCCAATGTCACAAACGTTTCAAAGACGGTTGATATAATTCGTATTCATTCTGTTTTTCTTGCTGGTTACTTGGCTACTGTACGTGTAACAGTGTCTAATTCACAGTCAGAAATATCAGTAAGCACTTCTAGCTACATGGATGAATATAAACAACCTCAAGTTTGTGCTTAGCTTTGCATCTCATGTTTCAAGTGGTCTAAGTTGTTTGCTTTATCATTTCATGTTTACAGTTCTGGAGTTATGTAATTTGTTCCACGAACTTTTACTTCCGGTTTATAACTGAGGCCGAGTTACGGTGCTGTTATATAGGGATTGACTATTCTGTACCGCAAGGTACGGTATCGAATTGCTCAATTTTAGCCAAAAGATTTAGTGTTGGGCCTCAGTTTGTGGGCCAAATTATCAAAAATAGGCCTTAAATTTTGGGCCCAATTTTTTAAATAAGCCCCCCCTCCCCTTGTTGGCTTCTCCGCCAGTGGGTACCGTACAGTACTGTTTCCAGATACGATACCGTATACAGTTACAATGCCGTATGATTCCGTCTTTAAACTTTATATTGTGATTTTTCAATGTGATACAGGGTTGGTTTGATATGGTAGTACTGAGGTTAAGTTACGTTTTAACCCTAATGTGTACAACGTAACACTAAAGGACAGGGGGATCAGGTGACCCCCCCCCCCGGCGTTTCAAAAGTTGAAGAGGTACAGTCAAAAGTAAGGTACCATATTGTAGTTCATTCAAAATTCTCGAGGGGGTGTATTAAAATCTCAAAAATAGGTCAAATTGGGTCAAAAGTAGGTCAAAGTAACGCAGGGGTGACCTTTTTCGAGTATTTTTTACTTTTCAGTCAAAAACAACTACACATATAATGCTTTTTAGACAGAAAAAGGTACTAAATGTGATAGATGTATATAGTATCTACCTTTTTATGACAAAAAAACTTGGTAAATACCTTTCCTAGATCCAGAGATAGGTAATTTGGTCGAAAATTTGACGAAATGAAATAGCGAAAATGGGTGGATGGGAGACAAATCACAGCCCAGGACCAAAGATAATAGATAATATTTCTTTTAAAGTCACCTCCAAGGACATACCCCGGCTATAATATAGTGTAAAAAAATCTTGGATATTGGGTATTAGCTAAGAAAATGTGTTTTTAGTGCATCTCGGCTAGCGCAAACACAATCTCGCGTGTTGAAAATAAGTGTATTTGAGCCAGAAGTTGCAGCATTTACATATTTTCATGGTCGGTTTATTTTGCTTCTTATTATAGATGCTATATGTTTCTACTGGTACATAATCAAAATATTACAAAGGATCACATGTTTGACTCTATATTTACTGATTTATGAAAAATATTTAAAAATAAATAGCGCCACCTGAGATGTTTTTCTCAAAAACTAGAACTTCAAATACAATTTACTCTTACCCACTTGTTTGTTACATACTTCACATGATTGTGTAATATTTTGATGCATATATATTCTCAAGTTTGTAAATTATATGCATATCAACAAAACAAATGAAGATATGGTTATATGGTTTTGCAGACATCTAACAAACATTTCCAGGACCTCCCAGAAAAATTTCATGGATATGATCACTAGTTTTTTACTCAAATTATTTGGATTGAAACGCGAATCGCCGACCACAATATAAAATTCGTATTCGTATCTCAGTCAATAGGGTATTTAGTATACAATATGGTCTATATCCTAAAGGAAGTAAAAAGAACCAGCTTATATTTTTATTCTATGAAACCATAGAGATGGTGTGATTTTCAAGCAATTTCTGAAAAAATCCCAAGTTCCCACCATCTTAACTCAGCCAAATTACCCCCGATCACCTCGATTTTCAATTGCACCAAAAATGATTATTTATCTGTAGCTATAGGTTCAACGGCTACAAAAAAATAGTTTTTCTTGGCAGAAAAGTACCGGGAAAAAATCCAGAGGGGGTCATCCGACCCCCACCCCTGTACACATTAGGGTTAAGATCACCTGTACGCCCGCCTGTACGTGAGCCGCAATATTTCGACCCCGGGGACAGTACTGTCCCGCTCTCAGTTCACTTTTCCAGGGATAATTACTATATTATTTCCGTATGTGTTTCTCGCTAGTTAAGTGTGACATGCTTTGATATAAATATTACATGAACTTAAGCCTCAGTCACATTTGCTACGGCGGCCGTAGCTTCATAATCGACACCCGACATAGAAAATCAACAACGTGCTGCTTATCCCTATATTTCATGCTGCATATCATTCTCTCGATTTTGGGGAAACTACGGCCGCCGTACGGTGACTGTGGTACGCGTCCATTGTTTATGGAATATGTAACAGTCTTTTCAGTAAAATTACATTTTTGAATACATTTTGCTATAATTGCAATTTCCTTATTCACAAGACATGAAATATTCGAAAAATAAGGAATCGTCTTCCTTTATTGAAGAGATTTCTATTTTATTTACAGTATGTTGTTCGTTTATCCAGCATTTGCGTTCTCTTCTTACATAAACGTATAGTATGATCATATCGTTTTCTAACCCAAATTTTTTTTTATTTACAAGCAATTTCAGCATGAATTTTAGATACGTCATTGTTTTACATCAAACGATTACTATTGATATTGCTGAAAGTATCACCTGAAAACGATACTGCCTCTAATTTGTCGAATAAGCTTTAAAGTTAGTTAAGCACCGACGATGACGACTTGTTTTTTAATAAATGTATAGATGAGGTTAGTGCTTGGTAATAAGCCAGGGTATATGACGTATTCAACATGTGATTGTAGAAATTAGTAGCTTGTTTGAATATATTAATAAATACAGTTATACATAAATTGGTATATTTGTTGATTTTTTATTTACTTTGAGAATATATATAATATCAAAAAGATAACAGAAGTTACTCATTTATTATTTGACATGTCTTTATATATATCTTTTGCTGACATATTGATGTCATAACAATGACAAATTAGTCATGACATAAAAATACATATTACAATATTTTGAAAGATTATCAAATAATCTATCCCTTTTGTAGTCCACCTCTGCTCAATGACAACAGCAGAACATCATCAGCATACATTATTAAACCTATAATTACATGTACTAGAAGATCATTTTAAAACAAATTCAATTGTGTATGTACATGTATGTGACATTGGGTCCTCTTGTTTAACACCTACATTCACATTTCTAAATTCACATAGTCTTGTTCAAAACTGTGGACTTCACGGTCTTCACTGTTAAAAAGGAGGACCTTTGATTTAGAATTCATATTTTGGTATCTTGATACATGTTTCTATCGATTTCCATGAACTTTCCTTTTATTCCAACTGACAACAAGGCATTAACATGACAAAATGTCACCACCTAGTTGCTCACAATATTATGAGTTCAATCTTAAGTCAGATTTGAATTTCCTAGAACTCTGTAGATGATTTTGAAAAAATGGTCAATTTGAAACAAATTTTTGACCCTGGGAGGGTCATTGAAGGTGAAATATCAAATCTAAAGTCAGATTTGAACTTCTGAGAACTTAAAGATGATTTTGAAAAAAATAATTGGTCAATTTGAAGCAAGTTGAAAAAAGACCTTTTTGACCTTGATAAGGTCATTAAAGGTCAAATCTATTTTGACCTTGAAAATGTCATTGAAGGTCAAAATCTATATTCAGATTCGAACTTTTGAGAACTTGTAGATGGTTTTGAAAAAAATTGGTCAATTTGAAGCAAGTTGAAAAAATACCTTTTTTACCTCGAAAACGTCATCGAAGGTCAGATCTTAATTCCAGAGTCAGATTTGAACTTCTGAAAACTTGTAGATGATTTCAAAAAAAAATTTCAATTTGAAGCAAGTTGAAAAAATACTTTTTTTAACCTTTTTTGAACTTGAAAGGTCATTGAAGGTCAAATCTTGATTCTAGAATCAGATTTGAACTTCTGAAAACTTATAGATGATTTTGAAAAAAATTGAAGTCAGTCTAAACAGTATTTGCCAAGTTATTGGAAGTTGTAAGAAATTGTTACAGACGCCGATTGCCAACCACCAACCACCATCCGCCGTCACAAAAATCATATCGTATCTCAGTATTCATGTATTCCAGTAATCAATGTTTGAGTAAGAGATCAACCACAAGAAATTCCATGTTTCATAAATGCCTGATCTTATTCAACCCAATCCACATTTTGACCCAGGCCCATTCACATTCCCCACCCCTATGTTAGATTAATGCCACTATTCAATAGCAATCCACATGTTTATCTTCATCCTGATTTTCCTCTAAAGATGCCAGGATGTCTTGTAACAGGGACATTGGACTCTCAATATAGTCAACTCCCTCAAGCTCAGTTAGAGTTCTGTCCACATCAACCTCTAGTAATTTCTGTATTGTCTGAGACATCTCCATAGCAAAGTCATTTTCACTAATCTTAGTTTCAATATTAACTCCATTTGAAGCAATGTCATTGGAGCCTGTTATATTTTGAGTATTTCCATCCTTTTCATCATTAGGGCCAGTGTCTTCAAATATTTCATTCATATTTCCAATTTTCAGTTTGTATTGACATAGTTGTTTTAGAGATTCCCTGGTTATGCCAGCTACTTCTATAAATATACGAAATTTCTGAATTAACTGGCATGCTTTTATGACCACTTGAGATTCATAGTCTCTGACACCACTAAGAAGGGCACCGAGGCAGCCATTTTCACAAAGATTTCTGATAGCCCTTTGAACATCATCAGCGTCATGAACATGTTCTGTCTTGTCAAAATGTTGTCCTATTTTTTGTTTTTTTGGCGGTGGGAATAAACCAGCTGCGTAACTTGGAACAATATCATGAACTTTCTCTTTAGTTACATCTAGCAACACTGTCTCCCAAAACAGGAGTGAGTTCATCTTAACTTCCCAATCAAAGTCATCCATTGCATCAGCCATACACTGGTAGACAGATTCTCTTATGTTCTGCATCTCTTGAGATTCTACAGAGTTGCAGATGTTGCATCTATATATGGTTGTCAGGCATGTTACAGCTGGTCGCCTAGCAACTGCCTCTGTATCCTCTCGTATAATCTTGAAGATGTCATTCAGTACCTCCTGAAATAGAAGATTCGAAATGAACACAAAACAATAAACTAAAACTAAAAATGTCAACCTGTTTAAAATATATATGCAATTTTGCACATTGCTTTATATATTGTAAAGTGTGAAACAGACTGTTTTAGTGCCATACTCTTTTGATCAATGTGTCTCTGAAGATTGTTTTTGGGGTTGTTTGTATTTCTTTAACATGATACCAAGAGGGCTTTAATACCTTCTTGTTGGTCCATTAATTAATCTCCTGAGAGAATCTATAACCCTTGTAAACAGTGAATATACTGACCCTAATGATGGAATATGATTGTGTATATATCAATTTATTGTTTTGCTATGTTTTATATAGACAGTGGCCTTAACACCCAGGCCTAAACACTAAAAAGTTATCATTATCGGAAAAAATAAGACAAAGCAGCTGTACCTGTAGTCCACCTACTTGACTCAGGAAACAACTCCATAGACCAGTATTCTCTCCACCTGTAGTAGACCATGCACCAGTATTCTCCACAACATGTGACAGTGTTGCCAGTGTAGTAGACCGAACATAACTCTCACCATCTTTAAGACTACCATACACAGTAGAAATAATCCCATAGTTCTTCATACAGCCACAAACTTTAAGCATCATCTCTGAAAAATACAGCGACAAGAATCATCTTCTCCTTCAGAATATGATGCAATTGTTGCAATTGTCAAGTTGTATAAGAAGTGATACACTACGAACATCCACTACATGAATGTGGTGGTTATCATAATAATATTCACTTTCTCAGTGCAAATGTTTTGTATGTTCCAATTTGTTATATCATGAAATAAATTAACTAATGTGAGCCGTAATATTCACATTGATCTTCTGTTGTTCAAAGATTTAAAATTCAAAATGGTGATTTAAAGTTCCCAGCATGCATTGCTCTAATCCTATGAAAAATAGATCCAGTGGCATATAGGAGCAACAGTTTTGATTCCCCTAACCTATGTTTCTGTCAAATATTCAAGGATGACAAATCTGTGATATCCATATTTGTAACGAAATACATGTACAAGTAAACTTGATGTCATGAGAATTAAACTATAAAGAAATAAATTATTTATAAATAAATGAATAAACAAATAAATAATTCCTTGATCTGGAGCCAAAATTCTCTAATCTCTGATTTGCCTTTATCTGTCCATGTTCCAATTTCACTCATGCTTTATAATTTAGTATATCTTAAAGGGTTCCGATTAGCATCCCGTATAAAAACAATATGGCGGCTCCAGGCGAATCAACTGGATCAGTCCATTTTTAAGAAATAAGGGGAGTTCTGTAAAATCCAGTTTATTGAAATTGTCTTTGAGATAAAGTAATCCGTTTATAATGATTTTGAAAACGTTATCCAAAGAGTGATTGCGTTCAAAGAATACATGTACAACAGCCAATATAAATCCTTTTATTAGAAACCGGTTTGCCTTGCTTTGTTTCATTTGTAGGATATTTCATATGCCAAGCTGTGTGTTATTACATTATGGGGAAATTTAGATGCCAATTTTTCCTTATTATACACAAATAGAAGATCCTGAAACTTCACCCATAAATGTGGAATTGATTTGTCAAAATAAAAATCACCCTTTTATAAATGTGTGACATTCTATAATATACTTATGCTATATAACAGTTAGAGGTGTTGACACAACGACCTCGAACCTGTGAACCCCTGAGTATTATTCCGGGATCGGGCCTTTTATACTAAACGGTGAGCAACACCAGAAACGAGCGTTCGATTTGCTGCATCACCCTTTAAGCATAACTTACCATTGCCTAATCCAGTCATTAGGTCTTTGATGAGCTTGACAGCAGAATCCCTAATGCTCCAGTCTACTGCACACAAGCATTTCTGCAGCATCTTAGCTATTTGTTCATCCATCTCTGCATCTAACAAGTATGAATTCTGGGAAATGGGCTCCTTTAGTTGACAAGTCAGTTTTCTAATCGTCAACTGAGCTACAGTCAATCCAGACATCATCTTAAAATACAAAACATGAAATAATGTACAGGGTGTTTCATAATTTCATCATTCACAGCAAATCCTAGATGTTCAGCCTTGAATTAAATATTGACATGATTGATCAGTTGGAACATAAGTATTTTGAGCCATCGGTAGTCCCTTTCCCAATTATTATTATGAGTGGATAAATATTATTCAATGCTCCCTGGATGCTCTTTGTATTGTTTAATAAATTTATCTTTTAAATATCATGGATATATGAAATATATCCATGATATAACCAGCTAATGGTCTGGTCTTCAGATGAGCAGGGGTTCACATTTAGAGGTTTTGTCACTTGAGACAATTGGAGATAACAACATTTTGACAAAGAAAGGTGTTCACATTGAGAATTGTTCAGATGGGTATACAGGTTTTAATGTAGCTAGTTGTAAAAACTGTAGAGCTTTAATTTCCAAAGATATAATAACAATTCTATAACCTTTCTATGATAATATATGGACGTATCTAGGATTTGTGGTTGTTTGGGGATGGGATGGGCATCACGACTGTAGGTTTATAAAATCAGATGTGAAAACATAAAATACACTATGACAAGGTCATTATAGTCATAAATTAAACATACAATAAATATTATATCCAATCAATGAAAAAATGACAATATTCTTGAGACTACTGTATATGGCAGATAGTGTAGTTGAACCAAAATGATTCTATTGAAAAACAATATAGAGAGTTGTATTTTATGTCAACGTTTAAATTTTTTTTTTTAATTTATTATGGCAACTTATCTGATCATCAGGACATGGGTAAAATGGGTTAAATTCTGTAACAATAACAATATCATTAAGATAAAACTGATTGATAAGATCATTGGCAGAGATTCTAATGCCATATTTTGTTTTAAACCAATGGTTTCCAAGTGCCAGCCCAAATAGTAAAAAGGCATTAACATGCAGAATGTTACCACCTGTCATTTGTTACAAATGCTGACTACTAATACTGATGCTGATCACTGAACACCATCCACAAAAAAGTTGGAGACCTCTGGTGGTAATATAAAAACCTATACATAAGACCAATTCCATCTATTTGGTTCAACAGTCCTATAAATTCTAGTCCTCCAAATAACAAAAATGATATAAGTGTACTAATTTACTTCTATACGACCCACTTCTCACATGTCTTCTCCAGTGACCCCATATCAGATTCAGTTCTTGTATAATGAGGCTTTGTTTGATACAGAATGCATGTTTAGTACATGTGCATTATATAGGCCCATCTGTGTCTCCTCATAAACTGATAATGAATGTAAGTAAATGACCCAAATGAATTTCAATCCTCGTTTCTAAACCACATCCTTATTATACAACAACAATTTCGCCCTTTGTAAATACTGATATCAATTTAAATATAGTATTCGAAAAAATAATGTTTCTCATATACATGTATATCTGACCATGCTCTAAAAGATGTTTCAAGTCATACACATTTCTAAACTAATTTAAGAATTTTTGATGATATCAAAACATCATGTAGAATAAACATTGAATATATTGTATATTCTATGCAAGGGTACCATAGATTATCTTATCTACTATCCTACACATGATTTGTTATCTCTGAAAAATATTTTACATAAGTCAAATAATGACGACACTCAAACAGTATATAAACCCAGAGAGTGTTCAAGAGAGAGCACAACCAAAACCTTCACTCCAGCATCAACAGTTACTACAGCAACAGCAACAACAACGAATATCATGTATTGTGTAATGATAGCAGTTGCCCTTTTAGGGCTATCCAATGGATTTCTGATCCCAGAGCGCCCAGAGTTCACAAAGAGAGAGATAGCTACAGTGCCATCTATTGATGCCCCAAAGTACATGGGACGTTGGTACCAGGTAGGTGACTCTTTAATAGTAGTAAATACAGTTGTATCTTTAATTCAATTTGCTAAATGTAAATTTTTATGCCTCGCTAATTTTCTTCAACTTTTTTAAAATCTTTGATATATTCACAAACATTTATGAGAGCAATTTTTACTACAATAATATTAAACACAATTCACTAAAAATTAATTCAACTTTAGCCAAATTGTACATATATTATAAACAACAATTCTTTTTTATTTGACAGATGTATACCAATACTTTTGGTGAGACCTTCAATGGAAAAGACCAGCACTGTGTCATGGCAGATTGTAAGTACAATGAATGTACACTCAAAAGAGAACTTGATTAATATATTATAGCTACACAGTTTTTTCTCATGATCAATGGCAAATTTGAATTCGGTGTAAATTGTTGACTTGAATAACTTTGTTATTTTCTTATATACTCAATTTCCAATACTACAAGTTCAACAGTCATTCTACCTGACTTACTGCCTTGATTTAAATCTATACTCCATATTTAACCCATTTTAAACTAAAAGCACATGAATAGGTTTAAAAGTCAATAAGTGGATTTAGCAGTACTTCAATTAATTTCAAAACTTAAGTACTGCCTCAAACTTATATCCAAAGACAACCATTTAAGGTGTTATTCACAGAGAAACAAAAAAATCTGTTACATAATTATGGGCAAACTAAAATAAATTAAAAACACTTTCTGATGTTCCCTTTTTTCCAGACAAACTGATGAACGCCACCACCCTAAGTGTATTCAACTCTGGAAAGCTTGGATCTCCCACAGGAGACTGGAGACAGATTGAAGGATCCGCCACACAGATCTCCCCAGCTGAACCAGGAAAGTTCCAGCTTTATTTGGAATATGTACCTTTCCCAGGCACATGTAAGTCCACAATCCATAATTTTTTACTTTCATTTGCGATTTATATCAAAGATAGATCTAATTGTCCTTATATTAACCCAGAATTGGTCAAATTCTAGGCAACACCAAAAAATGTGTAAAATAAACATGAGAAAACTGATTCAAATCGTATTTTCCTATCAGACTGGGTAATCAAGCTTGGACCCATTAAGAACGACCAATACCAATACTCTGTGGTTACAAGCAGTGACGGTAGCCAACTTTACGTCCTCACACGAGATGTCTCCGAGTTCAACCTCTATGAGAAGGAAATCCTTGACTTTGTTGCCGAGAAGGGATTTACTGAAGATGCCACTAAGCCCATTTTCACACCACATGAAGCTAACTGCCCATATGTTGACAAAAAGCAGCCTAACATTTTGGATGACCTCATTAAAGAGATTATGGGATAACTAAGATAAATGTCACTTTTATGTATTATTTATTTATTTATGTTCAAAATAAAGTTTTGTATCTAATTTAAATCAATTTTATAATGTTAATGTCATCATTTTAATTCTGATTGCCTCAAATGGATATTTGGAAGGCTCCTTTTCAATTAGTGTTGTCCAACTGAAATGCTAGTTATGTTGGATAAGCCCAATGAATCTACATAAAATAAATTATGTTCATAACTGAATCTCATGTACACTGTTGTACCCCATGATTTAATGAAACCCTTCAAGCTGTGGATTATTCAATTTGTTTTGAATTTAAGAAACACCTGCTACTTGGGATTTCTCCATTTCTCCACCAGGTGCTTCACCTGATTGCTTCAAAACTGGGGGAACACCTCTAAATATATGGTCTTCCATTAAAGATAAGCTCACCTCATGTGACGTCATCTCGCTTCCCTCTAACATTGACAGTAATGTAGTCAGTAAACATCTCAGATCACCTTCCCCAAACACATCTGGAAATATTTCACAAATTAATGTGAAGTGACCCCCCCCTCTTATCTCCTAACAAATAGAGGACAGCTGTACAGACAACAACAGACAGGGATGTTTCCTGTGTCAAGATTATTTAGAATCAAACTGGCATGTACAAACTTGGATCATATTACATAAAAGCATTTTTAAAAAACTATACTATAACAACCATTCCTTCATGTACATGTATGATAGGCCAAAATTCCATGTCTTTTACATGCTTATTTTCCTGTTTGCAACATGCATCTAGCATGGGAAGTCTCAAAAATATGAATTCTCCAATTCAACTTACTATTAAATGATCTCTATTGGTATTTTGTTGACGAGAATATTATTCTATTACAATAATATTACTTTCCTTTGGTATGAAACTACACAGAGAAGATTGATTCCATTAGATGGAAATTATAAACACAGGATCTAAAGGAAATGTTTGTGATATATTTACAATTGACTACTTCAATGACAATTTCGTGTACCTTCAGATTTAAGACATTCCCCAATGGTTTTCCATAGCTGGGCCTTTATCCTAGGGTTGTTCAATACACTAGGGGGATCCTGGTACCTAACAGGGTACAATGTAGTAAACAGCTTCACCAGCAGTGGGAAAGTAGCTTTGCATCTGTACAAACCCTATTATAAACATAATAGTATCACATTAATGTTGAACTGGTTACTGTTTTTTCTGTTATAATTGTCTGTTTATTAAAATTAAAGTGGCAACAAAGAGTAGAGACAAGTTGAAAATAAGTGTTGAAGAAAAACTGTCCCAATTTTCCAATACTTTGCTCATCAATGCATTTCATATGCCTATGTTCCAACTACTTTGACTTTATTTCAGAATAATCATTTGGTTTTTAAGAAAACATGTATATTCCATGGTATCTGTTAAAAAACGTTGAAAAGTAAACTCAATTATCTGACATTCCTGCGTCTAAAATCTTTGATCTCAATCTTATTTTTAGAGCATGAAATAAAAAGATTGCTCCCAATATTAAACACACTCTAGTCTTTGCTGCCACTTTAAGTCAAGAATTGAATGAGTATAATCATGTAATCATCACAGTTGGTTCCACGGCCACAACTACTAGAATAGTACAGTCATCTCCTCTCTTATGAGCTGTATGTAAAAGAAGGACTCAAATAAATCTGAATGATTAATCATTGGTTAAAATTGTTTTGTGCGGAAAATATCTGTATCCTCCTTAGCAAAAATCTCTTAATGATAGAAAAATTCTAAAACTACAAAGTTAAATGTCTAGAAATGTTGCACCTTCTCAAGTATTCTTTGCAGACCACTCAACACCAATGCTACAGCGTTCTTCATTTTAGCATCCTCCTCCTGAGCATTTGAGACAACTCCTTCTTCCAGTAGAAGCTGGAGAGGCTCATTGATGGCATCCTCTAGAGCTTGAAGCATCTTAGGCTGGAGGGACTCAGGGCAGCTAGGTCTGCAACGGAAAACATGAACACAATGAGTGTATTATGCAAGAGGTGTACCATGTACGATGAACATATATCGTGTGATGAACATATGATCATGCAAGAAAAACACAAGGATGTATCATATCTAAAAGGAAGGCAAATATAATGCCATTTATTAACTTCAACAGTAAATATATATGCCTACAGTTAACATAATTGATATGAGCAGTTTAATTTACAGTAGACATTCAATGACCATATACCAAGACCAATGACCAATAAGTCAATATGGAGTTTTGTTTTTAGTTAATCTTGATAATCATCATTAATGTCAAGGTAAATTTGGGACCTCAAACACAGACATGTAAAATATTTCATTATGAATAAACTATGACTGTATATATAGTTGATATGGTAAATAAGCTTACATCAGTAAATACAGTTCAACTGCCAGAGATAAAGCAGATGTTCTACAAGGACCAACATTCCCAGCATTGGAAGACCTCAGAGAGTCAAGAAAATCCAGACTATTCACCCATGTAGTTTCCTTCCTAGAATCAAGATCAAAATATGGTAAACATACAAGAAAACCTGTATAAGTGGAACATGTTGGAGGTGTTCTTCATCATCAGTTTCACTGTCTTTAAAGCTGTGTTAGCTTAAATATCTGTATGTCGATACATAAGAATGAATCTCAAATTATGAAAATTAAAGGTTGAAAATTAATGTATGTTCAAGCCATGGGATTTGGTACATTCCCTCCTCCATGCTGAAAAGCTCATCAAGATTTAAGTGCTTTAAGTGTTTAAAAATATTGTCATTATTGTCAATTTTGAGGAAAAATGCTGGTTACATGGTCATTTTTAGATATGGTACTTGGCTTAATCTTAGGTACAATCATAACTCGCAAAGAAAACTATTGTACATGAACAATTATATGTAGTCTACTGGGCCAAACTGAAAGAACAAAATAATGCACAATATTCCAAAATCTAACCCTGTTTTTACTTACACATACAAAGCATAAACTTTACAAGCTGTCCTTTTAATAGTGGCCTCTGTGTGAAGATCTTTAATCGAATCCTCTATATTGTGAATTGCATCACTTTGTTCTAAAACTTTCACTAAAAGCACTGAGTCCCTCACTCCCAGCTTATGTAAGATATTTAACCTTATCATAGTGACATTGTCTGTGCTTGAGTTGTCTAAAGGAATGAATGTCAAATTCTTATCTTGAGTATGTCTAATCCCTTTGCAAACTTTTTCAATAAAGAAATTGTTACACAATTCATGAATATTTGATATATCAGCATCTGCTTTCGGGTCATCTTCAGCTGCTATGGGTTTACTGTGCTCATCAGTGCCACTTCTCATTCGTGATTCATCTCTTTGATGGTTTGGGACGTATCCATTGTTTAGTTTGCTGTTATTTTGGCTGGAGTTTGAATGCTGCAACAGGGTGACCAACAGGTCCTGAGCAGCATTGGCCACAAACATGCTTTTGTCTAACACACACTGCCAGATCACCTCCAGGATACCAGCTGGAAACAAAATGTACAATGGGTCAACATGTATTAAAAAAACACTGTATGATTTGTAATGGGGGAACTATCACTTGTGGTCAGTATACATACGTATGTTTGAATTTCTGAATTTTTTTTATTTTGTGGGAATGTCTTTCAAACAGACTTTACAATGTGTATTATTGCTCAAGTATTATTGAGGCCTACCCTTTGCATTCGTTTGACTTCACATCTTAAAAGAGAGCTTCATCTTCACTCTTTCAAACTAAAATAAACCTGTGAACTCACCGCGCCAATCAGTGTTCGTCGGCCAAATTTGACCGACGTTCTATATAATATGGTCATTCCTTTTGATGTCATCGTTGAACCCGAGATTGACCAATGACATGTGCATATTTAATAATCACACATTTGGTGTATGTATGAAGAAAGGTCAGCGCGTATGTCAGAAGTGATTATATTACCCAAACTGTCACGGTTACCCATCGTGGGGGCGGGGCTACTAAACTGTAATATGGTCTCTACTAGGCAGAGGCCATACCATAAGAAACTATCATTAAGATTATTTCTGAAAATGAATCTTGATTATTAACCCCTAAGTACGTACATGTACCTGATGCAATTAAGTCTTTCTGTACTACTTCGTCCTTCTCTGATCCATTGTTGCACTTGAGTGGATGTAGCATAGAACTCATCAAATCCACATTGTTCATCTGTGACTGGGTCTTAATTAAAGACTTTACAGTGTTCAACCATGCGTATCGAACAGATGGATCATCCCAAACACTATTGCATTGGGTGTATTTGGCACATATATTCCAAACATACCCAGTATCAGTCAATATAGACTGCAGTCCACTTATCAGTTTAAGATTGAATGTATTCATGGATGATGAATGCTGTTTCATCGGAAATGCAACAAGAAAATCGTTCACTATGAAGTTCTGTAAATCTTGTACTGCCACATTTGTTTCTGGAACAATCAAGAAGTTTGTAATTAGTCATACAATTAGCTTAAGATGTATAGCCTGAACATAAAAAAATATGTCTATAGTATTTCAGTTTGAAAGATGCACTTCTTTATCCAGAGTGTCAAAATAAAACATGGAACAATACCTGTTAGCATTGTAGAACTCTCAAAAAAAGACTCCAACCATTCAATCAATTTATCCATACAAGTATCATCAAAAATGTCAGCCTTTGTATCTAGAAATGCCTGAAGGACCCGTCTACAGTAAGACACTAGTGTCATTGTTGAAGATGTATCATGTGAGTTGGTAACCGATATTGTTTGAGGTGTATTTTGTGTCATTTTCAGAGCTGAAAATAAACATGAACTTCCGGTTTCACTGGGCATGCGCATCACATAAGTCACGTGACTACCGGCCATTTTTATAAAATTTCGTCCTGACAATTTTTTCAATGAAAGCCTCGAGTAGACCAGTTGTCTCAGCCTTACGGGTAAGAAATTCTAAACCGTTAAGTAGATTAATATATAATCCTTTGCTTGTCACAGTTTCATTGTGATTTGATGAAAACATATACAGAGACAGGGTTAGGAAGTATTTTTGCTTCAGCCTTCACCTTCATTTTTTCAGATTTTTCAAGAACATAAGTGCAGCTCCTTATTGGACTACAACATCAATAAATGTAACTGGTCCGATTGTTATGAACTTTATTGAATGAAAAATTCTTCTTTTGTAAGGTTAGGCCTACAGCATTTGTTGCACCTCACTGATTTTGGGCCTCTATTTTGAAGAGCATTAGCATTTACGAGTCAATTGCAACATTGCTACACAGGAGTCCAAATCTGAACTTTTCTGTATCGTAAATTCTATTGTTATTTATGGATTTGTCGTATATTTACGATAAAGCCAATTCTGAACTTTTCCGTATATTTAAAATGTCATAAAGGAGGAGGTAAAGTATCGCATCAGATTTTAAAACAGGTGCATATGTTAGACCGATGCATAACCTCCAGGAAAAGCACTCTTAGAGATGATAAATTAATTTCGACTTTGAGACAATGTCTTGTTTGAAACATTGAAGAACATTTTGTGCTGGTTTCACTGACCAAGAATCACCAACTAAAATGTAAAACCAAAGAGCCAAGAATCAAATTTCATTATTTTCATGTGTGTTCGGTGATTTATCCAAATTTTCGAAACTTACAAGGAAATAGTTCAATTTGACACCTAATTTAATTTCTATTAGATATTCAAGTATTGTGCTTATGCTTCATGGTTGAGAAAACAAAGCTGATACAGATACATTATTTAGCTAAATCTTATTTTTCAAATTTGATTGACAAAAATGAAAACATTGGAATAAATAGTAGTTTTTGTAAAAAGTATAGCTGCAGAGTACTACAAAATCCTGTAAACCATGCTATTAAAATTATGTGTTAATTTTTTAGCGGAGACTTTTCTCTGCGCAGGCTGCATCTCAGGAGTCTGCCACACAACCTCTTCAGAAACAACAGGCAAAGGTAAGAACCTCCTCAAGATCAAGCATTTTCAGTGTTAACAGATAAACCGAATGTCATATTGTGTATTGTTAGATAATAGATCACAAAAGAATAGTGCAGAAATGAATTGGTTTTCAATGAAATCACTTTGATCCCCTTTGATACCTTTGATTATTATAGATGATTGTTGTAAATATCATACCAGGGTTCGATCTTAGCGGTAGCAAGGAGCAAATTTGCTACCTGATTTCACATTTTGCTCCAAAAACTTCGTAGACGGGAGCAAATGCTTGCTAGTCTACCTCAAATTTAAGCAATGAATCTCATGTATTTCAGAGGAAAATCTCCGGCTTTCAATTTAGTTAAACATATCAAATGAAAGAATATAAATTGGCCTACCTTGTGAAGACAAAATCTAAGTATAATAGGCAGATAATCAGCAGTGTTTGAGAGAAACACTGAGATAATTATCTTACCGTAATCCGGCCACCATTTTGATTGACCTCTCAACCAAAACATTATTGCTCTGAGATTAATGGGTCAGTAGCAAGAAACCTTTATCACTATTTTGGGTCAGTAGCAAAAACCTTTATCCACCCTTGGTATACGCAGCTAACGAAAATTGACCGGTACGGGTCAAAAGCTGGACCGGTACGGGTTAACGGTGTTATTTGAATTTAAAACAGCCATAACTTGCTCAATATTGACTTCCTCGTGTCTAATTTGAAATATATGATGCCTCCCGATGCTTTTAAGTACCCCAATTTTTTACAGATTTTTAAACGGACCAAAACTCTCTAAATGCGCATTTATGCTCTTTTCTCTCGAGAACGACTGTCTCATTTTCACGATAACTTTTATTCAGTACTTCTAACTAACATATAAGATCTATTTTTTCCCATCAAGGTATGATGTAAATGACATGCTATTTACATCTTGTGAGTTTCAATGACGCGCGTTTGATTTTATAAAAAATGCCAAACTTTGTGACAAAGAATTTCTATAGCTATTGCCCTGAAAACAAACTGTTTAATTAATACAATTGATTTTCTTGGCATTATCTTACATCATAGTGAGGAAGCACAAAAGGCAACATTTGAAAACAAATAAAATATTACAAGTCAAAAAGACACATCAAACTATTGAATGTTGATCTTTATATTTCATTGAGATTGATAATATGTCAGAAAGGAATATTGAGTTTATTAATTTATATCAGAGTGAGGAAAAATGGTTAAATGTTTTCAGAAAAATGGTTAAAAATCTGCATAATTTATCTGAAAAAATAAAAATAAAGTTTTCTAAAAACGCAATTTTTTCTTATTTTTATTATTATTTTTTATATAAATATCATTATGGGAAATTTTGTGCTGAGATATGCTCAGAATGCACCAGAGAGGGTCTAAATTTCAAAATTTTCTGGGGGGGGGGCATATACGCTATAATTTGTCCCCCCCCCAATTGATTATACTACCTTCATTAGGATTAGATGATTCATTCTGCTATTTTCAATGAAAACATGCGGATTTTGGTCTGAAAACCCCAAATTGTTCTCAGATGACTCTTGAACGTAAAAAATGGTCGTTTCATTCAGTGTAATTTGAGGAGCAATTTGCTACCTGATAATATTTTCTTGGAACATTTTTGTTGCTACCTGAATATAGGAATTTGCTCCTTGTTTTGGTAGCAGGTAGCAAATCCTTGCTACTGGTAAAAAAAGTTAAGGTCAGACCCTGCATACTGCTAGATTATATTATACATACAATGTACATTCACATGAATAATTAGTCCCTTTCATTATGGGTGGTGCTATTTTTTAAGAAAAATTTTTAGTCTGACAAAAGACCTTTCCCACATATTAATTGGTACTGTACTATAATTTTCTAGGGACAACGTGCGTAAATGAAGTCTCACTTTTGATCTTCATAGTATTTCCAATGGATAAATAAAGTACCCGATCTTTCATTTGACACCAAAAACAGCTCAAACAGACCACATCAGAGTTGACACTAGATCATGAAAAAATATTTTTGATCTATCAATTTATATGTGTGTCAAGTTTTTAGCCATGCCATAGATAGATGGCATTGTTGTTGCATTAATTATCCATTCATTTTGATAGGATTTTCAAGCATACGCCATCTTTTAATCCAAGAGTTATTTAAAACATCCACAAATGTGGAAAGTGGTAATTCACTTTTTTCAGTCGCTGAACTTCAAATGCCGTTTTCTATGCGAGTAATTTTTTTTTCAGTTCAGTATTATACCAAATTAAAGTTTTTATCATATTTGATTGGCTGTGTGAGTGACATGTCTCATATAATACTTTGTCCTTTTTCCTTCCAAAATAGGCACATTGCCTGTTTAATAAAATATATTTTTTATTTTAGGTGTCAAAATTACCTAATGGAGTCACTGTGGCATCCCTGGAGAATTATTCCCCTGTCACTAGAGTGGCTGTTGTGTTTGGTGCTGGAGCCAGAAATGAACCAGGAAATGCTCTTGGAGTAACACACTGCCTTCGCCGTGCAGCATTTCTTGTAAGCCACCCTGTAGTCTCTTTGATATAGGGGATAAATATTAAAATTTAAATGAAATTACTGCGGCTTCAGAAATAGTAAATAATAGTAATATTTTAGAGCATATACCTTCAGGAAATTATTTACACTATTCCCCTCAATGGCAGTTACTATTTGTATACTATTATATATTATTACCAAATGTTAGACTAAGTTGGTCGGCATAACAAACTAAATTTCTTTTCTCTTTCTCATTGTTTTTACTGTGATTTTCTTTTCAAGACAAACGCCACCCACACCCAATTTGGAATCACTAGGAATATTCAACAGCTTGGGGCCAGCATCACGTAAGTATATTCTCATTGATTTAATAACTGCAAAATATTTCAGTTTTGTGTGATAATTTAAGGCAGTTACTGTATCTAGTATACACATTGAGGGATACCTATAATGCCACTGGCGATTGGGTCCCTCATGTATGATATGTACTTATAATGATTAATGGCAATAAAATCTCTTGATAAAAAAAAGTATACACTTCGTGTTTTAGTATAGGAGGGATGATTTGATGATTGTCCTGAGCTTTGGACTGTACGATATCACATTTTTGGGAAAAAATATTAATTTCTAATTTGGAAACATAATAACTAATAAGTATAGAAAATTATGAAAATGAAATGAAAATGTTTAAACAGTTGGTGACAATTATGCCTGCAAATACAGCAGACTTGTTACATTATTAAATTACGTTATTGTTCAGTAATACTTTTCATTCAGATTTTGCATGTATTATGTTCTTTCCAGAAAATAATTTTGCAGAGGCTTGGTGTATGATGTATCTGTTTGATCATTGTCCTAAATTCTGGTGATAATATCATAGTTCTTGTGTTTTGTTTGACAGGTGTACATCTGGTCGAGACACTATGACATATACTGTAGAAGCAACTAGAGACAATATGTAAGTAATTTTCAACTGTTGGCAGAATCAGCAGACATAGCAGGGGTTTCATTAGCAGCAGGCAACAGGCGATTTTCACCAGTTGTTTTCACAAAATTGCCTGTTGTTTTAAGGGACTTTTCAACTTTTCCATGTTTAATATATGGTTTTTATGTCACCACCAAAAGTGGTGACATATTGTTATGGTCTCCGTTTTTTTGTGACGGCGGTTGGTGGTTGGCGTCCGGCGGTTGGCGTCCGGCGGTTGGAGGTTGGCGTCCGGCGTCTGTAACAATTTCTTACAACTTCCTATAACTTAACAAATACTGTTAAGACTGACTTCAATTTTTTTCTAAATCATCTACATGTTCTCAGAAGTTCAAATCTGACTTTAGATTTGACCTTCAATGACCTTCTCAAGGTCAAAAAGGTCTTTTTTCAACTTGCTTCACATTGACTAATTTTTTTTTCAAAATCATCTACATGTTCTCAGAAATTCAAATCTGACTTTAGATTTGACATTTGACCTTCAAATCTGACTTTAGATTTGACATTTGACCTTCAATGACCTTCTCAAGGTCAAAAAAGGTCAAAAAGGTCTGTTTTCAACTTGCTTCAAATTGACTAAATTTTTTTTTCAAAATCATCTACGTGTTCTCAGAAATTCAAATCTGACTTAAGATTCAACTTTAGATTTGACATTTGACCTTCAATGACCTTCTCAAGGTCAAAAAAGGTCAAAAAGGTCTGTTTTCAACTTGCTTCAAATTGACTAAATTTTTTTTTCAAAATCATCTATGTGTTCTCAGAAATTCAAATCTGACTTAAGATTTGTCATTTGACCTTCAATGACCTTCTCAAGGTCAAAAAAGGTCAAAAAGGTCTGTTTTCAACTTGCTTCAAATTGACTAAAAAAAATTTTCAAAATCATCTACATGTTCTCAGAAATTCAAATCTGACTTTAGATTTGACATTTGACCTTCAATGACCTTCTCAATGTCAAAAAAGGTCAAAAAGGTATTTTTTCATCTTGCTTCAAATTGACTAAATTTTTTTTCAAAATCATCTACATGTTCTCAGAAATTCAAATATGACTTTAGATTTGACATTTGACCTTCAATGACCTTCTCAAGGTCAAAAAAGGTCAAAAAGGTCTTTTTTTAACTTGCTTCAAATTGACTAATTTTTTTTTCAAAATCATCTACATGTTCTCAGAAATTCAAATCTGACTTTAGATTTGACCTTTAATGACCTTCTCAAGGTCAAAAAAGGTAAAAAAGGTCTGTTTTCAACTTGCCTCAAATTGACTAAAAAAAATTTTCAAAATCATCTATGTGTTCTCAGAAATTCAAATCTGACTTTAGATTTGACTTAAGATTTGACATTTGACCTTCAATGACCTTCTCATAGTCAAAAAAGGTCAAAAAGGTCTTTTTTCAACTTGCTTCAAATTGACTAAATTTTTTTTTCAAAATCATCTACATGTTCTCAGAAATTCAAATCTGACTTTAGATTTGACATTTGACCTTCAATGACCTTCTCAATGCCAAAAAAAGGTATTTTTTCATCTTGCTTCAAATTGACTAAATTTTTTTTCAGAATCATCTACATGTTCTCAGAAATTCAAATATGACTTTAGATTTGACATTTGACCTTCAATGACCTTCTCAAGGTCAAAAAAGGTCAAAAAGGTCTTTTTTCAACTTGCTTCAAATTGACTAATTTTTTTTTTCAAAATCATTTACATGTTCTCAGAAATTCAAATCTGACTTTAGATTTGACATTTGACCTTTAATGACCTTCTCAAGGTCAAAAAAGGTCTGTTTTCAACTTGCTTCAAATTGACCAATTTTTTTTTCAAAATCATCTACATCTTTTCAGAAGTTCAAATTTGACTTTACAAGTTCTCAGAAATTCAAATCTGACTTAAGTCATAATATTGTGAGCAACTAGGTGGTGACATTTTGTCATGTTAATGCCTTGTCATTAATTTTGCCTCAGGCCCTTATAAAAAATTCAACCTTGAAAGTCCGAATTTAAACCGTTGCACAATCATTTTACAATCATTGATCCGATCATTTATGCAACCATGCCAACCGTTACGATGCAACCATTACAATTTTGGTTGTAAACTCATTGAAATGTTTCGATCACATGTAACCATTGTAAACGCTTGACAATTTTGGTTGCATTTCTTGCAACCGTTTCAATCGAATGCAACCCTTTAAAACTATGGCAATTTTATCTCAATATAACATAAAATAATTATCTTGCTCTTTAAAAAATATATTTCAAATGTGTGTATATCATGCATACTGTACATGTCAGAATTTAAATGGTTTTCTCTAAAAGATATTTAAAGTATTGAAATAGTTAAGTAAACTTGTCTTGTGAATGAAAATATATTGAACCAATTTTCATCTAACTTTGAAAGATGGTGATTGTCTAACTCACATGTATATTATCTAGATAACAGCAATGCTTAGGCATAGCAAATCCCCCTCGCTGTCATGACTATCATTTTTACAAAATCACTTCACTACTTTTTAAGTTATTGCAAAATCATTTGAAAAAAATTTTGATTGGGTCAAGTCTTGGATTTTACACTTCACCTTGCAATCTTCGCAATTATAAAGGAAGGAAGATGTGTCTGGAAGGAAGAAATCCTTCAATGGGAAAATAATCTGTTTTGATTTGATATTTTTGATTTGATAGAGAAAATGCAATCAGACATTACAGGATGTGTTTTGAATAATTAAGTCGATTTAATTGAATAAAGAAATAAACTCTCAAAAATCTGAAAACACTTTTTAAATTTTAACTCCACCCCCCCCCCCCCTCTGCATGAAATAGATAATTAAAATAAATATATAGTATAACACAAGATGAAAATAGATATAACAGAAACTAGGACTATGAACCCTTTTTCTGGTCAAGCATTTTAATTAGCCGTTCAACCGTTTTAATTAGCTGTTCAACCGTTTTAATTAGCTGTTCAACCGTTTTAATTGGCTGTTCAAGCATTTTGATTTGCCTAAACCCATGAGAATATCAATATGTAGTAGGTATTGTTGTGTTGAGCATTGTTATAAAAAATATTTGCCAAGAAAGAACATGGTAATTAAATCTGTTGTGAATAATGTGTTTCACACATAATATACAGTCAATATCAAAATAGTCCTCTTGTTTGTATTTTTTAAATTTTAGTGAGTCATACTCTTGATATTTGGTGTTAACTACACATGGATACATTTGAAGACCCATTTTGCTGGGGGGGGGGCTGACTACTGGCCTGTTCATTGTATATAAACTTTTGCGGGGGTCCTGAGCTAAACCTTCCGATATCAATATGTTCCCAAACCAATCTATTTGTATATCATGGGTATAGCAATAATCTATCTACCTTGACAAAATTTTACTGAAATTATTAATTCAGATGTTTTCCATTGAAACTGTGAAAATTAAGTCTTTGGTGCCTGAATGCATTATTACTATAAAAACATTTTCACTAAATAAAGCAATCAACTTGTGATTACATGTTTATATTATTTTGTACATCATACCCTGCTTCTTTTGATCATACATGTATATCAGTCTAATCATGAACAAAAACAATGGTGTCTCATCTTGTGATTTAAGTTTAAAGGAAATCTTAAGATTTTCCTTGGTCAATTTCTTAACCAAATTGGAATTTTGCTCAATTCTTTTCATAATTAACATTAAAAATACATTATTTTGGCAATATCAGATAACGGGAAATAAACACTAGATATGGTACTTTTAATTGTATAAATAATGTAAATGACAGAGAACATAAATTATCATATGCCATTGAGTGGAAAACTAGTCTGGCATCGCATTCCTAAATCCGTACTGGAGAAAGAAACATATGAACATGAATTTAGTAATTTACTATAATAAACATGCATGTATGCTTGCAGAAAAAATATCCTAATATACTGTTGTTGAATAGAGGTAGATTCAAATCCTTACTTAAAGATAATTTTAATTCAAGTAAAATGATTACTTTTTTGGAACGATACCAATTCAGGATGGTTGCAGGGCTTGAACCATGTAATCATTGAACAAAACGTATAGCAACCATTTACATTTCAATGTGAAATGGTTGCAGTTTACAATGGTTGCAGATTACAATGATTGTATAGAAATGGTTGCGCAGTCATTGAAAAAGAGTTGACTTTGTTTGGTTGCACGCAATGGTTGCACAATGATTGCTTATCACCGTACAATGGTTTTTCCTTTGATCTTAGTAGTTGAAACAATCAGTATTCAATGATTGATGGAAACGGTTTAAATTCAGACTTTCAAGGTTGAATTTTTTATAAGGGTGTTGTTTTCATTTTCATTTATTTAGCCTGTTGTGAGAAATTCTATTGAAAATCCTGCATAGTGAGAACAATTAGTTAAAAGCTAGGTTAATCTGTACCATCCATTCTGCTGGATATATTATGTATGGTACATAGAACTAAATCTCAATATCTCAAATATTTATGTTTATAATTGTCTATAATCAATTCTATACTTGATGTATCTTTGGGTCTCTTTGTAGTTATACATGGATGGGGTTTAAACAGGAACATTAGCAGAATTGAAACAAGAAATCACCATATTAGAGAATTTAGAGTGATCGTTTTCAATTTGCAGATATTATGTCACAACAAATGTTTACATATTATTTCCAACTTTTTATGTGGTTTTGTGGACACCAGTTGCTGTTTGCTGTCTAACAAACGATGTCTGTAACAAATGGCAGGTGGTGAAATTTTGCATGCTAATTCCTTGTTTATTAATGCGAGCAATTTTAATTAATTTCAGAGAAAAAACCATACCATATTTAGCATCAGTGACCACAACTCCAGATGTGCGAGAATGGGAACTGAATGACCTTCAGGCCTGCTTAGAATTTGACATTGCATCACTTAAACAATCTCCATCTGCACTCACTATGGAAGCCCTACATGATGCTGCTTATAGAGGAACACTTGGTCGCTCATTGTACGCTCCTTCTTGTATGGTGGGACAATTTACACCAGATACGGTAAGATTCAGGCTATCCTCTTGATGTTGAATCTCATCATTAGTGTGAAAAGTCTCCTTAAAGGTCACATATAATGTTTGAAAATATTTGAGCTGAATTGGTTCAAACTTTACATTGGGCCTTTAAGAATACAGTACCATGTATCATTTAAGATACTATCAGATTGATCTATGTAATCTGGAGTTGATATCAACTGACTTTGAAGTCATAGTAAAAGCTAGAAATATTTGAATAAATGTACTTATAGACTTTGATGAATGAATATTTTTTGAAATACTGCATGAGATTTTTAATTTTAGTTGGAGGATTATATGCGAAACTTCTACACAAGCGAGAGAATGTCACTGGTAGGGCTAGGTATAGACCACGACACATTGGTGAGTTATGCCAGCCAGTTTAATCCCACTGATGGCCCTGGTCTTGCTACAGAAAAAGCCTTCTACAGGGGAGGTATGATTATTCATATCATTAGGCTATTTTGCCCTTTAATAAAATTATTAATTTGATGTACAAACATCCAAGAAAGTTAAATGAACCTGAGCCTTTCACAAATAGCTGATATAGTTCATCTATTATGAATTTAGAACTTTAACAGGAAAGGAACCATTTGATTTGTAAAACATAAAACTGCACATTATATTTTTGTGTTCCAGGTGAGATCCGTATGGAGACACGCAGCGATGTTGTCAATGCTGCAGTTGTCACTGAAGGTGCAGGGTAAGTACACGTGATGGATATGTTATGTTTAAGTTTTGTCGACAGTCGCTCAAAATAATTATCCCATCGAACGAAGTTCGGAGGGATATAGGGAACGTCTCCGTCCGTCCGTCCGTACGTCCGTCTGTCCGTCCGTCCGGGCAATAACTCAAATACCGTTGGCCCGATTTTGTTCATATTTTGTACACATATACCCTATGGGGGTAGAAGTTCTGCTTGAAAGCCAATTTTCAAAATGGCCGCTCATTTCAAAATGGCGGCCATTTAGGGCCGATTTTACAGTAATTTAGGTGCAATATGTAAAACTGTAATAGCAATATGTTTTAAATGTAAAAAGATTATAAAGGACATTAATAAAGCTACAATGTAGATATTAAAAAAGCACATGGCAGCCATCTTGAAAAATGGCAGCCTTTACTCGTTATTTTACGATTTTTGCTGTAACTCGAAAAGTAGTGGAGCGATTTTGTTCATATTTGGTATGAAAATACTATAAACATTGCACACTGTCTAAAGACACTTATGGTAGAAGGCGGCCATTTTGAAAAATGGCTGCCATTTTAACATATTTTACTATAACTCGAAAAGTAGTGGAGCGATTTTGTTCATATTTGGTATGTGAATACTATAAGCATGGCACACTGTCCTATGACACTTTTGGTAGAAGGTGGCCATTTTGAAAAAAATTTGAAAAATGGCCGCCATTTTAACGTATTTTACTATAACTCGAAAAGTAGTGGAGCGATTTTGTTCATATTTGGTATGTGAATACTATAAGCATGGCACACTGTCCTTTGACACTTTTGGTAGAAGTTGGCCATTTTGAAAAGAATTTTGAAAAATGGCCGCCATTTTAACGTATTTTACTATAACTCGAAAAGTAGTGGAGCGATTTTGTTCATATTTGATATGTGAATACTCTAAGCATGGCACATTGTCTAATAAAATTTTGGGGAGTAGTCGGCCATTTTGAAAAATAGCCACCATTTTTATGTGTGTTATTTTACAAGTACATTTGTGCGATTTTTCAAAAATTTTATAGGTGGCTACTTAAAAGCATATTATTTGTTCTGATGACAACTTGGCTAGTGAGCAACCATTTTGAAAATGGTGGCCTTTCTGGTGTGTTGTTTTATGATATTTGCTATATATTTCGTGTGTAAAAATGCCAGCCATTTCTGTTCGATGGGATTCGCTACGCTTTGGCGTTGCCGTTGTTCTTTTCCCCTCTGAAAGTTTAGCAATGTTGATCTCACATAATTATGAAATTGATTGCTCTTAGATGCTTTTTAACTGAATAAAAGTGGGCTTACTTATTTTTCCTCTCTTCCCAAAGATAATTTCTTTTGTTGAGCTCGAGGCATTGATATTTGATTTGTCTCCCAATATCTGTTGTAGGCTAGGAAGCAAGGATTTACTTGCTCTTGGGGCACTGCAAAGAGTCATGGGCTGTGGAGACTATCTCAAGTGGGGATCAGGATCTGCCACATCAAAAGTCCAGCAGACAGCAACTGGGATCACTCCTCTCCCTGTAGCAGTGAGTAACCAAATTATGATAAACATCTCATTACTTCAGCAAATATCAATGCTCTTACACAAACCTTCCTGATCAAATACAGTAGTATATTTTTATTATCCCACTTTGAAAAAGTGCTATGCGGGCGTTTGGGCGTGCGGGCGGGCGGAACATAAACCAAATCTTGTCATCAAATTTCCAGGATAACTGCTTACCTGTTCAACTTGAAATTTTTACAGATGCAAGAGCAGACTAGTACCAAGATCTGATTCGGTTAAGGGCATGCTGGGTAAACTATATGGCGGCCATTTTGAATTTTTCAACAAATCTTGTCATCAAAATTCCAGGAAAACCACTTATCCGTTCAACTTGAAATTTTTACAGATGCAAGAGCAGACTATTGCCAAGATCTGATTGGGTTTTGGGTATGCTGGCTGAATTACATGGTGGCCATTTTGAATTTTTGAATTTGGCGGCCATTTTGAATTTTTCAACTTGCTCCAAATTGACCAAATTTTTTTTTTAAAAACATCTACAAGTTCTCAGAAGTTCAAATCTGACCTTAGATTTCAGATTTGACCTTTCATTCACCTTCAGTGACCTTGAAAAGGTCAAAAAAGTTGATTTTCTAAATTGATATTTTGGATTTAAATTTAGGTCAGCTTAATTACAAAACACCTACTGAGGTCTGAAAAAGTGAAATTTTCAAGGTCGAAAGTCAAGGTCATTAAACTAGGTCACAAATGATGTTATCCAAGTTTCTCAAAGTTTGAGACTACAAATCAATTCTTGTCATCAAAATTCCAAGAAAACCGCTAACCTGTTCAATTTGAAATTTTTACACATGCAATAGCAGACTAGTGCCAAGATCTGATTAGGTTAAGGGCATGCTGGGTAAACTACGTGGTGGCCATTTTGAATTTTTCAACAAATCTTGTCATCAAAATTCCAGGAAAACCACTTATCCGTTCAACTTGAAATTTTTACAGATGCAAGAACAGACTATTGCCAAGATCTGATTAGGTTTTGGGTATGCTGGCTGAATTACATGGTGGCCATTTTGAATTTTTCAATTTGGCGGCCATTTTGAATTTTTCAACTTGCTCCAAATTGACCAAATTTTTTTTTAAAAACATCTACAAGTTCTCAGAAGTTCAAAGCTGACCTTAGATTTCAAATTTGACCTTTCGTTGACCTTCAGTGGCCTTGAAAAGGTCAAAAATTTGATTTTCTAAATTTATATTTTGGATTTAAATTTAGGTCAGCTAATTACAAAAGACCTACTGAGGTCTGAAAAAGTGAAATTTTCAAGATCGAAGGTCATCAAATTAGGTCACAAACTATGTTATCTAAATTTTCCCAAAGTTCAAGACTACAAATAAATTCTTGTCATCAAAATTGCAGGAAAACCGCTAACCTTGTCAACTTGAAATGTTTACAGATGCAAGAGCAGACTAGTGCCAAAGTCTGATTAGGTTTTGGCCATGCTGGGTAAATTGCATGGTGGCCAGTTTGCTCTTCAAAGTGCGATATTTATCACTGTGTGTCTTGTTGTTACTTCAATGTATTGAAACCAAAATTTTCAACATCCAAATATCATGGAAAGTTTGTATGAATGTTATTAATACATATTAAATGTAGACTTTACATGTAGTACTGTGACTCGGCTTGAAAGCATCATAAGTCTCAGGTGAGACTTGTTTCAAATGTAAACTCATTAATAAGTCCAATCCAAGTATGCTATAGATGAAACTCCTCAAGTCGTATAAATTCCTCTTTCAGGTGAATTGCTTCAATGCAAACTATGCTGACTCTGGTGTTTTTGGTTTCTTTGTCACTGCCAAAGATACTTGTGTAGGCAAGGTGCTTAAAGGTGTTGCCAAACAATTCTCAGCACTCACTAAATCTGGAGTATCCCAGGATGACCTCAACAGGGCCAAGTATGTCAACATTTTTACTAGTTTCTGCCTTGTATCAGCCATCGACAATATTTTGTCAGGTGACTCTAACAAGTGTTTTGTTCTTATATAAATTATATACATTGTACGTTAACGTCTGTTTTTGTCAGTAAGGATATGTAGTCCAATCAAGAGTGCTTTAAATGAAGTCAAAACGTATTAGTGATCTTTTGGGAATTAGAGCAACCACATGCTCTGCAATAGAGAAAAACAGAAAAGTTACATGCCCCCCCCCCCCCCCCCCCTGTTGAAGATCTGCTTGCACCCTGCTAAAGTTGTGAAATATTGAGATATTTTGAACATTGATATGGGTAAAATGAGAATCAGAAACCTGTCAAGATAAAGATTTGACAGAAGGATGAATGACTGAAATTCATTTCTTAAATTAGTAAAAACCTGTCTAATCCGAATGCCACTTGGGCATTATACAATGTATAAGTGTTCAGATTGGTACGTTTTCAGTATTCACATATTCACATTTCAGGTTTTGTGTAACATGGTGATACAGGAAGATTATAACAATGAGATAAAAAAACATTTACATTAAAAGGTGTTAGATTAAAGATGCGTTTGCATATACAGGTTTTACCATCCTACTAAACTGACCATTTTTAAATGTACACAATCACAAAGTTTCATAATTTGAAATATTTCTCTTTTCCTTTGTAGGGCTCAACTAAAGGCTTCACTAATGATGAGCGGTGAAGATCCAAATGCTGTCATAGCAGATCTGGTGAATGGAAGTGACATGTCTGAAGTTGCTGCAGCTATTGATGCTTTGACTGTAGCAGATGTCAGTAATGTATGTGAAACAGTTTTTAATTAATTCATGCTGGAAAAACCAGCTCTATCATGCAACCCAGCATTGATTTTGCCACTTGCCTGATTGTGCCAAAAATATGTTTGTTTAAAGTTCAAACCCATTTATTTCAAGTAAGGTTTACTAATTTGAATAGTACTTCGAACACACATTTTAGTTAGGTTCTAATCTTCTATTAAGTCCATTTTAAATGATATAGGTATATGAGTAATTCCATTGTAAATATTCTGATTCCAGGTTGCTAAGAAGGTAATTAATGGCAAGCCATCCATGGCAGCAGTTGGAAATCTAGAAAATGTACCCTACTTGGACCAGGTCTTCAACTAACATCACAGACTCTTAGGAAATTACAAATACTATTACACCTCCAATGGCCATAATTGGAATTGATTTTAAAGTAGTGGATGATACGATTTAACTCGTTACTGTCAAATTACACCCTTGAATGACTTCATAGGCTTGAACTGATTAAAATATTAGATAAAGATTTAAGTATGGATGCTCAAGCTTTGGAAACTTGAACTTTGGGCATTATGAAAAATACCAAATCATTATATCAGGATTTAGTTGTGCATCTGATTGCTGTATATTCTCTGCTAATCACTAGTCTTATCAAACATTTCAGATTCTATCTTCTGGTGATATTATAAAACAATATATGCAAAAGCGTCCATGTTCCAGTTGATCAGTTTTAGATTTCTTATTTATTATACAAGCGAATGATGAGTTATGGTCACTGTGCATTAACTGTAGAGACGGGATTTGTGTGGCAGAACATGTAGAATTATTATATTGATGAAACAATAAAGCTGTTATAACTTAATTTACGTCATTTTCTTTATTCATTTCAAATGGACCTCTTACACATGCCAATTCAAATGATACATCAGATTTCTACCCACACTCGCAATTTATTCTATAGGCCACATCTTTTAGTAAACCTCAACATGGATACTGCATAGATTAACACTCCTATTAAGAATGATGCAACATTAGATTGCTACCAAACCTGTGAAACTGTCCTGCCATTCTAACTCAGAATGTTATCTTTACAAGGCATGAATGAATACTACAAGTTATTTGAAAACCTTTTTTGACTTTCATATTTTGTTTTATGTTTTATTCTGGAGATGTCACATTGCAAAAGTAGTCAAATATCAATATATCATTGATAACAACGAGAATTCTGTGATTTTGCGTCACTGCAGTTTTGGGTTTCAAATTGTTTGCAGAATTTGAATTTTTGCACAGAATTATATGTGTCACCTTGACATCCTAAGACAGCCAGTTGTAATCAGAAACTGGTGGATTGAGGATTTCCAAGGTGAAATGTCAAAGCTTCCTCAGTTGAACTTAAAGATTACGTCTAATTTGACTTGTTCATGCAGAAACTAGTATGTGTGTTTAATAAGCATACCCTCCATTAGTATGGCAACCAGAACTTTTCATTGTAAAGCATATTAAAGGCTTTGAAATTGATAAATGATCCAAAGTTACCAAACTTATGAAGGGTAGTGTAATTTAATCATTAGATGAATTGAATTAGCTCATAAAATCATTAATTTAGCTAAAGAATCTTGTACAAGAGATAATTTAAGATACTTTTTGCTTCATTTCACAAAAACAAAATACCTTGTGAACATACTATTAGCATATTGTTCGTATTTGTTCCATGCTATAAGTAAATAAAGGACTCGATAACAATTAGCATTTCACAGAATTCAATCATTTGATCTCATTATTTGCATTGTATTCGTATTGTTAATACATGTACATTGAAAATATTTTACAATATCAGGCTGGTATGGCAAAAAATAATAAAATAAATTGAATTTGAATTGAGAGCTGAAGTATTTCAATGTGCTACATAATAGTATAGTTCCAATATTTATATTTCTTGTAAACACTCTTGTGTGGATTTAATTTGAATAAAAATCCAGATCACAGATAAATATACTGGTTTATGGTTGAGCTGGACTACCAAATACACAGTAATGTCAATGTTAGAGTATTACACATTATCAGGATCACCAATTTGAAACTGAAAAATGGCTAAAAATATTTCATTATTACATAAAAAAATATATTCTAATTTCATTCTTTATTTCATTTATTCCTCAGTTATTGACATTTTGTTATTTTGGTTATGAGTCGAAGCTTCCCCTGCCCCTTCCACCTCCCCGTCCACCTCTAGGACCTCCCCCACCCCTGCCCCCTCTGTAATCTCCCCTACCCCCTCTTCCTCCACCCCTGGAACCACCCCTTCCTCCTCTCCCACCCCTGTTTCCATCTTGATTTTTAGGGGGTGGAGATTTGGGACGTAACCGCTCAATCTCCTCACTACATCCTGTCAGTATCCCATTCGGCTCCTTGAAGAACTCATTATACGCCTCTGGTTCATAGTTACTACTGGTCAATTCAGGGCCGATACTGACCCAACCAGGTCTAATTGTACTGTCCCTAGCAAACACATGAAGACGTCTCCTCCCAAGGCAGAAATGTTCCATCATGTGGAATAACTCTATAGGTTTTTCTTTACTCCCATAAGGTGGTTCCTCATCAATGATCAGATCAATGTCAACATTAGCATGGATGAAGTCACCATCGGTGCTACGCCGTACTGTACCCTTTATCCCCATCAAACAATGCTCCTGCAAACATATTAGTTGATCTTAAACATTTACACAAAAAGATATTAGGTCTGCTATTATATATTTATGATTATTACATTACAGTTTTATGTCACCACCACAATTGGTTACATATTGTTATAGTCTCCAATAGTTTTGTGGATGGCAGTTGGTGTTCGGTATCAAGTGCAACAAATTCTTACAGCATCTGTAACAAATAACATGTAGTGGCATTTTACATGTTTAGGCTTGTATTAAATTCATTTTTAGATCCATTCTTTCCTATCAATAATCGACATGTAAATGTTATTTAAATGTCCCACCTTTGTTCTCTGAAAAATTGCTTTCGGGTCAGAGTTCTTGTTGTGGCCAGGATTTTGAATGTTTGTCTTTATCCAGCAAATGTCCTCGCATCTCCTGAATCCCCACTTTTTCAAGCACTGGAAACAGCAAATAATAACATATAATATAAACTGAAGGGCTATTTGTGTAGTTATCATCCAAAATAACCCTTTAGTCCTAGTGATATTAACCACAAAAAGTTAATGCAAAATCCTAGTGATATTAACCACAAAAAGTTAATGTAAAATCCTTGTGATATTAACCACCAGAAGTTAATGTAAAATCCTAGTGATATTAACCACCAAAAGTAAATGTAAAATCCTAGTGATATTAACCACAAAAAGTTAATGTAAAATCCTAGTGATATTAACCACCAAAAGTTAAAGTAAAATCCTAGTGATATTAACCACAAAAAGTTAATGTAAAATCCTAGTGATATTAACCACAAAAAGTTAATGTAAAATCCTTGTGATATTAACCACAAAAGGTAAATGTAATATCCTTGTGATATTAATCACAAAAAGTAAATGTAAAACCCTAGTGATACTAACCACAAAAAGGTCAATGTAAAATCCTAGTGATATTAACCACAAAAAAAGTTAATGTAAAATGTCCAAGAGCAACACTTGAGGATGTTTATCACTTTATTGTTACAGTCACAATATGTTAAAGTCCTTTAGCATATTAATTTAACCCTTGCAATAGAACCAATAAATAATGAAAATTACAATATTCTATGGGCTCACATGGTGATGATTCCTTATATATACTCATTTCTAACAACAACAAAAACATGTCAAGTTTCAAAAGAAGTTAGGTCAAAATGCAATAGCATATCAAATCACAAATGTACAAATGAAGAATAAAAGGAAGTATGGTCAATAGAATTTTCCCTTCATGGATGATTGTTTGAGTTATATATTGTAAAAATTTGTCTAAAATAAACCAAGGCCAACTTTATCCCAGAAGAAATAACCCAGAAACAACTGTAACATAAATGATCTAGGAAGCTAAAACTGTTACTGATACTTCTCAAGAACTGCAACATTATACAGTAAAACTTGCGAAAAGGGATTGCTCTTGGGACTGGATGAAAGTTTCCTTGTTCAGAGGTTTTCCCTATAGAGAGGGGCCGCACTTTCTGCAAACTCAAACTTGCCGAATAAGCATATTTTAAAATATATAGGCATTGATTGATTGTACCAATGCCGACTCCATACTTGGTTGCTAGACCTTGTTGTGACATCTTGCAAGATGTATGAAGGTCTCTCAACTCCCTCTGTTGGCTGAGGGAGAACTGATTTCAAGTTTCATCAACCCAATTTTATATCATTGATAATCTAGAAGTTTGGATCAGTATAAAATTTGGCTCAACATGACACATGTATTTATCTAGCTGTTATCTCCAGAAAACAATTGTGTCAGTCCCTAGATTATCACAACTGATCTGATGTAATTATGTTTGTTGAAAGGAAAAATTAGTGTCATGAGAATGAGTAACAGTTTTGTATTAGTTTTAAAATATATCAGGGTAATTAACAGTGGGTGGGATGCTACATCCTATAAAAAATTGGCTTATCTTAATCTCTATCATATTAATCCAAGCTTTTTAGAATCAGATATTGGCTTAAAGTGTGCGCCTGACCCGGCTACGTATAGCACAGAGTTTATACTGGCGGATTAGACTAGTTCATTTTTTATATGTGTGTGAAAGCTTTCTCTTATTTGCGTTTTTCGTTTAGTACGGTTTTGTTATAATTGCCGAGGTTATATAACCGGGATAAAACAATGATTATCGTTGACTGCCCACACACAAAACATACGTTGAGCGAACAGTGTTATTACAAACAACAGGCTTTAGAATACAAAGCGTAGTGTGATAATAAGCTGCACACTATCACTGCTGCATGTACATATTACTAATTTACTAGGGCTCCCAAAGAGTGGATAGGGAGGTTGTGTTTGTCACTTTTAAATTTTACATTTCAAAATTGTCATTTTACATGTCATAATTTGTTGGTTTCATTCGTTTAGCCAATCAAAACATTGTAAAACAATAAATTGTCTGTTACGTACAATCAATTCTGTTCAGTTTTGATTAGTTGTCAGAATAAAGTTACGTTCATCTGAATCCATGTATCAAAACAAAAATCCTATTTTCACTTCAAAATACTTCAGTGAAATGAAGGCTCGGAATTGTCACATGCAATAACTTATTGTCGTATTCGTTACATCATCTTCTCGATAGTAGCATTTAGTCGCACATTTGATGCCGGGTCACCTTGTCGCGTACCTCTTGGGGAACCCCACATTTATGTGTGTACTCATGGAAGTAAATTCCCCGGTGTAGCCGAGAGCCACAAACTTTTCAACAGGTTCGAAATGACCAATTTCTCTCATATATACTCTAAATATTTTATTATTTAGCACCTACAAAGTATTGCTAATAACCATATGTAATTTCAATAAGGAAACTTATCTGGCTACATATAAATTCAATATCAACACTAGCTGTTCTCTCAACACGTCCTGGCTTACCTTGTGGTGACAAACCCTGGGTTTTCGCTATTTATAGTTTATCAACACCTGGACGCATGCGCATTTTATACTTTATCGGGCACTTTAAGACTTTCACACCTCTGAATAATAATGGAATATACAGTGTCACCAATATTCCATATTCCTTGTTCACAGGTGAATTTTCCTAATTTGCCCCAAAATAGTGTTCCTTGTTCCCTGTCCAAAGGTTTTCCCTACAGAGAGGGTCCGTTAACATGTAAGTCAATGAAAAAAAAAAATTTTTGTTCTTTTGAAAAGCATTCCTTGTTCATAGGTTTTCCATCAGACAGGTTTGACTGTATGTACTTTCTGGTTTGAAAACACGATAAGACCATACAGAATGATTACCATAGTAACAAAGTGATTATCAAAGTAACATAGTTACATCATGATTAAACACAATCACTACATTGCAAGCAATAGATAAGAGGGGCCAAGGTTATTATTCATTCACACATAGCAAGGCAAGGTGTGTCTGATTCCAGCCAATCCGAACACAGTATTTCACAGATCTACAACAGTGCATGAAGTAATCAATAACACATGCAAGGTTTGCAAAAAGTTCCCTCGAAAATATGTTCTTTTTGTTATTTTTGTATATTTTAAGTGACATTGGTAGAAAATATTTTGCAATGTGTGAAAAGAGTTTAAGCCCAAGACTCAATGCATTGTGGCTGCTTCATTCCACTCAGATGTTGTTTCCTTAACTTTGCATTCCCGCTGCCCAGTTGTGCAAAGATTTGAAAACAACATCTTCATGGAATGGTTCAGCACACAATACACTGAGTCCAAGGCTTAAATCCTTAAATTAATAATTTGTTGTCTAGTTTCACAAGTGATGTAGCTTTTATCAGAAATAGCTTGTCTCAATGACATCACAAAAACCAATATTTTATAACTTACACTGAAACAGACAAATAACATACTAGCAGATTTAATCAAGTAATTTAGGATGTTCATATCATTAACAAATTGACAAATAAAAATATTTCTCTTGGGTCTTTACGGCTTTGTACTTTGTTTTCATTATCCATTACTATGAATAATTTATGAATGCTGTTGGTGTTTATCATCTCTTTGGCACTTTATGATTTTTTTAGTAATATGCAAATATAGGTTTTCAATAATTAGAGTTGTGAAATATCTTTTTCACAGTACTTTGTACTAAAATCCCAGAATAAAATAGTTCAGATCAGTTTGAGAGGAAATTACTTCGATATCTTCTTGTATTTGCTTCAGAAAATAATGAGGGGTGTTATTGTTTTAATTGCATATCTTATTATTGCAAAGATTTGCGGTACAGCTAGTACAAACAACAGAGGTACAAACAACAGAGGTAGAAACAACAGAGGTACAAACAACAGAGGTACAAACAACAGAGGTACAAACAACAGAGGTACAAACAACAGAAGTACAAACAGCAGAGGTACATTTAACAATGTTGGATACTCAACTAAATACTATCATAAGATTGGCTACATGTATGAGCAATCTCCCATTGCAACATCAGTTATGTCAATGGCTGCCTACGACATGGAAATAGCTGCGGTGCAATGTTTGTCTACTTGTCAAAAAGAGGCTAATTTGGGCACTAAAAGTTGTATTGCTGTGAATTTCAACACAAGAAATGGAACTTGTCAACTTCTCTCCAAGCAGCCTCTGTATAAGTATGATACCAAAGTGAAAAGTCGTGCTTTGTGGACATTATATACGGAAGAACCTATAAAATATCCACGTGATTGTGAAGATATTGAACAAAAAGACATAATCAAATATTACAAAATTCAGCCAGACACAAGTAAACCCCCCTTTTCTGTTCTGTGTTCTAAACACGACTTATATCGTACATATATCCAATATCACGACAGATTAAGCAGTTTTGACTTTCAGAAAGGGACATGGGATCAATATCAAAATGGCTTCAAAGACGATCATACCTCTGGCCGTAAAGTTTATTATTGGATAGGAAATGAGAATCTCCACACTCTTACACACAGTCGGAACTATTCTGTTAGATTTGGCTGTGAAAACTCTAATGTTAGATCCGGCTGTGAAAAAACTAAACTGAAGCGAATACATTACAGCGGGTTTTTAGTTGATAGCAAACAAAACTATTATCAACTGACTATTGGCTCTGTAATCAAAAATGACGATGACATGGATGATGCCATTATAAATGGGTCGAGATTTCTGACACATGAAAATCACACAGAAGATGCATGTGCCAGCCAAGGTGGATGGTGGTACAAGAATTGTACAAATGCTAACTTTAACACAGCTAATGAGAACATGTTTTGGGGAGGTATGAAATGTTCTATAAGTAGAATAAGAGTGCAACTTGTCAAGGATGACCATATGTTTCTGAATGTGTGACGAAGCAGTTTTCATAATTATCCAAGTCACCACTGAAGGATTATTCCTCAAAAGGAACATGGAATGATAGATAGTACAACTGACTTTAGACAACTGCATTGTCTCTTGAGAAAGGTATCATGATAACTAAGACTCTGTGAAATTAACTGGTAAATTAACTCATCAACATACTTTTTGAAAAATACTGACTTAATTTAAGAAGTAGATATAATATAATGGGAACAATTTGTATTTCTCAAAGGAGTTAAACATCCATGAGTGACATGTTTCTCATCACCAATGAAACTATGGGTGACATGTTTATCATTATTCACCAATGAAACATTGGGTGACATGTTTATCATCATTCACCAATGAAACATAGGGTGACATGTTCATCATCATTCACCAATGAAACATTGGGTGACATGTTTATCATCATTCACCAATGAAACTATGGGTGACATGTTTATCATCATTCACCAATGAAACATTGGGTGACATATTTATCATCATTCACCAATGAAACATTGGGTGACATGTTTATCATCATTCACCAATGAAACATTGGGTGACATGTTTATCATCATTTACAAATGAAACATTGGGTGACATGTTTATCATCATTCACCAATGAAACATTGGGTGACATGTTTATCATCAATCAGCAATGAAACTATGGGTGACATGTTTATCATCATTCACCAATGAAACATTGGTTGACATGTTCATCATCATTCAGCAATGAAACTATGGGTGACATGTTTATCATCATTTACCAATGAAACTAAGAGTGACAAGTAATCATTTACCAGTGTGACATAAGTGACAAGTTTATCAGTATTTATCAAGGAATCAAGGAATGACAAGTTAATCATTATTTACCAATGAAATGTTGAATGATATGTATATCATCATTTACCAATGAAACTATGAGTGACAAGTGAATCTTGATTTACCAATGAAACAATGAATGTTAATGAAATGAAAGTTAATCATCACTGCCAATGAAATGTTGAGTGACATGTTGATCAGAATCACAATTGAAACAATGAGTGACATGTAATTGTTGTTTAGCTTACCTTCCTTCCCCAGTCAAGGCCTTCTCCATGTCCACACCATATCCAGATGAATGACCTCTGAGCTGCTATCTTTTCTATTTCCAAACCCATTATCTGAAAAACAACCATAAATACCAATAGCAGATTTTGAGGTTATACAATGAAATTTCATTTAGTGTGATACATATAAATCCGATGGTAAACATCTTACATTTCAAGATGTCTCTCTATGACTAGCAACATTTTGGCTGAGAGCTCTATAGCCAAGAACTTGAGATAACATCAGAACTCCTGTAATTTATTTTACGAAATAAAAATTTAGAAAAAAAAAGAAAAAACTCTTGAGAAAATGTTGATTTACAAAACAATCTTAACTGCTTTTATCTCTAAAAATGTAGAGCTCTTAGGAGTGTTGTGTAAATTCAACTTTTGGCATTTGTATAAATGCAAACTGAAACATACCTCTTCCCAGCTCCAGTATTTATCATAGATGGCGCCATTGGTCCTTGCATACTCCTCTAGAGGTGGATCAATGTGAATGACGTCAAACCTTGCATCAAGGTCTTGAAGATCAAAGTTTTGGAGATCACACTTTAAGTACCTGCAAGAATTACGCATTATTTTGTAATTTTGAATTTCAGTTCAAATCAATGTTTGTTATGTCAATATGAGAAATTCATGAGCTTAAGTTCTAGTGCAGTTTGCATCATTACATCTCTCTTGAATTTTTGATACTTGACTATTGAGTGTTATCAATATTGGTGAGTGTTTCTTTGCACATACATTGAGATGTTTCTTCATATTCATATTGGAAGAGTGTTTCTCTAACTGAAATTTGAGTGTTTCTTTGTATTTACATTTGGGGAGTGTTTCTCTAACATGAGATAATAGATGTGTTTCTCTGTACTTACATCGGAGGTGTATTTGTGGTTGCAATGAGTTCATCTTTTAACCTGATAAGTTCTCTCAGCTTTGGATATTCTTCAAACCTGTTAGCCAAGCCTACAAACATATAAGTAATATTGGATTGTTTTTTCTCTAATAGTCAATAATTGAAATTTAGTTTAAAACTCAATGTATGATGGCACAGAAACCAAAATGGAAGACTGACTACAAGACAAAATTAAAACCTAAAAAAACAGGAATCTTTAAAATAAAAAATAAATAAAAATGTTTATTGCTTCCATCATAAGGATACTAATACTTACATATCTAATTTTCAAAAATAATCTCACATATGCTATCATTGGATTCTACTACTTCATGGATAAAACAAGGACAGACAAAGCAATATGAAAAATGTTACCACCTGCCATTTGTTACTGATGCCGAATGCTGACTACCAATCACCAAACATCATCCACAAAAAAAGTTGGAGACCATATAACATATGTCACCACTTGTGGTGATGAAATAAAAACAAAAAAGTATTATTTAAAAGTATCAACTGACAAGGCAGTAATCTACATACCTACATCCCTGATATAATTCTGAGGTCTCTCTCCAGTATCCACAAAGTTCTGACAATAGTCATTGTGAGGATTGGCACTCTGGGTTCCCTGTGAACATCAGTTAAAGAAAATGTTACGATGGTCATTTTTTCAAATGCAGAATTCATTGGAAGGGATTGATAGGGCTTAGAACAGATTCATGCTACAGGTGTATATTTTCAATAAAATATCAATAAGTAGAAGATTAGGCAGGTGTTACTGACTGATGTTGAAAAAAAACAGAAACTATTTCACAATTTCTACTTACTAGTATATCGAAAAAAAGGTTTTATGGAGTAAAAGGATTTTATAAGCAATCCGATTTTGGAAACATCAGATTGACACCCGATTCTGCCTTTCAACTCACAATTTTGATTATGGATCAAATGAAACAGACAGAGACAGTTTCCATATTTATAATACTTATACTTTAAAACTGAGTGCAGGGTAAAAAACTACTGTAAAAATATATACTAGTAACTATAAATGCAGAGACTGAGACATCAGAATCTAATACTAATACATGTAGTATGTTACCTTGAGATGCAGGGTAAAAAACTACTGTAAAAATATATACTAGAAACTACAAATGCAGAGACTGAGACATCAGAATCTAATACTAATACATGTAGTATGTTACCTTGAGATGCAGGGTAAAAAACTACTTTAAAAATATATACTAAAAAATACAAATGCAGAGGCTGAGACATCGGAATCTAATACATTATATGTAAAATGTTACCTTGAGAAATGTGCTGGAATCTTTGTAGATTTGATCCCTCTCACTGTAGATATCTCTCTCATTCTGAAAGTGAAAATACAACAGTACTGTCATAACATCACATGCAACTCCTCTTAAACAAGAGAATCATTAGGGCCTTTGGTTTATTAAATAGCAGTGCTCATGTGGTCATCCAAAAATTAAATCTTTTTCTCACCTTTTTCAAGATTTTACTTTATTTTGACAGATTCTAAGTAAACAGGGAGAAAAGCTTGGTCACTTGGTCAAAAAGATAAATATGTAGGGCCCCATCTTAATTGTGATATATTAACAGAAACAGATTTGTTCAGTTTTGACAGAACTCTACATGATTGCATGCATTGTATGGCATAAGATGGTACAATAGAAAACTATGTAACAAACATTTTATGCAGTAAATTATGTGAACAGTTCTCCAAAATTTCTCAAAAAAATGCTTTACCTCTGGCAGGACTGACTTGGGGTCGATGCCTTTACTTGTGTCTACAGGACCCTCATCATCATCCTCCTTCATAAGCTTTTTGTTGGGCTCATCATCCCTAAATTCAAGGATATATAATTTCAATCATTAGAAATCACAACCTTCATTCAGTTACTTAGCATTCTTTGCAAGGTAAAGATGGTATGAGTATCAGAATATGTTGTGTCATTGAACATTATTTAGTTTCACCCTTTATTTCATTTTTGAAGTATTATTGTAAAACCTGAACAAGGCAGTAACATGCAAAATGGCTTTAACATGTTTGCTTTAATGCTTAATAACATGTTCTTTCTTTGAAATAAAAAAATTTAAAAAAAAAAGTCATGCCAAATGTCACCACCTGGCATTTGTTACAGATGCCGACTGTTGAATGCTGTTACAGACTCCAAATATTAACCACTGAACACCATCCACAAAAAGTTGGAGGCTAACAATATGTCACTAATTCTGTTGAGGCCAAACAAAAATATATGTCCGTTTCCGGAACCCCGACCGACCCTAGTTTGAACCCCCGACCCTAAGACATTTTTTAGTACACTGAAAAATAAAATATTCTATCTCTGGCCTTACTCGATTGAAACAATACATTTCCTTCTGAAATGTTTTACTCACATCAGGCCCAGGTGTCCATATTGCTCATACCCTGGAACATTTGCAGTAATATTATCGTTAGGGCCCCCAAAACACTTGAAACACAGGAAATATTGTTTGTTTTCTTGAAAAGTTCGCCATTTTTGCTCTTCAAAATAGAGGCCCTCAATCAACTCCCAGAGGGGTCTAGCAATTGCTAGGGAGACATCTATAACACTAAGTGCTAACTTGGTTTCGGGTTTCACCCCCTTCAATAAAATTTGCAATTCCCATTTTACCATGCAGATTTGAAATAAGAAAAATAAAATCTTGGGGAGGGAAACCCGAAAACATAACAGCTATTTGCATAAATCAGCCTGACCTTTCACTTAGGAATGTTTATAGTGGGAAATTTGAATTTGAATGTTTAGACCACATGATTGGTCTATTATAGTTTGATCTGATCACATGACTTATCATCATCATTATCAAGTTTAGGAGGGGTGGAGGCTTTATACCCTGTAATGTTCTCCCATCTGATCTATTAAAATTAAAACTGAATTTAGGGTAGGGAACTGATTATTGCTCACTAGTAAGTGGCTATTTGTAAAGATCTGAGTACCATGCCTTGTCCAGGAGGGTTTTGAAGTGGGAAACTGACGTGGCATCAATGATACTCTGGGAGAGGGAATTCCAATGTACCAGATGAAAATGTTATGTTCTCACAGAGACAAGTTTTCTCTGAATTGTTTCATTGAATTAAAAATATTCTTCTAAGGTCTTCTAAAGCTGATTCTGTTTATTTTAGAGTCAGAAAAATTATATTTTTGAGGCATATATTAATATGATGACAACTTTGTAACCTCTGCTGATCCAGTGCTAAATATACTGATATTTGATGTCCATGAAGGCCTTTATCCAGAAGTTTCGAATGTTATGGTGGAATAAAATTGATAATAGATCAACAGATCAATAGACTTGTTTATTATTATATAGGCCTAGTGTAAAGGAAAACTTTGTTTTGTCTCGATAATAACAATTTCAAGCGATAATAACAACTACCTTACTTCGGTATTTAGTTACCTAGAAAAAATCTTACGTAACAATTTTCAATACCAGGTGAGAAAGTTAAGTTCGAACCCTGACCAAGTTGTTTATTTAGTTCAATATCTGAAGGTTTTAAGTAAGTACGGATCAAATGATTATAGATTGCATGATGAATTAAGGTCTCATGGCAGTTAAGAGCAAATGACAAAACGAAGAGATGACAAAAAACATAAGATAAAATATTTTTCTGACTGACCTACCCTAAAAAAAATTGAGTAAAATTTTAATGAAAAATAAAATAATCCTCCTACCTACCTACCCTAATCTGAAAATACATGGAGCAGGAAACAGACATATATTTTTGTTTGGCCTGATCAAATAACTCTGGCATTAATGAAAAGCGGTTGGAATTGCAGGACTTCATATTTCAAGGTTTACAACATGAAAGTCAATGGGAGTGTAAGAAATTGGGACAGAAGAGTGAATTTTGAGAGAGAGGTGTTCAGATTAGAGAGATTTAGACAGGTGTCACTGTCCATTTCTCATATGAGACACATGAAAAAGTCTAAATATGTGAACTCAATGTGTGTACTCACAATAGTGCTGCTCTCTTCTTGGATGCTTCCACTTTCTCTTGTTGTTCCTTCTTGCTACTAATAACTGTACTCAGATCTTTAGAATTAGACACACCCATCTGAAAAAATAAATGTTGGTAGTTCTTATAATAGGATACAGATACAGTTACCTAGTTCCAAGCTGGCCTCTCTTTGTACTCTATTTGTACATTTGTATATTTCATTCTATGTTCGGGCAATACCTGTTGCACTTTCAATGATTTTTGCAAAAATCATTGAAAGATGAACAGGTAATTGCCCTCCATAGCATGAAATATTTACTTAGTATTTGGTTTAATAATATTAATAATACAACAATTGCTGTACCTGAATTATTTATCTACTATATAGCTGAATAAATAGACGTTATCACTTGTTTTTATTTGTTTTTGTTGGGCCATAACATGGGCTTTCAATTATAATAGTTGAAAGCCCATGGCCATAATGAAGAAATTTTCGTTTTTAATAGCAATTTTTCGGTGTTATTTAATTTACAGTTTTTCAACTGTCAAAATTCCTCCATCTATTGGAACATCCAGGCTCTGCAGCATCAGACCTGAATGTTATTATGGGGATTCCCCTTCAAAGGAGGTGCTATCTTTCTCGATGAAAAATGAAAATTTCCTCGTTCTGCTGATAAACCCAAGATGTACGATTGGGAATTCAACTACATAAAAAAGAATCCTAAAAATACTCAGGAATGTATTAATGGTCATCTTACTGTATAAGGCGTGGAAAATGTTCCCATAATGTAATCATATAGACAACGACTATAGTGGTGGACCAAGATAACCGAGACCATATCTGTTGCAAGACTTATTCCTGGCACAACCATCACAATGTTATAAGTGTTTTTAAGTTTCGCAAGGATCCTGCCATGACCATGGTAGTGTTATCATGAAAGCCTAGTATAACCGTGACAATGCTATATTATATTGCAAGGCCTGTCATGATCATGGTAATTTAAAGCCTGATATGACCATGCCAATGCTATACTATATTCCAAGGCCTGTCATGACTGTGGTAATGTTAAAGTCTGATATGACCGTGACAATGCTATACTATATTCCAAGGCCAGTGAGTCATGACCATGGTAATGTTAAAGCCTGATATGACCGTGACAATGGTTGCAAGGCCTGTCATGACTGTGGTAAAGTTAAAGCACAATATGACTGTGACAATGGTTATATTAAATGACATTTAGTAGCAAGAGAATACTGTCATGAAAAATTTCATCATTTATTTACCTTAAATATGTAAATCTAGACTACTACTAATACTTAACTCATAATTCATTTCCACTAACTATAATTCTAATCGCATTCAAGAACATGAACATTTTCACGGCCATATCAGGCTTTAACAGAAGAAGGCCACAATATAGTGGCCTTAGAAGAAGGTAATGTGAGGTAACTTGCTTCCAATGTCGTTACATCAAATAAAAGATTACCTACTACAAAGAGGCTACTCTAATCCTAAACCAAGACCTGACAAAATTAGAATCAATGTTATATCCTCGAGGATAGAGGTTCATTTATCCCGTAGGATTTTAGTCCTGAGAACGTCTCAATCTTTTGCCTGTACGATTACAACATGGGAGAATTTTCTTTGCCTCTTTCACTTAAGATACCTACTTCAATAGATTCCTGGGTATTTTAGCATTCTTTTTGTGTAGTTGAATCCAAAATTATCTGGGTTTATCGGCAGAATGGGAACAGTTTTCTTTTTCATCGAGAGAGATTCCATCACTTTTCAAGATGGCGGTTGGATTTAAAAGGGGACTCCCCGTTTGACTGACCCGGAAGTGGCCTGGAAGTACCAATAAATGGAGGAATTTGAAGGTTGAAATAAGTTAAATATTACATGCAAATATTGTAATAAAAAACGAAAATTTCTTTGTTCTGCCGATAGACCAAGATAATTGTAGATTCAACTACACGAAAAGAATGCTAAAATACCCAGGAATCTATTGAAGTAGGTATTTTAGTGTAAGAACCGTAGAAAATTCTCCCATGTTGTAATCGTCCTGGCACAGGATAAAGGTCCATGATTATATGTCATCCTACTATTTTTTTCAAGGCCTGTCTGCGTCGCTAACATGCTAAATATAAGAGTTAGCTGACGTTTGGGAGTCTGACTTACCTTCTAAAGGTTAGAACCCGAATCTTAATGAAACCATATCACCTTTGTTCCGTCAACCATGGAGCATTTGCCACAACATCCAAGAGGTAAATCATGGATCGAGAAAATGAATGATTTCCTTGTAAGTTCCGGAAGTTTCAATACGAAAAATTACCGAACATATGTGAAAACCGAATATTTGTTCGTTGTTTTCACGATTTACAGGTTCGTTTGTTCTTCAATGTTTTGGTCTAAATTATAAAGCATCACCAACAGGTCTTTCTCTATTAATCGACTAATACAGCAGACGGCTCATATTTCTACGTAGCATTTCATTCAGACCAATAGTGGGAGTGTAGATCACGCAGTTTCGTTCGTTGCGTACTTCACTTGAAATTGGTAATTTTTAATATTGACTTCTTCACTTAGCTTGGCGGATTTTAATTTTCACACCAGACATGCTTGGTTGACACGTCAACAAAGTAAAGTTCAAGGGTCAATGCGTTATTTCGTGATAACTACAACGCCTTCCCGAAAGTCAACATTGATGAAAAATGAAAAAGTCGGAAAAGCATTTACGTTAATTTCTATCAAATGCTATGTTTATGCATCATCATCGACGCAACAAAGGTGATATAGTTTCATTAAGATTCGGGTTCTAACCTTTAGAAGGTAAGTCAGACTCCCAAACGTCAGCTAACTCTTATATTTAGCATGTTAGCGACGCAGACAGGCCTTGAAAAAAATAGTATGTATTTCAATTACCTGCATAGCCAGAAGTTCCCTCCTTTTCTGGGACTTTTCCTTCAATTGTTTTAGCCGGTCACCCATCTTTGATTGCTAGTTATATTCAATCTGTTGAAATATATATATCAGTTCGTGAGGTATATCAATATCACATAAATTGTATTGCACACATTTATTTCATGTTTATTACCAGAATATCCATAAAATAGCAGTTATTGAAAACAAAAAATGAAAAAATTGAAAATCAGAATGTATGTGCCGTAGAGTAGTTGCTGATGTGATGTCGCAAAAGTTTGTGTCGACCTAATAATCTTTCGCTTTGTTACAATATCAGTCATCTGAGATATAAAACAATTCGTTTTCTATTCGAATGATACGTTTTTATATATTCTAGTTTACTAAATAAGCCACGAACAGCAACGAGAAAACTGCCATAAATCAGTATTGGCGAAAACGAGGCTGAAAAAAAATTGTGGAAAAATAGCCAAAGTTTTTATTTAATAAGTGCCCATCATGCCTTCATTGACGCCACCACTACTAGTGAAGACAAAATATGTAAAGATATCAAAATATTTTGTCCCACCTCTATGGAAGACATTTAAAGATAGACCTCCCGTTCTCAAAAATAATGTGTCTGCCAAAAAAGAAAAATCAAAAGGTGAGTAGCCAGAAGAAGTGAGTAGCTCCCATCCTTTCATATTCTATCGTATTCGGGGATTCCCTGTTTAGATCTCCAATCACATTGCAGGATGTGATAACGTGAACAATCATGGTGCTTTCTCATTGCCGCGCATGTGCAACTAAAATTTGAAATCGTTTGAAATGGCGTTTATTTCAGTTTAACATCCGTTCAACACCATCATTTCAAAACTATGATAATACTATTGAAGTTACTCAATCCAAATTTTTAGAGAATACTCATAAAACACAAGTGAACATTGGGAGATCCATTTCAATTGCAAATGAGGCCTGTTTATAAAATAGGTTATCGAACGTGCCAATATGAAAGGTGATCTTTGGGAAATTTCCCCCATTGGTGAGTAGCCTAGACTTCAGCCTTCCTAGACTTCCACCAACACGAACATCAGTTCATGACCTTGCGAACTATATATTCCTTGCACTCAAACCCTGATTCTCACATCACAAACGAGAAATCTTTAGTAGCCCACCATCATTTTCGCAGTCCTGAGCATTTCTCCACTCGTGCACAGAGATCCGTGCTCATGAACCACACACCTGATCGAAAAAAGTCTGTCTTGTTATTCGCATAACTAAAAAATCCCGAACACCGGATGCACTCTGTACAAATTGTTCGCAAGCATAGATCTCTTTGCACGAGTGGAGAAATGAATGAAGAGATATTTGTTAATATATTAATAAATCATGAAGATTGGGAGTAATGGTGTTGAGCTGGTGTTATTAACACTGGTTTAAAAGAGGTGGGTGCACATTTTAGGTATTTGGGTCCATTTCCCCTATACTTCACTTGCCAGTATTTCAAAATGTCCACTCTCAACCTTTATGAGCATTATGGAAACAAGGTTTCATCCAGGTTCTTCAGTCAATTGTTATTCAATCAATTCCATGGTGTCATATTTCTGGGGATTGAAATATCTCATGCTCTATCCAATCCAATGCCTTCACTCCCTTTCACCCAACCTTGCGATTCACATTATACCAGCATCCAGATATATTCAACCCCTACAACTGAGCCCTCGTGCCCAATGCCCATAATGCTGCACGAGATCAAATGACTTTGACACATTTTTTACCCTACCTATTTTGTAATTTAACAATCAACACAAATATATACATAACATATTTTTGCAGATATCAGACAAATTCAGGAAAATATATTTTTTGATCGATAAAATCACCGATTACTAAACCGGAGGTGTGTTCTGTGACGTCCGCGAAGAAGACGAAGAAGATGTATACAGATTTCAGTTATATCAATTTGCCATGGATTCGATTTTAAATGCTTCTAAATGATCTTATATAGCTAAATACATGTAGCTTACATGCAGTAAGGCGTACTTTGTTGTTTGTCATAATTAAAGATGTCTTGAGACCATTTGAAAATGAAATGGTATTGTTACTTTGAATATTATTATCATACACACGTTTCATATGATTTCAGTTGCACCTTGTGTTGAAGAGATGTCCCTAATGTTCTCTTGTTGGAAGAACCATGACTTTGAGACAAAACGCTGTCAAAAAGAAATAGAAGCTTTCAATAAATGCTACTCAGAAGCAAATGTAAGTTTGTCCAATCACATAAACATTTTTCATAATGAGCAGTAAAAGGCTCTCCAATCCCTTGCTTTTCATCATCATGCATATTAAAGTGGTACTATCTAGTTTTTACATGACTTCATGCTATTTTTGACCATAGAGAACTTAAATACTGTTATTGCAAATACATAAAGCCAAAATAGCGCATTCCAACAGCCAGGTAAAGAACTAAATACCCAGGGATATATGGAAAAGCTCTATTGGAAGATGGTGGTTTCGCGTAATTTGTTGAAGAACAGAAGACAATTCTAAAATTTCAAAACAATGGTGACTCTTTAAACTACGACTGATAAGGAACAGGACAGATTTCATGATCTTGATATTCTGGAAATACTTTCATATTAATCAATATATTGTATCTCTGTCTTCCAGTCTATTCCTGAATTGTAGTCAGTACTCTTCATTCTTAATATATGCATGTGTATCTCAAAGAATAAAATAGCTGATGAAACATTCTTACAATATATTGATTTACATCTCTTGTATTTCTTTATTTTTCAGCTCATACAAAAAGAAAAACTAGAATTAGAAGCCAAGGGACTTATAGGAACAAAAGGAAAGGCCACCTCTAAACAAATTAATTCTCTATTAGCAAAGTACCCTACACCTACCAGTTGACAAGCAGTTACATAATAGGTATTAACCTAATTCAATTTTTTTCAAGTAAAATAATTGCATCCTTGTTTAAAATAAAAGTAACTATGGGCATCCAAGAGAGTGAAAGCCCTTGATGTATCAAAGGATGACTACCTATGCTTAAAAAAGTAGGTAGGTATACAGGGCGTTCCAAAAGTAACAGGACTGGTGCTGGCATTTTGTTAAATAATAAATATGCACCAATTGTCTTCAAAATTTTACATAATGTACTTTCATGTATCGTTACTAGAACTGCAAAGTTTCAACAAAATATATGAAACTCGGGTAGAGTTATGGTTGCTGGTAACATGACATCGCAATACCCGGGGCAATACTCCACGCAGAAAGTTACAGAGACATTAAGCATTCTGTACATCCAATATCAAAGTTGAAATGCAACAACTGGTGGGAATTACATTTGTTTTACATCATTTGATATTCCAATGTATCCTCTACTTTGAAAAATAGGCTCCGCTTGGTCAGTACAAGAGTATCTATGACCCAAACACATGAGTGAACCCATTTGAGGACATGTCACGCAGGGTCGATTGAACAATTTGAAGAAGGTCATTCTCATCTTTAAAGGTCTTACAGCGCTGATTAGCATTCCGTTCTCAATATAAGTAAAAATTAGATATTGTATGATCAGAAGAGTATGGTGCATGGTCTTAGACCTCAAGACCTAGCTCCTCTATAGCTGCATGGTCTTTAATGGTGACCCGTGGACAGGCATGTTATCAAGGTGGATCACTGGCTTCAAATTGGGTCTTTTCAAAGACTCAACCATAAATTGTTCAGACTGTTATACAATATAGTGATATTCCAGGAAATTGAATAAATATTATTATTATTATGATGATGAAATTATACTTGAATCTGAGTTGTACAACAAAGCAACTAATAAAATAAACAAGGAATGTTGTATTATAATAGGTGAATTAGATACTTTCTTCAGTAATACAAAAATATTAGTTATCACATTTTCAGGAAAAAGTTGCCCCGGGTATTGTGATGTCATGTTACTATAGTAACCATAACTTTACCCACATTTCATCATTTTTTCTGAAACCTTACAATTTTAGTTGCAATACTTCAAAGTACTATTTGTAAAAATTTGAAGACACTAGGTGCAAAATTGACAAAATGCCAGCACCAGTCCTGTTACTTTTGGAACACCCTGTATATACAGTACATGATGTAGTTGTCAGGGTTAGTTACCAGGGCTCACAAGGTTGAAAACATGATTCCCCAATTTAACATTTTGGGATAAATTGGAAAACAATACTTCCTATAGGGAAAACTCATGCGATCCATTGTTTTCAGCTTGATATTGGTCACCCATTATTGGTATTCTTTAAAAACCCTAATTGAATCCAGTATTCTTTTAAGTCTCAAAACGCAATATATTGATGCAACAATGATTGAAAAAAAGGTGTGAAAAGAGCTGAAAATCAGGATAACATTTCAGAAAAAAATGTTGGTGGGGTGTTAGCACCTTCTCTGTTTCAAAGTCCAAATTATTTTATCATCTCTACGAGTGTTTGTCCTAGAGTTATTGTATTGGCCTAACCTATGCACTTGTTCAAATCCTCAGAAAATAGCAAAAATCCAACATATGACTGCCTGAAATCTGTCAGTCCTAAAATCTTGTGTGCAAAGTCTTCTCTACATGTTTAAAGTCAAACCATTTCATGGATCAATCTGAAATTTTCAAAGATGTTTCATGGTAAATGTTTAGTCTTTTCACATTCTGGGTAGGAGATTTTGGACATTTTGTCTCGAAAACTAGTACTGCAATACCTTGTGAGCCCAGTACCCATGGTACTATTTATCCAAGTTCATTGCCAATCGTGAAAAGTGATCGCCATTGTCAGGCAATTGTGAGTTTTGAACCAAGTTCGTCAGTATTTCAGTTATCAGATATAGTTTTTTATGAAAAATGGTGGCCATTTTGAAATTCAGCCGCTATCTTGAAAATTCTTTCTTGAACAAAATAATTAGGAATCAGTTGTGGAACACAAAGTTCCTGTTTCAGTATTTTCACACAGCCATATTTATGAACAGGGGATTACAATGAACTAATAAAACTAAAAGTAAACTTTTTCCTTTTCAGATTTAAGTTTTATACTCTTGATGGATTTATAGATGGCAGGACAGTTAATATTATAGAGAAACTGTGTTGAAGTGAGTGATAAACAATTACAAAAACGTTTCTACCGGATACAAATAGATGTCACACAATGTTCCAAGATAGGTGCCAAAGTGAATGACCAGTATCTTTTAACAAGAATTTATATAGCCACCATTTTTTTATGATAAGTTATGAACTCAATATTTTATCAGAGCTAAATACAGTAAACAATGGCCTGAATGACTAATATAGATGGTGGGGCACAGTACTAGTGTTATTTTGGAATTCCATTTCGAATTGCATAACATAAAATGCAATTAAAAAGGTTTATATGGTATTCCTGGTTTTATACATAACTTAAACTTAAACTAGAAATTAACCTCAACTCCTTTGTTCCAAATCATCAAACAAATAAATTACATAGTATGTAAACATAACTACATTGCATTTGTTTAGTTATATTTATTTCACATTTTTACATCAGGCATCTTGCTCTATCAGTACTGTACTATACTGTATATTTCACACTCACAGGCATTTGGTATCGTAAATAATTCAATAAATAATCATTATATTTGCATAATCATGGAATTTATTACATTATTAAAGTTACTCTTAACTGCTTGAGAGTTTCTTTAAATATATATGTCAATGTGTCAATACAAGAAATGGTGTGTCAATTCAATACCTATACTACATTTGTATTCTGTTGTGTCTTGTAACTATTCTGGTGTGTCTTATTCTATGCTGCATCACACAGATATCGAGAGCACTGTGCTTGTCCGTTGTTTCATACTCTACAACTCTAATAAGCATTGTAAATGTCTTCAGAATTGTGTTCAGTTCAACACAAGAATCATGAGTAATACTCAAAAATCACAAGTATTACTCAAGAATTATGATTATTACTCAAAAATCACAAGTATTACTCAAGAAGTATGATTATTACTCAAGAATCAAGAGTATTACTCATGAATCATGGATATAACTCAAGATTTTACTTAGGATTCATCACTTAAATTACAGTATTACAGAATAAGAATATTATTTGAATGTTGTGTGATACTCAAACGAGAGTTACATATTTTAATATTTTTAATTCTTCTGTCAGTTGAAATGTGGGAAAAATAGATACATATGGACAACACTTATAACTTCACAACATATCATTTTACAAATGCTATGTCTAGTTTATGGATATATTTTCTTGACCATTCTTTTATGTTTAATTTTCTTCATCTAACTTCAGTATTTGGTTACATGTTCACAGCGTTCACTAATGGTGCCCGTCTGTCTTGTAATATAACTGCCTCTCTCTGTGATAGAACTCTCTGTTATAACAATTTATATACACAATATAAAACAACTATCTACACTTAATAATTCAACATAGAAAAATATAACTTATCCAACCTACTAGTAACATAGTATGGCTATTGCCCAGTACAGACTTATATTTTGGAACTCAAAAAAGCAACTGAAATGGCCTTTTGTTGAGAAATTCTTATGCTATTATACTTGAGAAATTATAAAAAGCTCTAGGATAAAACCAAATGCAGAGAAATAATGAATAAACACATGGAATCTGAATTCAGATGGAAATTTTTACGTTGTTTTAGATATGGTGTAATTTCGGGTTCTTTCAGTGTTAAATCAGCATGGGAATATCCACGATTGGATTGCACAATAGTTCCGGTTATTTCTCAGTCTATAAACATTAAGTAGGATTATTCATTTCATAAATATTACACTTATTCATTGGCTATGTTTAGCAAACAAACAAAATATCATTTTTATATATCAGTTCATCTCAGAAGACTGACTCAAACCCGGCACTCAATCTTCGAATGCCATTTATCCTGATGCTATCTGCTCTAGCAGATGTATCCAATTAAATCGAAAATCCCAGTTATATGTATCTTTATACAAAATTGTGAATAAAGATGAAGTAACAGGCCTGCGATACACCCGAGTCAGATTTCTTAACCATTCATCCAAATGCCAAGTGATATCACTATTTACATTCATTTCATACATTAATAACCTCAATCAAAGTAATTACATTTGTTGAAAGAAAGGTTCAATTCTCTGTGGTGGACTTCATAGGGTTTCATACTTTATCAATTAGATCTTCCTAAATTGGCCAAATTTATCAATTTCTATCCTGTATTGGGAGTGAATCACAGTTTGTCTTCATATTTATGCTTATTTACTACCAATAACTTCCCTTGCAGTATATTGCCAATTTTATTTTTGATTAAAATGTAAAGGGTGGCATGTATTTGTGATATCTTTTTAACAAATATATATTTTTAGTATTTTGTGTGTATATACACTGGGATTTAATTTCTTATTGTTTACTATTATGAGATTTTAGTTGGTCGTTATGGTGATCACATTAATTGAATAGGAAGGGTTATAGTACTGAAGGTAATTTCTACCAAACAACTTGTGTGCACCAAAAACTGTTCAGAAGTTGTAAAAAAGACTATTGAATAAATTAGTGCAATCAGGGTATTTCTAATTAAGTAATTGCAATGCAGGCATGTGAATAATTGAAAACTTTGCTGTTACTTTGCCTTATCTGAACAAAACTGATCTAATTACTCAGACATATTATGATAAAGCTTGCAAGTTTAGCATTAACGTTCAATCATGCTGTCTTCAATGTGTTTTATCCTATAGACGAAATACTGTCCAGTTTTCCAGTACCGTCTTTTAACACATTCTTACGTTGTGTGGACGTTCTTATCCTTGTTTGCGTTGTTAGGAACCTGTTTAGTCTCCTATCAACATTTTGGCGGTTTCCTTGGCAACAGAATACCTGTTGCTATGATATCATAACGCTAATGGCAACCACAGCTAGCTGCGACCATATCATCATATTGTTTTAGAATGACGTTCTCGTGGTCGTCAAAATACAATAAACTAATGGAGTAGAGTTTGTTGGGTACGCAACATGGTTCAGATATATCCTTTTCCACGCGTAAAGCGTGCACAATGCTCTGCACTGTGGCATGGTTGGTGGGCTTCTGATTCTGTCCTAGGGGAAAGGGACATTCTCCCTTACAGTGGTACGCGTTATAACCCTGTGGGGAGATAATCCATCCCGACCAGCCAATCTCATCGAAATCTACATACAACTGGCGTCGAGAGCATGATTGTTTTCTCTTACGACTAAAATTATAAGAATCTGCTGCTCTTTTTTGGATGCCATGCTCATGGTTATCAGAGTCTGATTCAGAGTCAATGGTTTCACTGTCTTCGCTTGCAAGCTGTCTTCTACGTCTTTGTTGACTCCTTTGTTGACTTCTTTGTTGGCTGCGTCTGCTAAAGTATGAACGCTGCCATTGTGCCCACTGCGCCCTGTCTCGCTCGTTAAGCAGGCGAATATGCATGTTTTGACGGTTTCTCAAGATCCGTCTGTATTCGTTTGCGTATTCTTCTCGGAATTCGGTAAAATCTGGAGAAAAGGGAAACATGATGTTTGACATGTGAATTAGCAATAGGATCAATCCAAATACGAATTCGTTTTTACTAGGCCTAGTATATATTCTAACCCGCCACCTGAAAACCTCCCTCAACTCCAAGTCATTCAGGGACTTGGAAGTAAGTTCGTTCAAATAAAATCCAAAGGACGATTCTCGGTTTGGAGAACGAAGTTCATCAATCTTAATGAGCATTATCCCTGCTCCGGACAAATTTGATTTTTTTACATAACATAGATTTGAATGTCTTCTTTTAAATAGTCATAATTTAATTTGGGTAATATTTCTAGATTTTTCGCAACAAAAATATTAGCGCAGTACACTGATGAACTTCTTTCCCCAAATCGAGACTTATATTCTATTAAATCGGTCTAATTGAGCGTTATCCCTGCTTCAGACCAATTTGTTATTTTTACATCTTGTAGATTTAAATGTCCTCTTTTGAATATTCATAGTTTAATTTGGGTAATATTTCTATATTTTTCATGAAAAAAATTATTAGCCCAGGAGACTGTTCTCCAAACCGAGAATCGTCCTTTACATAATTTGGCGATGCGACATAATGACCTACCTAAATCATTTGTATTTGCTATTCTTTGCTTGCGACCATCTTTACTGAACACCACTAGGACGGGTTGTTTACTGTCGTGATGCTGGGACCTCTGGGCGAATCGTATCATACTGCCGTTCACCCTCTCGCCGTTCAAACCCTGTGCCTCGACCAGTATACCTGGAACACAATGTACAATCGCGTTAAAAGAGAGAAAGGAGTATAAAATGCACAACCACAATAACACAATGCACAACCAAAATAACATCGTGCACAACCAAAATAACACATAACCAAAATTACAGTGCACAACCGCAGTAAAATAATTCATTTCATATATAGGCTAGTACAGTATGGTTTGATCAAACTAGATCAAAATATACAAACATGAAAAAATACTTTGAAATATGACATAGAATTCACAAAGCACCTTTAGCAAAACTATTTGCCCGAGAAGCACACCACAACCAAAACAATTAATTGTGAGCAGCTAGAACTTACTAACTATTGCCAATATTGTTTTTTCCACAATGTGCTGCCAGTATGTGTAACGAACCAATTAGTTATTACACAAATAGCCTTCATCAATTACAAAATAAAGAAAAGCCTATCAAAAATTCTCAAAAATATGATCAATTAGTTTATGAAGTATTGAATGAATTTATCCCTTAATTAATAGCCTCATTGCATTGTATTTGACATTATTTATATGTATTCTTCACTTGGGGTTATCCTTTTGACATTGCTCTCATATTTCCATATTCAGACAGGCTTTAAATGAGAAGATCATCATCTTATGTCATTAATCAAGAACTACGGATGATTTGACACGAATTCTATGACGAAAGGACGCTCGCGAGGACACACATTATTCCCGTTCACATTTCAAGTATTTGGTTACAGAGAATCGTGATTAGAATCTCTCTTTTGTTAATTTCCAATCGACATGCAGAACACCTGTACCTATTACTGACTGTTAAAGCAGTGTATTCCTTCGGTCATAATACCTTAATGGATCAAGATGCTAGTCGTACCCTGGTTGACTGTAAACACCCTCGCGTTGAAGTCAAAGAAAGTGCAAACGACAATATCTGAAGAAATTACACACCATACATTCCCAGTTTCCGAACGCCACAAAATCAACTGTCGATTTATCATTCCGATCAAATGATCGCTATTGATAATAAATAGTTTGCACCACAGTCATAACGGCGCGATCTTACAAAAACAAGAATAGTTTCATCACAGGCCTTATATTCGGTTATGTCTCCCGAAATATTGATGACGTCGTTTTGACTTTAAAAAGCTTTACAATACGTATTCTATATATAGGCTACGAAGGGACTAGAACCGGGTACTTGTAGAGCAATTGTAACAATAATGGTAACACTAGTAGTCATTATCATGCGTATACGTTTCCCAAATGTTTTATTTATAAATGATATATTATCCATTATTTTCCCTTACATGCTTTAAATTAAGGATGATTACATTAACCCCCCCCCCCGCAATGCACCGTTAATCTATTTCGAATCGAGTCGTACTCATAGTGCTTCAAAAAGTATTTATGTGCAAAAAGTTGATGAGTTTGGAATGCAGCGTGAGCTAGCTGTCACTTTATTTGTCACCGTGTCACAATTAGCAGCTAAACAGGTGCATCTTGAATATGTCTATCTGTTTTTTATTTACTCTTCACTACCCTTGTTAAATTCAAATTGTATCGAGTGCTTTGTAGACTTCATAGATATTAGACAGTTGATGGAGACCCTTGAAGTGGCTTCGAAAATAGAATCATTCTGGGAAGGTCACAATTTTAACTGACTTAATTTCTAGATCATCGTGCGTTTTAAAATAGCGTGAATAATGAGAGGGGAAGCCATAGGGTAAGATATTGAAGACATCACCATGCGCATACTAATCAGACACCAGCTGAACAACACGCAGCGTCTCAAGTACAGGTGGATGCACTAGCTATCCGCTAACCAGGAAGACCAAGTATAACATATTTTAAGTCTCCATTCACTACTTTTTATTTGATGTATATTGGGATGTTCCCGCCTGGGTCACCTTAAATCGTTCTAGGTCAAATCTCTTCGTGAAGCAAGAAGCGACTTAACAGATTTGACATAATTTTGGGGGATTCGTGCTGATTTACTGATATTTACTGGGTGAAGTGTTTTTTGAATGTCAGGCAATGTCAGTACAATGCGTCAGACCTTTTTGAAGAAATAAAATAAATGGAAATATCAATTAAGCTCATTTTCTTCAATTTTTCACGCTCTGCTACAGATTCTATCCCCGGGCCAGACAAACTACTTCCAGTGTGTACTATTGAAATGACCTAAGAAAAATCAAGGTCATATGATCCTGGGTATGAAACCAATCTAAACGAACAATGACAGTACAATAATAGCGTCTATACTTTTAATAAACCTACCATGGTTACTATCTGAATTATTGAGCCAATAGTCCACGGCTCCTCGCACGTTGAACGTCTCCCAGCCACGCGAGTGGGCGCTCACCCTCCGAGTGTCCAATAACTTTAGTCCACCCGGGGCGTACATATTCTCAGGCTCCATCACCTGATATATCTTCAACTGCAAATGGAATAACACATGAACATATTTGTAAATCAAGATCTTGGGTTTAGGGTCACATGGAAATCGTATGGTTGCGTAGAAAAGCAATGGTCAGTTGGAAATATTAAGGTCATGTGGAAAGACCAGGGTCATTTTGAGATATTAAAGGCAATGGGGAAGTTCAGGGTCATTGTCACGTGGAAGATTCAGAGTCACATGGAAATATCAAGGTCACGTAGACACTCAAGGGTCAATTGAAAATATTAAGGTCACGTAGAAAGCCAAGGGTCAATTGGAAATATTAAGGTCACGTAGAAACCCAAGGGTCAATTGGAAATATTAAGGTCACGTAGAAAGCCAAGGGTCAATTGGAAATATTAAGGTCACGTGGAAGTCCAGGGTCACATAGAAATATTAAAGTCACATACAGGTCACATAGGAAATATTAAGATTGTGTGTTTTCCTAGCATGAAGGACACCTTCATTGATTATTTTTTAATTTGTGAAGTTTTGTTAAGATGATATGTTGTTTCTTTAAAAGAGAATATAATATATAGTACTAAGATGAATTTGTTTCAACCAGGTAATCCTTAATTTAAACTTACCAATATAATGTGCGACCTGGCACTATGTAGAGACCGCCTGTGTCTCCCGTCCCCCTGGGGACGTAGCTTAAACAAATGGAACTCGGCCTCTTGGACGCTCTCGCCTCCGTCCACAAGAGATACATTATACTGGAAATGCATTTGATGGACGGTGTCTGAAAAAGAAATGGATCAATTTTTCATTGTTGTCACCAGTTGTTTGTCCACTAACAATAGTGTGTCGAATATTTGACCACAATTATCAACTCGCGTAATTGGAGCCGACCTGTTGCGTTAACGGCCAAGGCCATGGTTGTGCATGATTTTTAGTTGTTGATATTTTTCAGAAACGGATGTATTCTCAGAAACGGATGTACCTGTTTGCTATTTTGACACCCGGATCTATCCATCAACAAATATTGATATTTGTACATATACATGTACTGTCTTATTTCCACTATTAATTTATATCTTTTTTGAATTGGTTGATCTATTGAACTCTTGAGAATAAACCGATGTGAAATTGTGTACTTAAACTTGCAATCCATCGTGAAAAAAGTGAACTAGAAAAGAACCTCTTTCTTTTGGGAATTCGAAGTTCTCTTTTGATAGCCGATTGAACTGTTCTGAAGAAATTACTATGTGAATGATTTTGGGAACACACGTGCCTGGATATAAAGTTAGCATATTATTAGAGATTGTTGGCAAAATAAATAAGAAACACGCACAGCTGAAATAAATATGTACTCTGGATAGTGCTGCTTGAATGTCACTTACTATTGCAATTTCTGTTTCTGGTGTGCATATATTATTGTAAGGGGGTCTTCCATTAGAGATCTTGGGGTCGCTTTTGTCAAAACAACACACACGTCTTATTATGGGGGGAAAGAGCTTGGGCTCTAACTTCTTGTATATTCTTGAGACATAGTTGGTTTGGAAAATATATTGAGCTTTTACAAGAGATTTAAATCTGGTTGATGGTAAAAATTACACCCCCTCCTTAAAATTGAATGGACCGCCAATATGAATGCCACCCGCAAGTTCAATGGTTTATATACAGATATAAAAACACGTTATTATATGCTACAGCTATTTATAAATGAGCGATGTCAAAGATACTGATCTCTAATGTTATCATATTGGCAGATCCTGTAATATATGGGTACATAGAGGGATTCTTTCTTTTCGATGTCTCGCTCTAGAAAAATCGAATGTAGATTTTTTAATTTTCCCATAGATAGAAAAATACAGTCTAGTCTATGATGAAATTCTTGAACTTTTTGGCAGGTTAATTTATCGCAGGTTTGTGAAAAATGCCATGGGAGTAAGTGTACAGGTGTAAGTGTCCCGGGTTTGCATGCCTCGGGTATAATACACAGGTGCGAAGCTGGCTCGGTGTGAACTCTCTCGACCTCCTCGCTAACCTGTAATCACTCAGTTCGTATTTGCATCATCAATGAACTTTTTTAAATGAGATATGTTTCGTATTGTTATTATTATCCGACGCACCCTTTAAGTTGATTGTTCTGTATTTCCTCTGGAATCTGTTCAAGTTTGTTATTTTGATCATTTTGATATGAAAATTTGATTGTGTTGTTAGTGTTATGATAAGTATGTTAATTTTAGTAGAGGGCATGTTTGGTACAAAAGTACAAAACATTTTTATGAACTAGCATACCCTGGTTGAACAGAGGACATATCAGTTACAATTCTTTATAAAGTTATTTTTACTAGATATGAATCAAGCTCGTTGTTTTGACTGCGTTTCGGTGTTTTTGACACTAAAACTAATAGATCACTTTCATTACAATTTGTTAACTTATTCAGAACCCCTGACGTGTAAAATTTAATTAATGTTTAACGGGAACGATGGTTCACCTCCAGAAAGATCCACTCTTTGCTACGTATGTTCGTAGATTTGTAAATTAACTCCCGGGTAGATCAGAATGACTTTTATTTCACAACTCAGCTTAGCTAAATCATTTGGAAAAAATATTTATTACAAATTAAATGTTTCATACTTTCGACTTTGATATTTTATGATGACTGGTTTTTATTGGAACTCAATAAACTAGCTCGCATTCCAAACCACACATATTAAAAATTTATTAGGCGTTAAATTGTATTTATTAGTACTTTTAAATAGCAAAAATAAATAAATGACGTTTTTGAATGAAAGAAAGAATTTCAAGTTAAAAGAGCATATAATGGAATTCACGATATTCTATGGCACATATGTGTTGATTTGAGTCTCTGGTTTACGTACACATTTAACACTAATCCAGATGCACATTTATACATGCGATACTTGCTAAAACTGAACAGCCGGGTAAATATACACTAAATCTCATATTCTATAATATTTTGCTATCTGGTATTATTTTTGAGCCAACACTATCTTTCTTCTAGGGCGATAATGTTCAGCTTTTGCGCAAACTTCTACCTCCAACCATATAAGCAACGAGATTAGATAACTTCGAAATAGGATTAGTTGTGTAAAACCAGAATTTTGATTGCATTAATTGGCATTTTGGTCAAATTACGTCAAAATTTTCAAGTAGTGAGTAAGCACTGTGAAAATAATGTCAAATACTTCATCTAAACGTTTAAATACATTCGTATAACTGAATTGAGTGCTCTATCTGTTATCCACTGATATAACGTAATCAATTTAACCAACCTTTGGGGTCAATACGAAGAAACAGACTGGATCAACTGATCAAACCTTTCAGTTGTCCGATTCTCTTGAGTATCACGAGGAAATCAATTAACCAAACCGACTTGCTATCAACCGTTAACTGTGTTCTATAGTTTCCATAACGTTCCGTACTTTAAAAATCCCCATTACTTTCTCCCTTTGACATACCAAGCTCCTTTTATTTGATTTTTCCTCATAACTTGGCGAGAAAGGGAAGATTGTCACGAATGTTCAAATTGAGACTACTGACGATATGAAAAGTACTTGTTGCAAGGGACTTAGAGTCTCGCTAACCAAACTTATTAATGCCACTATAACCACCATAGCTGTAATTATATTTCAATAGAATTGGTGTCATATTGTATTCTTGTAATTACACCGACTACTTAGTACCCCAGGGCCCTGGTTCGATCTCTCTTATTGTACATCGCGGTTCCCCAGATATTTAGGGTATTGATACATAGACAACAATTGTGGTTAGCTCAACCACAAAGTACAAACGTGTTCCCTTCGATTCGTATTACTTAGTTCTGTTTTATTTTATTCAAGTCACATACTAGTATGTTACAAAAACGACCATTTAAGGCGGAGCAGAAAATTGTAAAACCCTGGAATAACATGTTTTGATTTAAAAGGTGACCATGTATCAATGTGACCACCCCTCACCAACGTACCGAAGCTAGATACATAGACAAATGGAAGATTGATTTTTTCCTGATTGTGATGTGAATAGGACCTAGATCTACATCACTCTCACCCTTAAAGATATAAAAAAGCTCACCTCTGTCAGGGAGACCTCGTACAATGTCTGCATTATAGGGTGTGGCCGTCTTAGTGATCCCTCCAGTGTCTGCTATGCTATGATACAAGTCCAACATATATTGAGGGGGTGCCCTGTGAGTCTGAATATGAGGTGGATTTTCAATCCCAAATACTTTTGATAATCGTGCAATTGCTTCAGTCTTTAACGCTGTAATGTCCCTTTGATGCCTGTTTGGCGCTGCTACCACCGTCTGTAACAGTACTACCGTGACTAGAATTGCTATTGTTGAGAGAGGTGTTCTCCAGTAGGCTCGGGTGTCCCCGATCCCGGCGCCTGAATGTCTACTCCCGTGTTGTTCCAAAGCCGCCATGTTTCCCTATTGAGTGGTGCCGCGCAGTCTAGTAAAATTGCGGACGTAGAACACCTGGGAACTCCTATAATTACTATACACACACACGAGGTGTATGCTAAAGTAAGGCTAATCGGCTGTACACACAGTTTCCCGCAGTGTGCTCTCTGTAGAAATCTCAAAATTTTTCCATCAACTATTGTCGCCCGATTAGCGCTCACACCACGATTGACACATCTCGCATTGTTTTCAGGGTTTCTCTTATTTGCAATTAAAGGTGCGAATCTCGGTTGAACGTTTAATATACCAGCATCCACAGCTGTGGCCAGTCAGATGTATCAACGACAGTTAGCTAGCTCAAGTCAAGAATCTCCTGTCTAAAGAATGAATCCAATCTCCGGGCCAATTTTGTCATTCCGGACTCTTATATCGTCTTAGTGTCTTAGTCACATCCACCAAGATAACTTCTCCCACTTGGCATTTGTTCTGAAAACCACTTTGTATAATCTATTGTCAAATGGTAAGTGTTTCCTGCGCTGACATAGTGGCGCGTACTTCAACGTAAGGCTCCCGCGAAGAGCTTGACGTTAAGGGGTGTCATCTACGGGAGCAGCAGCAGTGTCCAGTCCTCAAGAGTCCAAGTTGTCAATGCTACAAAAACCTCCCAGCGTTGACAATGACAATTCTCGAGTGAGATGGTTATACATCGACTAGGGTGGGGGTCGCTAATTGAATGATACCCTTGCAACTGTACTTCAAATTTATAGTGAATTCCAGGGCTTCACATTTTTCAAATGTTTACATATTTGCGGCATTTTTATGTGGGATTCACGTACCTTTCTTTGAAGGCTCTTCAGAGATGTCACGCTTTTTCCATGGTATTAAAAAATGAATGCACCTGTTTATGAGCTTTACGGGGATATTTATCGTATAAAATAACATCTATTATCGCCGTTACATGGAGATATGCAAACTAAAAGCTACCTCAAAAGTAACAGGCGCTCCACAAATGTTCCAGATATCGTATATCACATACGGGCGCGTTAATTAATAATTTTGAATTCAGGACACAGGTGCCGCTGAACAGCACCTTGGGATAAAACTGCTCAGGTTACGGCCAATCTGGCTCAAAATTTTACATTGAAAAAGAAACATAGATTCAATGATAACGATCCCGCCTGTCGAATCTTTAATCAGCGAATTTTGACATTTATCATATTTGAGGGTGTATAATGTTCTGACGTCCGTAGCTATGGAGATAACTCATATTCGTCTGTCAGCTGACCTGAATCTTCTCATCATTTTCTGATTCTTATCAAATCACGAAGGAGGTTGATCATTCCCGTCGTGTTTTAATCATTTGGTCCGTTGAATTATGGGATTGCCTTTTTGACATTAAACTACGAATTGACCTTAACATTAGTTGCAAGTAAGCAAACCGTGTTAAAATTTGGTGACATGACAGTAGGCTTACATTTTGAATGATAATTTTTTCCAGAAGCTGATTGGCAATTAACGATGTCAAATGAACGAATCGTGACTTGAAACTTCGACCGTGTGAATCGTAACATGACGTCACTTGAAATGGTTTAATGAGAAGAAAGTGCAGTTACACGCTATCGTTACGATAGGAATGGATGCCGAATCCAGATGTTAGATGGTTCGCTGCTTTTCACCTTTTGCTCACCTTTGGGAATTCTTTCTCGGACTAAATTGCTTTTCGCTACAACCAGGACTATAATTGTTTACTTCCCAGACCAAGCTAAACATTTCTCAAGCAGGTATATGTAACTATACGTGAGTAATGGAGATCAAAATGAAGTCTTAGTTAATTAGAATTAGGGACTTCGCAACATATAACATTTTTCCCCTGCCAGATGTTTACCAGATGTGCTCACCCTGGAAGCAGGTAACACATCCACGTTGTGAGGTTGCATAAATCTCCACTTCACTCACAAATAAAAAATAAACCGCCAGGGCGTCTAAGGAATCTTATACCGTTCCACACGTGTGAGAGGAACGCTATTTGCTTGGAATCACAAGTTTCTGTTTCTCATAGCCATTAGTACCTTGGAATAATACGCGTTATCATGCGCGAGAAAACAAAAACAATTTGATTGCGCATTCACATGATTCTTTAGATGACACTTAAAGAGAGAGTAGGCGATTTTTGGAAAGCATTGTCGTTTAGATGATTCAGATATTTATACCTGATTTATTGTATTCTATTGTTCTTACAAATCTTCAGTATTTCCATACGTTGCCCCTTGTGCCCTCTCAATTTCAATGGGTATTTATTTTTCCATTCATATTTAATAAAAGCGAACGTGTAAGAATGGCATATGGTTGTACGATTAATGGACCCACAGTACCTCACAGTAATCCGGGTTTAGAAGATCAACGTGTACTAAGTAGTTGATTCTTACCAGGTATATATCTACACCTGTAGCCCACCTGACTCTCAATAACAGGTAAAAGATCAAAGTAGCTATTTATGTCAAAACAGGACTATAATAATGCTTAAAATGGGAAGAAACTTTGATGTTTTCTTTGCTTGCCCCAGGAATACAATGGAAAGTTCAATAACTTGTTTAGAGGAATTCTTTAAGACGTTTGGGGAACATGTTATTGGAACGGAGTGGAAGTGTCGGCTCGAACATCTGGCTCTACTGGACTACGGGATCTACGTGCAGTGCCCCAGGGGCGGGACACTAGACATGCTAAACATCAAACTAGCTGTTAGACTCAGGAGAAAGTTAGAATCAGATTTGGAAAGCACTTTTAGAAATTTTGTTTTGGAAAGTTTTAGTTCATAGAACTTTAAGCTGTCGTGCTTATTTTCTCCAACGACGTAAATGCATTAAAAAATCGTTTTCAAAAATTCGTCGTTTATGTTTATTTTTCATACGAATGAGGCTTTTGAAAATATTGAATAAAATTAAACATTTTTAATTTAATTAACCATGTTTTCAAACAATGAAAGTTTGTTTATAATACGTTCACCCTTCTTTATGATGCATTCTGTCTCTTAATCTAGGATGGAAATAATTCTTGATAGGACTACACACAAAACAGGACATTAACATGCAAAATGTCACCACCTACCATTTGTTACAGACGCCGAATGTCGAACACCAATCGCCGAGCGCCGAACACCAACTGCCGAACACCGTTCAAAAAAAGTTGGAGACTACACCAATATGTCATCACTTGCGGTGGTGACATAATAAAAACCGTTTTGTAAACTCAATGGAATCAAGAAGATGTTGACAATCTGTTATAAAGTCTCAATTGATTTCTATTGATACGTCCCTAAATACAAAATAAAAGCATTATAACACTTATTGTCGGTATAACATATCTTTATTTACACCACTTTGTAGATTTAAGGTACAAACGGAAAGTTTAGAGAGAAACCTAGTCTTGTTGACACAGGTTTAGTCAGCTTTAGTTATAAAGGTCTAAATGCCGATTCAGCTGATCCATTACTCGGACAACTCAAGGGACATACCCCGGACATTCTCCTTAACAAATTCACGTCCATTGGCTATAATAAACGCTAAGGGAACAAAATATGCCCCTGGTCAATTAAACTCAACAAAAACATAATATTATAATTACATTTTGATGCAACTTATTCCAGAAACATTAATATCTTCCCTTACATCGCTTTTCGACGATGTTTACAATCCCACGGGCCTGTACAATCACAATAGCACGGCTGACGTGCTGTCGCGGATAATGGCGACTACGTCCTGGGTATTACATAAAAGTCAATGCACTTCTGATTTCATCGAAGTTGATATTGTTGAATGACGCCGACCAGATGAACGCTTTGTAAGGCTTCGCCAGGCAGACTGGTTATGTTGTCTCCCAAGTGGAATTTAGCAGCCAGTCGGCCAAATGATATCTCAAAGAGACCTTACTAATTTTATCAGAAAATTTCTGCGGCATAACTCCAAAATCAATCAAAAGTGTGCGAATTTTAGACGCAAATGATGTCTATCATTTACAAAAGTTTACGGATTTTGTAATTGTCGCTTTCCAATGGTAAATATGGAGACACATGTTACCACAATGTTAACTGTAAGAGAATTAACTTCACCCCAGGGACCTCTACAAATTGTTTTGTTAAAGCTATACGCCAGAATTGTCTATCCAATAATCCTGTTGCGCCCGACCTGACGATAACTGAGTATGATAAATTGTAGAGTCTACTCCAATTGTCTGAATCATCAATTTTCTGGCTAAAAATATATCAATATTTTTATTGTACTAGCTTAAAATATCTTTACAGTGCACTTTTAAATTGCAAACACTACGCCAAGGGGCCATATCTGTTATTACTTTGAGTTAAGACCCTGGAAATACCGTGACTGAATACGTCATGTCGCTAGTTAGTGATATGCTCTGTCCCGTACATTTTATATGCCCTTTTACATGCCCTTTACATATATTTATATTACATAACATGATTTTGTTTTCACATGACATGCATGACATCACACATAGTACGATCTGCACTGGTGTCATTGAATGAGGTATATAGACAATCACAATAACATTTTGCAAATATATGCAAATTCCTGATAGTCATTCTAGAGTTTAAAAGAGTGGTATACCAAATATTTCATCTGAATAGAGGTCTGATTATTTCCATGCCTTTTTTGAAATATTATTTAAGCCATAGGCGTATCTCTTTACATAATTTCAAAATGGCCGCCTAAAAATCAGTCCAGTGAAGAAGCGTATAGTCAGAGAATTGTTTCTACGACTAACAATATTCCACTTCTATTAATGGAACATAGAACACATGTTTAAAATGAAAAAAATGAAAATATTTAGGTATATCACTCCTTTATGATTCTGATACCACTTAGTTCGAAAAGAGTTTCTGAAATATTCCATTCACGAAGCAATCGTCAGAAATTACATCTTTCAATAGTGACTATTTTCATAGGTGTCCATACTATATTGTCAAATACTCGTCGAACAAAATTTATGTTTAGTCTTTTTACTCTAACTAGCTCGTGCATTATAGAATCAAAGTTGCATTATAAATTGAAATGTATGTATGTATTTTTTGTTTTGCATATTGATTTGTTGTTTGTTTTTTGGATTTGTTTAGATACATCTCTTAATTGAGTTCGAGAGAGTATAATAGCTGCTTTACCTATTGAAATGTGTTTTATTTAATTTTACTTATCGCCGCCATTCATATCTATTCAGAAATTTTTTTGAGTCTTTGTGGTACCAGAACCTTTATCTTAATCTATAGTATTTGATCACAAATCAATTTTTCTATATCTGGTACATGGATATATGCTTTCAGATCTTTAGAACTCTTTATGTTCCCTTTAGTATTTATAAATTTATATCTATACGTTACATGCTTGTATCTTTAGTACACGATATACGAAACTATAATTTCTGAGATTTTGGCAAAGGGGTTCTTCAAGGAATCATTCTTGATCCTCTTTTATTGACAGCCGCATTCATTTACGGTTAAAATTGTCCTTTCGTCATCGTGTATGGTCATGAATTCATGAGATATGTAGGAAATGGGCGCACACTTCGTCTGCTTCTTCACCAGTGACATCAGACAGAAACTTGGCGTGGTCTTCGACCTAGAATTTAGAAAATGTATCGACTTCAAGTATGTTTACATATTCAGGACCTTCAAATCTATTCATATTTTAAGTAAACCCCATCGTTTTAATGT